AAATTGAAAGGGGGCTAAGTGGAAGAGACCCCCCCAGGACCTGGGGGGCGGGGCCAAAACCACTAAAATTAATGCAATCTTTAAAAGTCTTCTTCTTTACTTCTGGACATCAAGCTTTAATGATTACTAGTATATAGTTAAAATGCATGAATTCTTTGAAAATCGTTTCCTTTGCTCCTGGATAATATACCAATGATCTAAGTACATACTGATGACGAACAAAGGTTCCTCTTCCAAAATGATTAATTTCAGGGCACCTGGTTCAGGGGTACCGGGGGGGGCGGGGGGGGGGGGGGGGGGGGGGGGGGGGGGTACTTAGTCTGAAAATAAATAATGCTTTGAAATCTGCTCTTTGTATGGCATGTCAAACGTTGCAATATTCGATAATCTTGTGATTTATATTCAAAATCTTGTGATGTATGTTCGAAATCTTGTGATGTATATTCAAAATCTTGTGATGTATATTCAAAATCTTGTGATGTATGTTCGAAATCTTGTGATGTATATTCAAAATCTTGTGATGTATGTTCAAAATCTTGTGATGTATATTCAATATCTTGTGATGTATATTCTAAAACTTGTGATGTATATTCTATAATCTTGTGATGTATGTTCGAAATCTTGTGATGTATATTCTATAATCTTGTGATGTATATTCAATATCTTGTGATGTATGTTCAAAATCTTGTGATGTATATTCAATATATCTTGTGATGTATATTCGAAATCTTGTGATGTATATTCTATAATCTTGTGATGTATGTTCAATATCTTGTGATGTATGTTCAAAATCTTGTGATGTATATTCAATATCTTGTGATGTATATTCGAAATCTTGTGATGTATATTCTATAATCTTGTGATGTATGTTCGAAATCTTGTGATGTATATTCGAAATCTTGTTATGTATATTCTATAATCTTGTGATGTATATTCGAAATCTTGTGATGTATGTTCGATAATCTTGTGATGGATATTCGAAATCTTGTGATGTGTGTTCTACAATTCAGTGATGCGTGCAATAAAATTGCATGACGCAACAGAAAAGTAAGGACAATTTTCATTGGTTAGAAATAACGAAAGTAGCTGAAGCGTCGGGAAAACCATGCAGGTGAGAAAAAACACAATCATCAGTTTGTTTATTGCAGCACTTACTTAGTATTACGAGATGCACGAGTGTTGTTCCTGGTGACATGATGGAGATATTTCGGCCTGCTAGGGAAAAAACTCAGTAAACGTAGATATATTGACAAAATTTGTAGGTACTTGTAACGATATGTCACGATGCTGCATTGTCAGATACAGTATTTAGCTATATACATGCATGCTAAAAAGTTAAATCTCGTAGTAATCAATATAACAGAAGAATAATGAAGAGTACATACTACAAAAACTGTGCAATTTGTAGCAAGATTAATTTTTGTTTAACAGCTGTTTTTATTACATTTTATTTCGTATTATTACTACCAAATACTGCTACCGTTTGTTAATGTTATGCACATGGTTATCTTGTACTTGCAAGTAAATGAAACATTTAAAAAAAAAATAATGAAAAAACAAGTCATTTAGGCTATTTGATAATAACATGCTAAATGAACAGGGTTTGCTTTTTAATTCTCCTTCACTCAGTCTTTGTATAATGTATATTTTTAGACGAGCTGATCGCCAACCAGGAGATCAGAATGATCGCATCTGCTCCTGCCACTTTAAGGATGGTAAGAAGGAGGGGGACCCTGCATATTTTGCATGGAATGAAGGAAAGGCCTGATGATGGATTTCTCTGATCCTGAATGTACAAAAAGGTGAAATTATTTTTCAAAATGTGACCGACATCTTGTTTTTGGATAGTGGGTGGGTGGAGTTTAATTGAGAATATTTTACTAAAAAACTTTAAAAGGGTACATGTATAAACAGAGTAGCTTACAACTGAATAAAAAAATAATTCAAGTTTAATTATTTTACAAAGGAGGAAAAAACTCAAAAGTGAGGAGTCCCTGTCATCTTCACAGATGGACCAGTTGCAGATTCCACAAGCACCAAAATGTCAATATCAAGAAAAAGTAAAGCTCATTTAAAACACCAATGATGACAATTATGACCAACACTGAAACATTTTCAATAATTTTTAATAATATATAAAGTTCTTTTAACTGTACATGATTTACAATATATTTTCAGTTGATATCAGAGCACAACTACTCAGCATCCTGCACATTTAACTGTACTCAAGAAATGCAGCGCCTCTCAACAGAAATACAACTGGAAAAGGAATTGCTTGCCCTAAAAATAGAGTCTAGTAAAAGGAAGCCAATATCAATCCACGATATTAAATACAACGAAGAGAAGGTACATTTAAAGGAATTCCAATTGTGATTTCCTATTTCCTATCAATTTCAGTTACTGTAATAAAAACTTGTTGCCATTGAGGGATGAACATCTTAGATTGACTGTTATGTTAACATATTTTGTTATTATTTGGGAGTGTTAGGTCTCTGATCAGCAGGGGCATTTTCTCTATATAAGAAGAAAATGGAGACTCCCTACCCACCCGATGTATTTTGTCGGACAGTTTTCTGTACATTGCAGGTAAATTTTTTATTTATTAACTTTCCAGCCTCTTATTGTATAGTACATTTTGGGGTTTGAAGTCAGTTTTTGCTTTTCTTTAATTTTTAAAAAAAATTATTTAAATTCTCCTTTTCTTAGAATAAAATTCAAAAAGTAGCTTCTGATTGTAATGTATAAGACTACAGACATTGAACTTTGATTTGTTATCAAAAGGATTGATTTAAACTTGTCTAAATTAATTGTAAACAAAAATAAAAGGGGGCACCTGCTATTTCTTTAAGTGTTTTTCACTGGGGGGTGGGGAAACTTTTTTGTACATACTTGAGCAATAGGAGGGATTAGATAAGAATCAATTAGTATATCAGAGTCTTAAATAATATCCTTTGCATAAGCATAAAAAAATTCTATATCAGTCTTTTTAAAACCTTTGAATTTTGCTTAATTAACTACGATTTATCCAATTTTGGAGCTTTTTACCTAATTCTGGGTAGAATCCACCCTTATGAAATTATTGACTCAATTTTGACTTAATATCACTTTATTAACATTAAAGCACAAAAACAATTCATTGTACAAATATTTTATTTATTACAGTCACCAATATATCCAAATATCATCACCGGCCCAGACGTCATTCACTCCTTTGAATTGTGCTGGTAGCAGTAAGGTGTCATCATTTGAGATGGTCACAGTATCCAATACACTGAAGTCACAGGACTCAAATTTCATACATGTTCACAGGTAGGTGTATAGTCTTTGAAATTACCACAATTGACTAATTCTGGGACAGGTAAGTATGTAAGTATAGGAATGAGAGCACCAAATCCCTGGATGCACACATGGCTTTGTTTGTTATGGAACATTAAACTGAATACTGAATGGGTAGGCGTTACGCCATTGGCTGAAATCAGGTATTTAATTGTTTTCATTTTAAAGTAAAATTAATGACCTTTGAAATAAATGATGGGATGAGGGAATATTACAGAAACTATAGAAATGCCAGGGAAGATTTTAGGAATGGGGGTTGATTTTTTATGCCGCGTGTTATTTACTGCGAATCTCTAAAAGTTGAAAATAACTGCAATTTTGACCTATAAACGCCATGGGACCATGTATTTTTTTCAGTATTTTTTGTTAGGGCTTAGAACAAAGTTTGAAATGATGCTAAAGATTTTTCTGAAATTGTCATAGTAAAGTACTGAGAGGGCCTAAGGTTTGTATGGAGTTCTATGGGAAAATAATTAGTGGTCTTTTCCCTATACAAGATGCTGTCTGATGGCGTAGTGTGGAATGTAGCGTAGAATGTTTTCCAAGTCAGCTTAAATGCAAAGGTTTGTTTTAAAATTTATCATAATGACTTGCAAAAATTTAATGCAGTTAAATTTATTGTATTCTTGAAAGATTGACTGTAACACAATTTTTTTACACAATTACAAATAATCAAATTAATTTTTTTCCAACTTTTTTTCAGGGTCTCTGCCAAAATCTTTTGAGGATTTTTCCTCTGCTAGAGCATCCATGGATGCAATTGAAACAACCCAGGACATCCCAACACATATGGATAATCAGGCCATGGCCTACAGTATGTACAAAAGTTGCCATACTTTTAAAGTAGTAACTTGCGTGCCTCCAAATGGTGCACTTACATTTTGCTCCATGCTGTACCCAGGTTCTACTTCTGATGTAGCTATTGTACGTCACAGCCAAGTTTTACGAAAGTTCAAAGCTGGAGACCTTATTTTGGTGGTCAAAGGTTTCACCATTCATGACCAGTTGCCCCAGGGTGTCTGCTTAATTATAAAAGCTCTTTTATCGACACTAGGCCAGTTTACCATACAAGAAGCAGCACTGTGTTACAAGATTGCTAAAGCACTTATTCATGTGGAAAGAGCCAACGAGAGGATAAAGAATTACGAGATTCTCCGTCACATACCATCTACTTACAGACCAATCTCAACAAAAATATTTCAACTCTGTTCTTGTCTTGTAAACTTGCAAGCTCCACTTTTGAAAGAAATCACTTAAAGATACATGTACTTATTATAAATTTGCATTGGCGTGTGACAGTATACACTAAACAGTGAAGATATTCATACCAAAGTGCAAGGGATAAGCAAATTTTGATTTGTTATCAATGTCAATCGTTATATTTGTTAACTTTGTAGTATGTTGTAATACATATACTTCATAAAATGAAAATCCCTTTTGTTAGCATGGATTTATTACAAGAATGTTTGGCAATTCCATTCTTCATTTGACAATATAATTTGGAAGAGGGTTTACTTATAATTTTAAATCTCTAGTTTAAAGTATATTTACCTTTAAAGCACAACTCAACAAATTCATGTTTTCAACAATTTATCTATTAAGAAAGACAAAAATGTTACATTTTCACTCTTCAATTCATTAATAAAATGATTCTAAATTTTGATATTCTTTTTTTATGTAGTACATAGATTTTATTAATCATCATTGCTATTTAAAATAGTCTTATAAGCCAGAAGTTTTATGATGGATTGTGACATATCATATCATACATTTATGAGACTTAGGAACATTCAACACATTTAACATGATTACCCATTTTCCATTGTTAGAAAATTCTAGAGGTACAAAACTAAGTGTCAAGAAGTTCAAACCAGAACTCAGTTTTCCATCAGTGCTGGAATGAAAATGTTAATGTAGAAATCTATCAGCTTTGGAACATTTGCTGTCCATTCAATGTCTTTTACTATTCTAATCACAATGCAGTCTACTCTTGTCCACACAATTAAGTCGCAGAATGTTTTGTTACATATGTGTAGCTGGCCTTGAATTTGATGATAGTATGGGTGACTGGTTTTCAGGCACAGGGTATCTTGTTTAAGATCTAAAAAAAAATCAAAAAACACTTAAGTTGTGTTATACCAGTACATATCCCCTCCTTTTTCAATATCTTCATACCATATTGAACAGCTGCACTTGTAAATTAATACATGTTTTGAAATCATTTACTCACCAAGATTTTTAATTTCAAAGTACTGGACAATACAGATTTTTAATGTTATTTACCTATGAAAAATCCTTCAAATTTTGTGCCCCATCTGCTACTGTTGAAGACAATGCTGTATATGGACACTTCACCTCTACAATATCAGGAATGGCGTCTTTGGCTTCTGGGGTTTGATAAAATACACTGCATGTTGGTGGTCGAACAACTAACCCATCAGGTGAAGCTCCCAACACTCCGGATTCATGCAACCATATCCTTTTCAGAAAAAATTATAATACTACTGAATGCAAACAAACCATAATACAATTGATTTTGTAATGCAAACAAAGTCTAAGTAGAGCTTTTATAATCCTTCCACTTCAAAAAGCAAATTTTCTAGAATATGTTGGTAACTGAATATTTATGCCCCGCCATGAATATGGCCGGGGCATATAGTGTTTGTCATGTCCGTCTTCCGTCCTTCTGTCCCACTTTGTGTTTAGCTCTGTTCAAAGCTAAGTTTCTAAGAAACTATCCAAGATATTTTCATCAAACTTCATATGCTGATAGATATTGATGAGAGCTATGCAACTGCATTAACATTTTTTGACCTTGACCTGACTTTTCTTAAATAGTGTTTAGCTCAGTTTTAAACATACCATTCAAGATGGTGTTATCAAACTTTACATGTTGATACAAACTTGCATAGATGATGCATCTAGAGATGAACACTACCGGACATGCTTCGGATGCTGGATCTGACCTACATTTTCCAGATGAGTGACCAAATTAAAGTTTTTGGAGCAGGTCCATTCTTAAGGAACTATAAGCCCTACTTAGACCAAACTTGCATGGATGATGCATCTAAGGATGGACACTACCAGACTTGCTTCGGATGCTGGATCTGACCTACATTTTCCAGATGAGTGACCAGGTTGAAGTTTTTGGAGCAGATTTATTCCTAAGGAACTATCAGCCCTACTTAGACCAAACTTGCATGGATGATGCATCTAGGGATGGACACTACCAGACTTGCTTCGGATGCTGGATCTGACTTACATTTTCATTCCCAAGTAACTATAAGCCCTACCTAAACCAAACTTGCATGGATGATGCAGCTAGGGATGGACACTACCAGACTTGCTTCGGATGCTGGATCTGACCTATATTTTCATTCCCAAGTAACTATAAACCCTACCTGAACCAAACTTGCGTGGATGATGCATCTAGGGATGGACACTACCAGACTTGCTTTGGATGCTGGACCTACATTTTTATTCCCAACTAACTATAAGCCCTGCCTGAACCAAACTGATCAAATTTTATACATGTACAAATTTCATGTTGCTTTACTAATATATCCTCGGCGGGGCATTCATGTCCTATGGACATATTTCTAGTTTTTTTTACAATTAGACTTCAGTAATTGATTTCTGTTTGTCACCAGGATAAGTCCTGCTATTTGTTTTAACACAGTGAATGTTAACATGACAGAGGTTGAATGAATGTTATTTTGTGCTGTATACCTGACTGCTCTACAGCTGCATCAAATTCCTTTTCATACTTTCTCAAAGCATCATCTTCATGAGTGATACCCCATGCAACAGCCTTGATGGACTCCAGATTGTAAGCCGACATCAGCTGTTTCTTCAGTGACAATGTCAATCTGGAGAAGAAAATATGATTTTTGGTTATTAATCTTATATTTCCTGCATCTTTATGTACAAATATCTACCGTAATTTACGGAATATAGGTCGATACTTTTTTTCTCAGAACCGCTGGGGTCGCCCAATATACAGAATTCGACCTATTTAAGGCTCAAGTTTACGAAAAATGCCCCCTAATCAGTAAAATTTACGTCAATTTCAAAGCAAATTTGTGCCACTTTCGTAACTTTTTTGATTATTTTTCGCAAAAAAATTAATGCCCCGGTAAACAATAAAATATTTATTCTATAGCTTTCTTACAAAATAAATTCCATTAATTATCCGTTGATGACAAAGGAAAACAACATTGCTTCATCTATTAAATAATTCCTCAACGTATTGTCCATTAACATCATGCGGTATCCATCTTGTGAAGTTAGGAAGTCGTGATCGTGTACTAAAAGTAAAACCGCAACCGTATCAAAATTTAAAATACGGAAAAAATTTTCAAGATCACAACTGTAGTGTTTTTACTATTTATTAGTAGCAATAAATTGAAATAGTATATTAAATATTTTTTATTGTCTTATGTTTATTTAAATGTAAAGTGAGTGAAATAATTTGTTGCCATTCAATTCCTAAATTTAATTACCAAAAAAAAGACGCTAGTCATTACTGTGTTTTTTTTAATTTTAATTAATTGTAATACCGGTCAAACGAACTTATCTTGAATATACCGATACAAAGATTGACTTCTAACAGAATTTTTAACTGTCTGACAGATAAAGGGATTTACACTGTGTACGCAAAGGTGTTATAACACCTGTGTATAGTTTAAATGCCTGCGGGGCATGATTAAGAAACCCACGTGCCATTATAGGGTATTAGTGTTACACATCATTGAACAAACAAAGCCGTGAAATTCATGTTGACAGTCAAATTGTGAATGTACTCTCAATTAAATTTATAAATTAAACTATAGAGTGTTAATATGATTTCAATTCTTTACTGTTGCTTGATATATACATTCAATGGTCATTTGCGTGTTTTAGCAAATCCCCGGAGAAGAAAAATAAAAATGGCGGACATCGAAGTAATTGTCGTCCACCGGTAAATAATGTCTAAATAAAATTTATTAGGAATGTGTCCAAGTTGTTCTGAAATCGGAATTACTATTCTTTGGTCTCGAGTATTTCCCGAACTATAGCTGTAAAATAATAACGTATTTACGTGTTATTTATGCATCTGATTTAACAACAGTGTGAAACTACGGCGGCATTGAACAGGCAAGTTGGAAAAAAATAAGAAGTAACACAATTTAAAGAAGTTTTAACTACATTTTTTTTAAAAAAAACTTTATTTAAATGCTATACTCATTAAAATACGTGTTTATTTTCTTGATACGTTCATGTCACGAATAACCCCGGTAATTTAGGGGTTTACCTGTTCTGATACGTTGTATCTGCGTAAGAATCTTTAGAAAACGGGAAACAAAGCCTCGTCCTATAGAGTAAGTTCGTCCTATCTTAGGATTTTTCAAAAATTAAGGCTGAAAATGAGCCTTTCGACCTATATACCCCATCGACCTATAATCCCGAAATTACGGTAGTCATTACAGTCGAACCTCATTATCTCAAACTCAATGAGACCAAGAAAAATGTTGGGAATATCCGTGGATTCAAGAATAATACATAAAGAGTTATCAAGAATAAAATGTCCCAGTCTTTTATAAATGGTTTGGACTTCAAAATTACTGTGACATATCCATGAAATATGAGATAATGGGTTTGAGATAACAAAGTTTGACTGTAATTTTAAAAGTCTTTTTCGCAAAAATTTAATAACACGTCTTACCGCCTTTGCTTAGAACTGAGAACTGCACCAAAGTTGGAAGTTGATATGCTATATTTCCTTACAATCGACCACATTGGGTTGTTTCGTTGCCAATGCAGCTCTTTTAATGGATTCAGGGATAATGCATGCTGTAACCATACCATAGGGGTATCAGAATGAACATACTCTGGTGATGTTAACAGGTCTTCAATGAGAGGTACAGGTGGACCAGGTTCACATGGCTCTGGTTCAAGAATCCAATTCAATGCTGAAAAATTTCATTACTTGTGTCATTCTCAAAAATATCATCCATAATATCCATATCACATATACCAAGTATTTATATAAGAGTCCATACATTTCATTTTAGTGAACACTGTCATGGATTTTTGTAATGTATGCATTACATATCAAATTTACAACTCACTTGCATATATTTGTTCAGAATTGTTCCTGTATATAATTTTGCACGTGGCATTCTTAGTGTGAAAATGCCATGTAAAAATTGGTGCAAATGTACAATTAATATTTACTTAATTATTAACAAGGTTTCATAATGACAGAGTATTTAAATAATGGAAGATTGATCTGATAATTCGCAAGAATATGAAACAAAATATTTTTTTTAATGCAATTGAATAATTTATTTTTCCTTTCAAAAATGTATGCTCATGTACAAAAATGCTATCATATTTATAATATTGTCTTTCCAATTCTTCAAAGGTTGTTATTAATATTTATTACATAATATGTTCAAAAATTGGGCAATATACATAGCCAACTATATTATACTCCTCATCTTTGTACATTTGTTCACAATTAAAATTAACCATCGTTCAGTAACAAAATAACAGTTTCATAATACTCGTAATATAAAAATAAAATCAAACTTAAATAACAACAATAGTGACACCAAAATCATAACTTCCTTCTTATACAAGGTGCAAAAAACACTGGTCACTTTCATCAAAGGGTCGGTTTAAAGTACTTCAAATATGAAGCAAATTTTTTAACAACTGATTTATTTATATTTAATGATTGATCATTTTTAAAAAAAAAAAAAAAAAAAAAAAAAGAGGCCCATGGGCCACATCGCTCACCTGAGCACTGTGGCTAGGAAAAAGTAAAAATTGGTTTTTTATTGAAAAGTTTAAATCCAAAAGTAGTCCCTTGACCAATCATGGCTTTGCTTTTCTTGAGAAGGTTATTTTTAAAGAATTTTCCTATATATTTCTATATAAAATTTGATCATCCTTTGTGGCCCCGTCCTACCCCCGGGGAACATGATTTGAACAAACTTGAATCTACACTACCTAAGGATGCTTCCATATAAATATGATCAATCAGGGTTTTGCTGTTCTTGAGAAGAAGATTTTTAAAGATTTTTCCTTTATATTTCTATGTAAAACTTTGATCTTCCATTGTGGCCCCGCCCTACCCCGGGGGTTATGATTTGAACAAACTTGAATTGACACTACCTGAGGATGCTTCCATATAAATAGGATCAATTATGGCTTTGTCATTCTTGAGAAGAAGATTTTTAAAGAATTTTCCTATATATTTTTATGTTAAACTTTGGTCAGCCATTGTGGCTCCGCCCTACCCCCGGGGGTCATGATTTAAACAAATTTAAATCTACACTACCTGAGGATGTTTCTCCATAAGTTTCATTTTTCCTGGCACAGTGGTTCTTGAGAACAAGATTTTTAAAACATACCATCAAATTTTCATTAATTCCCAATTATCTCCCCTTGAATGAGGGTGTGGCCCTTTATTTGAACAAACTTGAATCCCCTTCACCCAAGGATGCTTTGTGGCAAGTTTGGTTGAAATTGGTCCATGGGTTCTAGAGAAGAAGTCGAAAATATGAAAAGTTTACAGACAGACAGATGGACAGACAGACAGACAAACAGCTAGATAGACAAAATGTGATCAGAAAAGAGCTAGAAATGAAACATTCCTCACCACAAAAGCCAGAAGAATATAGGGACCACCACCAGTAACATGTTTCTGGGAAGAACCAAACCATGCAGAGATAAATATCAATAGTCCTGAATCTTCGATGCAGGACCAAGTACGAGAATTGCTACAAACACTACTCCGAAGACTTACCTATTATCCTATGATGTAACGTACTTTGTCCACTGCAGCTGGTTCCCTCATAAGCTGGTTAGCGAGAACAGTTCAGGATGTCCTGTCAACTTTATTCCTCAACTTCCTGTCTTGGACTGAAAAGCAATAAGTGGAAATCTTTAGTGTTGCCTAGTGACTTTGAATTAAAAAGAAAGTTGCAAGATTGTAAAGGGGGGGTATTGATGCTGTGCATTTTAATTAAATGTACGAAATCTGTATTTCACAGTTTAATGCATTCATGTATTTTGTGAATTGTCTTAGGATTCATGTAATAATTGTTGCTATGTATTATTAAGCACTAAATCTATTCAACTGCATGTGTAAATGGGGAAAATGTGGATATGTAAATGATGTATAATTGCAATGTGTAAAATGTGACATTTTCTTATATGAGGGAGTCTGTTCATGTAATTTTTTTTTCATTAATTATTTTATTTATCTTGATAAAATTATTTCAATTAACAATATTGTTTTTCTTACCAGTCTGATGAACTCAACAAAGGTTACAGAGGTGAATGGTAGAAATATGGGTTTTACAGGTGTCAAAACTCTTCGTTGATGACCAGACTGCATGCCGCACTGTAAAATCACCATTTTGGATCTTTAAAAGGGGAGGCTACTCCTGAAATCAAAGAAATTGTCATAAAAATGAGTAACCTGATTTTCTTTAGGTCTCACACAAGGAAATAATTTCACTATATGTTACTATATAGCTTTAATTAAATAAATTAATTAACTAGACTCTCAGCAGATAATTCATGAATGAGAAAAAAGATTAATGCTTAGACAAAATTTGAGATCAGAAAAAATATACCCCTTATGCAGCTTTTAAGAAAGAAAATTGAGACTAAACATACCTATACCCCGAAATACACATGGGCAAACAACCAACACACCATCGAGGAAGTTACATCGATCATGCGTACCTAAAAAAAAAAGAGTTCCCTTTGATTCAGTGGCACAATTCTGCTGATATGATATTCCTAGTGCATGAGTCCAAAATTAAAACTGTAGACCTACGTAAAGTTCCTGAAAATGAAAAAAGAAAAGAAATATTATTGTCTCTATATACATCATACATAGAACTACATTTGTTCATTTTGATTGGCTATCTCCTTGCATAAGACCTTTAAGGGGTAATTTTATGATATTTACCATGTGCACTGATTGCCATAAAACTAAAGAAAAAATACCAGCCTTACAAAGTCACTTAACCATGACCTTTGACATACCTTACTAAGAATACCCTGGACAATTTGGTTTAACTTAAGACTTCTGAATTTTTAAATGCAGGTTTTGATATTAATTAACCATTTAATATACTTATCAGCTCATAAAACTGTTCTTTAAAACTGTATGATAAAGAGTGTAAAAACTTTGAAACATGTTTGGAAAGTATTATCACACATGTGATATGGGATAAATTATCACCACAGAAAGATCAAAGAAAATCACTGCAGATATGCGACAATAATTCTTATCATTGTTTATTGTATGTCAAGTCTAGAATATGATATATCATTACAAATATTATGATTTTTAGCCGGGCACATTGCTCGTAGAGCAATGCTCAGCTATAGCGACGGTGAGCAACAGAAAATGCTGCTTCTTCACCGCCAAATTGAGTTTACGAGTAAAAGTATGGTACGTGACCAGCCGCTGTTGAGAAAACAAAATCACCTTAAGAAATAGTAAATTGAATATTTTTATCATAATATTAAATTGTTTAATATTTTTTCCTGGCTCCTTTGACTAATATTTTACAAAGTAATTCAACGGGTGCGAAAGGTTTTCACCAGGTATCCCTGTCTGCATCATATTCTATAAACAATATAATTAAAATTAGATGTTAGATCGGCTCACATACTCAACACACTAACATCTAACAAGTCATCCCATTGAGGGTCACGTAAGAGGTTAAATTCGGAACGCCTCAAGATTTATTCGCTTCAACAATATATGATGATTTTGCCAGCTGCGATTTGATTAATTGATAGAATTTGACCTCTGACGTGACCCTCAACGGGATGTTGTTAGATGTTAGTGTAGCGAGTATGCAAGCGGATCTAACATCTAATTTGAAATAGATTGATTCTATAAATAAAGGTTGTACTATCAGGCTAACACAAATGCAGGGAACATCATTAATGACTTGATGCAAATCTCCCTGCTGAGGACACATCAGAGCAGAGACGTTTGACCTTAATCTTGCTGCATCGGTGTTTATTTACTTCTGTTTGTATATAAAACCGGATTACCCCGAAACGATACGTGATAAATATTTTTCGCTGTTAATTTCTAGCTATATTTTATTTTATTTTTAAAACTATTTAATATTATACATGCCATTGAGATATTTTTGTGTGTATTACATATTCTCTAAACGTCTGAACGTGATTTTAAACTGTCACCACAGTCCTTGTTCATTATCCTGTAAATGACCCCGGCTCAATACATTTACTATAAAAATAATTGGACAAATTTGTGAATGACAATATTCAATGATGCATAGCAATTAATCTTTTCCTGACATTCACCTTCTCCTAAAAATTTGTCGTGTTATTTATTTATTTATTGCAAAGTCGTCCCTGGACTAGTGCTACGGTCAATGCAGCTGCAATGGGCCATGCAATTTCGAACCCTGCGTGGTGAGAGTTTGTCCCGAGACACAGTTAGATTATTCTAACTAGCACCAATATAGAATAAATCATACCGATTAATCAACATCACTACAATATGAGGACGTAAAAATAGGATAAAACATCCTTTAGTCCAGCAATAAGCCACTAAATTGTTTTTGATGTACCTTCAAACAAATCAAATTAATGTTCTTGATTCCCACTTTTCACGTTATGACTGACTTAGTGCTTCTTGATACCAAAACAATTTTTCTATTACATGTACCTATAATTTTGACTTTAGGTTGAATTCGCCAATTTCATGCTTGCGAAGTTGTGTCATTGACTCAATGTGTGCATTACGACCGCTCCGGCTACTTTCGTTATTTCTAACCAATGAAAATTGTCCTTACTTTTCTGTTGCGTCATGCAATTTTATTGCACGCATCACTGAATTGTAGAACACACATCACAAGATTTCGAATATACATCACAAGATTATCGAACATACATCACAAGATTTCGAATGTACATCACAAGATTTCGAACATACATCACAAGATATAGAATATACATCACAAGATTTCGAATATACATCACAAGATATTGAATATACATCACAAGATCTTGAACATACATCACAAGATATTGAATATACATCACAAGATTTCGAATATACATCACAAGATTTCGAACATACATCACAAGATTATAGAATAACATCACAAGATTTCGAATATACATCACAAGATATTGAATATACATCACAAGATATTGAATATACATCACAAGATTTTGAACATACATCACAAGATATTGAATATACATCACAAGATTATAGAATATACATCACAAGATTTCGAACATACATCACAAGATTATAGAATATACATCACAAGTTTTAGAATATACATCACAAGATATTGAATATACATCACAAGATTTTGAACATACATCACAAGATTTTGAATATACATCACAAGATTTTGAATATACATCACAAGATTTCGAACATACATCACAAGATTTTGAATATACATCACAAGATTTTGAATATACATCACAAGATTTCGAACATACATCACAAGATTTTGAATATACATCACAAGATTATCAAATATTGCAACGTTTGACATGCCATATCTTTGGTATTAATCAACTATTTATGATAAAATAAAATTTATGCTAAAATTTCCAAAATTTTTAGATATGTGCACGTGGCCCCAGGGTTAGTGGTTCCTGTTGGAAGGGGTGCACAACTGGTGGTTATCATGTGAAAATGCATTTTATCTTTGTTACTCTGATCTACCTCTGGGTATTTTAAGTAACCAAAGTAAGCAAGCTACGTGTATAATTATCATGAAAGATGGTGCCTCTTTCAATATTGTGAATTTCATGGCTTTTTGTTTAAAACACGAACCAAATTTAATTGCTGGAAAGTTGTTACATGATATTCAGGTGACCTATAAGGCCCTTGGGCCTCTTGTTTAATATATATTTATAAAAGGTCTTTAAAAGCATATTTCAAACTACAGAAAAAATTTCTCTCAATGAATCCAAAAATTAAAACATGCCTACATGTATTTGATCACACAGTTGCGAGATTTGGGGATCATTCAATTGCAAAGCTAGTAAATTTAGAAGGGGGATAAAGTCTCCTTGGATCAGATATATTCTAGTACCATATGCGAAAAATTTCACATAAAGCTTTGTAAATTTCTTCTTGGTGTGCATAAAAAATCTACAAATTTTGCTGTTCTATCAGAGCTTGGTAGATTCCCATTACACTTTGACATAGTAAAAAGCATGATTAGGTATTGGCAAAGACTTGAAAGATTGGAAGAAACTAATAGAGAATTTCCTTTACCCAGAAATGCATATACATTCTAAGAAATTACATGCTGATAATAGATCCTCTTGGTACAGATCACTACACTTCATCCTAGAAAAGATACAGATCTTAAGGGATGTTTAAATAGCTTGAAAAAAGTTTGTAAATATACAATACACACAATCCTTAGGAAAACTTCCATAAATTTATGGCATGTCAATTTGGGCAGCTATATGGATGGTAAACTACGTACTTATGTTAAAATTAAAGATCAATTTGGTTTTGAATATTACCTTGATATCATTAAGAATTTTGAGTTGAGGAGATGCCTGAATAGACTTAGAATATCTTCACATCATTTACAGATTGAAGTTGGAAGGTTCCAGGGTATCCCAGCACACATGCGATTATGTTCAAAATGTGATTTAAATGAGGTGGAGGATGAAATGCATTTTCTCTTTAAATGCACTAAATTCAAAGATGAACGAGAAACTTTCTTAAAATCTATCTCAGACATATGTACCAATTCCCCTTATCTTGATTTTAATGAGAAGCTAATATGGCTTTCTACAAATGAAAATGAGTCAATCTTAAGATTACTAAGTCAATTCATATCAAAATATTGTATATGATTTTTGAACATCACTACATTGTTACTTTTTGTAAATGATAATTGTGCTCCTTTTGCCTATCTACATTAGACATGACGAGGAATGCAACCTTTTATTCATTTTTATATGTATGACTAGAATTCATGCATTTTCTGAAGCACCGTCCCTTGATGTCTTTTGTAGACTGGCAACCATTAATAGACCTTCTTCTTATACTATACTTACAATATTTGCACAACACTATGGTAAAATTGGTCAAATCCTTTTATTATGTACATTTTCTCTATTTTATGTGATATTATGCTTGTATATGATCTGTGTTATGCCCCCAGTGGGACCATAATTGGAAATAAATTCTATTCTATTCTATTCTATATTCCCACGTAAAATTTTAATTGATCCCATTCTACTCCGGGGATCATGATTTGAACAATCCTTTATATACACTATCTGAGAATTCTTCCATATAAATGTGACCAATCATAGCTGTGTTGTTCTTGAGAAGATTTAAAAAAAAAATTCTTGTATATTCGTATATGTCAAACTTTGATCGTCCCTTGTGACCCCGCCCTACACCCGGGGGTCATGGTTTGAATGAACTTGAATCCACATTAGCTGAGGATGCTTTCATATAAATATGACCAATGATGGCTTCATTGTTGTTTTTGGGAAGAAGATTTTTAAAGATCTTTCCAATACATTCCCATTTACAACTTTGATCTGTCATTGTAACCACACCCTTCCCCCGGAGGTCATGATTTGAATAAAATTGAATCTACGCCATCTGGGGATGCTTCCATAAAGATATTACCAATCATGGCTTTGTTGTTCTTGAGTTTTGTTGGTCTTGATTTTTCTTGTATATTCCTATTTTAAAATCTAATCACCCATTGTGGCCCCACCCTATCACTGCAAAGGTTTCTCGAGATGTTTCAGACAGTCAGAGCGACAGACAGCTAAACAGACGGACGGACAGAAGAACATTTGCTAAACTTTTATTCTGTCAACACCCTATTCCCTGGATCATGATTTAAACAATTCGTGCATACATTTTTTGTTTTTACTTACTTTGACACCCCCCCCAATATTCATTGTTGCCGCACCCTTCCCATGGGGTACGATTTTAACAAACTTGGATCTACATGCACTTACTGATTATGCTTCCAAAATATATGACCAATCATAGCTTTGCTGTTCTTCAGGAGAAGATTTTTCCTATAAACTACCAAACCTTTGATCGTCCATCATGGTCCCATCCTACCCCTCAGGGTCAAGGTTTGTACAAACTTGAATCTATACCACATGAAAATGCTTCCATATAAATATGACCAGTAATTGCTTTGCTGTTCTTGAGAAGATTTTAAAGATTGATTCCCAATTGTGACCCCACCATATCCCTAAGGGTCATAATTTGAAGAAAAAAAATGAATCTACACTTCGTCATGTAGCTTTCATATAAATTTCAACTTTTCTAGCGAACTGGTTCTTGAGAAGATTAATACTTATACACGCACTCACTTTTCACTATTTTTTACTTATCTCTCCTTGGAAGAGGGTTTTGTCCATCACTTGAACAAACTTGCATCCCATTTACTCAAAATAAACTGTACACGTTAGTTTAAAATTGGCCCAGTGGTTCTTGAGAAGTAGACGAAAATGTGAAAAGTGTACGACGCCGACGCAACAGATAACGGACAACTTTTGATCAGAAAAGCTAACTTGAGCATTCGGATCAGGTGAGCTAAAACAACAAAAAATACTATCAGGCTCTTTTATAGGGCCGCTTTTGAAAGGATGCGCTATCAGGGAATATTCAGTACAGAAGAAAAGGTCACAACCACCCATCCTAAAATATATTGACTTTCTCTCATGATTGAATCTTTGATAAATTGATTACAGTTTATGTGAACACTTTTTCATCTCATAGTTTCATTGTGAGAAGCTGGAAAACAAGAGCTTTTTGAGACACTGCATTAAAAATGAATGGTAAAGAATCAGTAAACTAGAGTGAAATTTTAACGCTTCATTAAAACTGCTGAAAAAGTCGTTAAGAATCCAAAAAAAATATTCACTGAAATATGTGAAATTTACAGGAACAGATGTCTCTTTTATACAGACACACGTGCAGGTGAATTTCAATGAACAAAAATGATATAATTGGCGTCAAAAATGGGTACCGTTCCTGGCAACAAGGACTTACAACAACCAATGTACTATTTGTGAAAGTTCAATAAATTATCACTGATGATGTTTGATTGAATTTAAGACACATAGCAAATTAAATTGATATGCATCATTTCGGGGGTGGTTTGCACTGTTTAAAGAAGCATTTGACAGTAAAAAAGCTTACTACTCAATGTTTTGAAAAATTAGTGAAAACGACAGTGTGTAAGAAATAAGAATTAATATCTAATCAATCATTTTAAAAAAAAATCAAAAGTTGTAGTTATCCACGTTTGTCTGACATTCAAACAGATAATGAAACTTGAATCTATTGCTTTAAACCCTCAAAACAAATTTACAATAAGATATACAATTGACAAAAACAGCTAAGGTCTGAGAAGAGCAAAGAAATGCAAAAGCACAAAAACAGTTTTATATGCCATTTTCCTAAATATTAGTAGTCTTGTTGCTCAAATTCTTATTCGCATCGTCGGAAACCCACGGGTGATCTCGTCTTTACTTATCACCCGTGTGTTTCCGACGATGTCTTCTTATTCGGTGAGGCAGTTCAATTTCTGTAGAAGTCTAGAAAGCAATTTTTTGCAAAAAGGTTTATGAGAGGAAGGAACCAAAATCAGGAATCTACTACATCAAATTTCTTCATGACAGCGTCCAAACCCACACGCCATGAAGAGTAAAGGGGTTTTGGGGATAAACATAAAGTTAATGTTTTGTCACACCAACAATATTCGCCAGATCTTTCACCCTTTGACTTGTTTCATTTTCCAAACTTGAAAAAAAAACATCTTTCAGAAAGAAGAAACAAGTCTAGGAAATCATAGGATCTGTCATGTTTCAGTATACTAAAACATGTGTTCTAAAAAATCAGAAATTGGATAAAAATGTTACGGACATGTGCTTTAATTAAAAGGGAATATTTAAGTGAAATCATTAAGACCAAATCATTGATCTTGAAAAGCTTTTTTTTTTTAATTCTTTCCGAGTACGGAGGACGTTATTTATTGAACAGTCCTCGTTCAGGACAAGAGTTCAAGATGACTATACAGTTACAGATAAAGAAATCATGAAAAACATCACGAAAGATAAACGGGATTACATTGACAACCTGGTCTAACAAATGAAGAAAAAAGTGGGGCAAGGAAACTTGAAAGAACACTATGTAGTTACAAAGAAGCTCTCCAACAAAATCCAGAAAAGCTAGTGAAAGACAAAAATGGGAACCCTCTGACAACAACAGGAGAACAATTGAAGAGGTAGGTAGAGCTGTTTAATAGACCAACTACAGAAATACCTTCGGACATACAACCAGTCGATACGGGACCTCCTATTCAACAAAGACAAAGATCCGGGAGAGTAATTACCAAACTTAAGAATGGAAAAGCGGCAGGACCTGATGAGATCATACTAGCAGAAACCATCAAAGGTGATACAAAGACATTTGTTGACATCCTATACAATCTCTTCTAGAAGATCTGGAAGGAAGAGAAGATGCCTGAGGAATGGAAAGAAGGCATCCTTATTAAGCTGCCAAAGAAGGGAGATCTGATTGATTGATTGATTGATTGATTGTATAATGTTTAACGTCCCATTCGAGAATCTTTCACTCATATAGAGACGTCACCGGATGCCGGTGAAGGGCTTCAAATTTAGACCTATATCGGCACTCAAGGAGATTGAGCAGCGAGGGTTCTTTATCGTGCCACCGTGCCATGGGACCTACGTACGGTATTCAAGGTCATATCCGAAAGACTCGTGACTTTCACTTCTGATGCCGAGCACTTGGCGAAGGAACAGCCACTACCTATGTTTACGCCTCAGGTTTGACGCAGTGTCGCGAACGAGAATTGAACCCGGGCCTCCCGATCACGAAGCGAACGCTCTACCACTAGGCTACCTTGAAGGGAGATCTGAAGAACTGCAGTAAATACAGGGGAATTATGCTCTTGTCAGTGTCTGACATGGTCCTCAAGAGAGCATGAAAGAGGCAGTGGAACTAAAGCTCCGCGACCAGCAGGCTGTTTTAGACCCGACAGATTATGTGTTAGTGTCATACTGTATTTTTTGATTTATCGGGTGGCACTTGTCATATTGTAATTTTTGTATTTACTTCCATCCGGTAAATTCAAAAATCACAATATGACACTACTATGACTAGCCTGGGCATCATAATTGAATAATCATTTCATGAGTGGAAATCCCCATACCTCTGTATCAAATTCATCGACTATGAGAAAGCAATCGACAGCGTGGACCGAGAGACACTGTGGAAGATATTGAGGCCCAATTATAGTACCCGAGAAGCTTGTCTCCCTGCAGTGACACCTACCAAGGCATGATATGCAGGGTTCCTCATGCTGACCACGTGTCCACGATTTTCGCGGTCATGACAGGAGTTCGACAAGGATGCTTGCTGCCACCATTTCTCTTGGTCATTGATTGGATAATGTAAACCACCGCATCAGGCAGTAACAAGGATATAATTCTGACACAACTTGACAATCCAGAATTTGTCCATGACCTGGATCTCCTTTCCCACAACCAGAGTCAAATGCAGGATAAAACAACTCACCTCGCAACAACATCAACAGGAAGACAGATACGGAATTCAAGATCGTCTTGGAGAAAACAAAAGTGATGAAGATGAACACCATTTCCCAAACATCAGTCACAGTTAGTGGTCACCCCCTCAGAGAAATTGAGTCCTTTTACCTGGTAAGTGTGGTGGACAGAAAGGGGTTGCACAGACCGTGACATCAAGTCAAGAAATTGCAAGACAAGAACTATTCTAAAGAACATCTGGGCTTTGATTGATTGTATGATGTTTAAAGTCTTTCTCGAGAATTTTTCACTCATATGGAGACGCCAACGCTTCCCGGTGGAGAACTACAAATTTTGTCCTATACTCAGCACTCAGGGCCATTGAGCAGTGAGGGATCTTTTTCGTACTAGGAACTACTGAAGCATGGGAACTTAGTTTATACGATCTAATCCAAAAGACCGGTCTCCACGTCCAACAGTGGGATTCGAACCCGCGATGTAAGGATCGACTCCTTACTTCGCAACTCTAGAGCACTCGCTCTAACCCACTGTGCCACGCGGGCATCTGGGCTTTGAAGGACACCCGCTTTACTACTACTCTCCTCAACTCAAATTAAAGTCCGCCCTATTGGATGGTGAAGAAACGTAGAGGTGGACCGAAGAATTCTTGCAGGAGAGCTAGACATTTTATAACACTTGTCTAAGGCGAATTCACAGCATTCAATGACCTGAAAGTATGGAAGAGAGCAGGACAGAAGCCATTCAAATCAGACAGAGGAATTGGAGTTGGATTTGGCATACGTTAATTAAGGAAGTCACCATCCAGCATAATACTAGGCCGCGACCTGGAACCCACAGGGCAAGAGACAAAGGGGCCGTTCACGAATCACCTGGAGGCGTGACTCGGATCAGACACTGCATGGACATGGCCTGGAGTGATGCACTGAAAGCAGCCCAGAATCGATGACTTATGTTCGTCATGGAACGACAGGCCTTAGTAAGTAACCGCCGAAATATGGCTGAAATATTGTCGACTAGGCGAACAACGCCAATATTGGGCTAGTCAATCAATCATTTCGCATTAATTATGACGCTTTTTCCCGCGTTATATTAATGACTTGAAAGGCGGCATTATTTTCATCATAGTGCGAAGCCAAAAAAGGGGGGATAAGTCTGCTCAAATATTTGTAAATTTTCATACTAAATTAACAATAAAAAAATCATTTCCGGACACTCATCGGGCGGGGGGGGGCATCCACATGCCTGCAATATATAATCCATTTCAATTTTGTATTCTTAGAAAGTAACGTTTAGTCAAAGTTGGATCAGTCTATAAAAAAATAATTTGACTTTAAATAAACTAAATAAAAAAAAGAAGATAAATCCAGTGAAAAAAAAAAAAAAAAAAACAACAAAAAACAAAAAACAAAGACAAAAGCACCTCTATTGTACACATGTGTGTTAAAAATATCAAGAAAAAAAAACAGTAAAAAAAGAAAGGAATCAAGATTTTAAATCACTGGGAATCTTTTTAGATAGGCTATTGCCTATGTATGTTCACGCGTTTCTAATGTTCGAATCATGATGTTTCATCTTAAAAGGTACGATCCATTATTTATTAAATAGATCTATACATTACGATCCCAAATGTCTATCAATAGCATGTAAATGTTTAGAAAAAATGAATATTTTATATATAATATTATTGAGGAAAATTTGTGATTCTTTTGACAAATTGAAAACAGGGCGCCAAATGACTGTGCATAACACACTCCTCGTACGATGGAAAAAAAGCAAATGGAGCGGAAGTGTAGATTACATGCGTGCGCATTGTCAATGAAAATACAGGCTGACTGAGAAGACACAAAAATCCTAGACCATATAACAGTTATCTGTTTAAAATAGATAAATTCTTTTGAGGAATCAACGTATTTAGGTAACAAATTAAATGTTTGATAATTTGTCTGCGTGGTTCAGTAAGATTTGTTGTTTTTTGTGCCACGCAGACAGATTGAAGTGTCGAAATTTTGACCTGTGTTGCAGGATGTAAACGACTCCAGAAAGATATCAAATTTCATTATTTTTACCACAAACTCGTGCACAATGAGGCAAAATAAATAAATTACGGCATTGATCCTATGATTTTGTTGACATGATTAATGAATATTTTTAATTTTGTCTTTTAAAAATCGAAGGGTTGATCAGCTGTTGTGGCAACCTTCTTCGATTTCATCATTTGTTTGGATTAGCATGTGAATCTAATTAAGTAAATATATAAGATGATTTATTAAAAAAGCTACAAAAGCTTTATGTTTCATTTTCTAATTTGAACAATTGTTGACCTTGCATTATTTTTAAAGAAGCACTGCTCATTGAATATGAAAAAAAGAAAACCAGGGACATTAGTGTAAGGGGTATTTGAAAAACTTTGAGAACTGATAAAATAATAACTATAGAATGGAAATGAGTGAGTTGAACATCATTGGACATATCTCAAATATACACACATACTGGGTTTCTGAAAACCAAATATTCTATCAGTCATTCTTGATTCGGACTGATGACTTAATGCGTTCTACCCACAGGCCTATAGATCGCTTAGGAAAAAAGTTGAGGTGTTGAAAAAAAAAATAAAGGTGTGGAACTCAAAATTTTGTCTCGCTAATAAGAAGGTACCTACTTTCGCCAATAAAATTCTTTTAAAAATCAAGTACTTTACAATTTTAATTTCTATCCATATCTATTCATATATAAACAATCTTCATTACTACTAAAGTTCATCCATAATTCTGTATACTTCTCGAGATAATCTGAAATTAGTTTCAAAATTGACCTTAATTTTTTTACTCGACATCAGCTTGGGCCTTTGAAGAGCTTTCCTAATTGTTAAGCATGATTGACAGGACAAAATTTTCCCGGAATTTATTCTATACTCGATGAATATTTGCTCATTTGCATTTGAGCTTTACAGGGTCTTTCTCTAATTTGATCATATGATCTTACTAAGTCACAAACAACATTTCAGCGGTCTAATTGTTTTGAAAATCAAAAGGTAATGCATTCCTTGGAAAATTCGTTCAACCATAGCTTCTTTTACATTCATAATCAATATGGCAGTGCAGTTGTTGATGTAGACGTTTTCAAATTAATTTTTTTGCGAAAGGAATTATTACGGACTTAACCTTACATTCTGGAGTAAGAAATCAATTTTAAAATGTTGAAAGATTTTGCAAATACTATGCAACTCTTTGCTGCACTTCAAACACCATCTGTTTACATGTGAATGACCAGGGGCCCAAGCTAATGTCGAGTAAAAGAAAGTAGGTCATTTTTGAAATCGATTTCGGAATATCTCGAGAAATATATAATTTCGGAATGAGCTTTCAAATTGGTAGAAATGAAGAATGTTTATCTATGAATAGATTCAAATAGAAAGTAGAATTTTAGAGCATTTGATTAAGAAATATTTTATTAGCAAAATTGCGTACCCTGATTAAGAATTCCATACCTTGATTATTTTTTTTACAAACAATTTTTTTTATAAGCAGTCCAAAGGCCTGTGGTTATACCAGTCTGAAGCATATGCTATCAGTCCAAATAAATTTTAGAATATACAGTGTATATTCAAAATGTACGTAGTTCAAAAGAAAATTGCATTGAATGTGTAAATCTTTGTCGCTCATCAACACTGTGATACTAGTGTTATATGCAACTATAAAGAATTCAAGCATGGCACCCACCCACACAGGCTTGTGACAGCAATAAAAACACTAGCCCTAAGTAAATGCTGGGGGGGGGGGGGGGGGTAACAACTAATATAAAGAAAAAAGTTTATTCTCGAAAAAGCTAATTTCTTAATAGGTTAGATACTATACTAATATTCTTTTTAAAATTAACAGTTTAAATCTTACTTGTAAAATTGAATCATGTATAAATATAAGTCATGATAAAAATTCAAAATAAAAATAATTTAAATTAACTTCACATTTTCTCAGTGGGCATTGCACTGCATGACCTATATACTGCATGTGTTGACCATTAACAGAGGAATGGAGGAAATTCAGATTAGGAAAAAAACAATTGTTTTTGGAAGTAAATAAGTCAAGTAGATTTGCAATATGGATAAGATTATGGATATTTACAAAGAATAGGAGCATGTTGCATTGAAAATTTTCATTTATGAAGACATAGCAGTGAATCAGAGTAATATAAATTAATCAGAACAAGCCCTCACCACAATCAGTCACACTGACCAGTATTGTCGCAAACATCCGTTTTACCTGCTCCGCTTACGCGTCGCCGGTAAAACTCAGTTTGCTACCGTTAATTCAGCATTAACGGTCACAAATACCAAATTAGAAGATAGTTATTTCCTAATTCTTAGGTGGTTTTGGAGTATGTTAAACATAGCATATTATTCTCAAATCTCAAGCAAAATATTGATAAGATAAAAAAGATGTTGTTAGAAAATGACAAAATTAACAAAAATACCAGAGAATATTGGTGGCTTACAGAATTTGGGGGCATTAATTCATCACATGTTTCAACCTATTTTGAAGGAAGAAATAAGGTTGAAGAGGTGTAATATATGAGGGTTTTTATTTTGCTTGAATGTGCACAGGGTCATACGATCCTACGTTGCACGGCAAAAAAACCAAGGGTTTATTAGAGAATGCAGAAGTATTAATTCAAAATAAAAGTTTTAAATACGTAAGATTGGAAAAACAATTCTCCTTATTCAATTCTGAAATCTATTTTGTCGTCTTTTTAAAATTTCCAGTGTATTTCGTTAATTTTTGGCAGTTTCCCGAGCATTCGAAATGGGAAAGTATTAATCGCAACATATGTAAAATGGCGACGTTTGATGATGTTACGGTGCACCGGATAGCAGTGCAGTTTGATTTTGGTTGTAATGACACCTTATTTAGAGACTTTATATGAATATAGAAGAAAAAAATATGAAAATATTACCAACTCTTTAGTATACAAATGAAATGGGAGTTTTCTTAGCGAAGTATGTTCTAATCAAGTCCCCTGGTTGTACAAAACATACAGACAAACTGCTGTTGTAATAGCAAAAGACGCTGTCACTGCCGACCATTAATATAAGATTGTTTATTAGTTGAATGATGGTGAGAATACTGTCCGTAACTTACTATCAAATCTTCAGAAGATTGCACGTGTGTGCCAGAATCGTTCCTCAACTCTTTATGTAAACTCAAGTATATGTGCATCAATGAAATTCCTAAGTTTAAGTGGGACTTATCCAACTTTATTTTTAGCAAGAAGAAACGTGACGCTGCTATGAACACTGACATTATCATCCGTGCGCCTTAAGGCGAAACAATACATAAAACAAAATCTCATAATTTGTTTATTTATGCATATATCTATTTGAAATTTGCTATGTATATTCATAATATATGTACTAAAAAGTGGTAAAAATTTCAGAAAGCAGTGATGATTATTTTTTACACTAAACAACTTGTCTACAATTTTTACCGGACAACCCTCATACTACCGTATAACGGGTAATTTTTACTGATGTAAATTTTTACGAATTACGGTAAATAGGGTGATGTAATTTTTTACGCGTTAAATTTTTACCAACTGAGCATGTCCGTAGAAATTAAGAAGTTCTAGATCAATGTTTTAGCATTTTGAATGTGTTAACATACAGATAGATGTTTTAAATGTGTCTGGACAACCCGATGTAAAAATAAATACGAAGGCGTTTTTTATTTATGTGAAATTTTACACATAAAAAATACCCGTTATGCGGTATTTTCTTGTAGAAACCAAAATGGTGCCAGTTGTCTAACCCCAATGTAAATTTTAAATTTAAATCATGGAAAATGACCATGAATAAAATTGTACATGTCAATGCATTGTCACAAACAAGGGCCAAAATGTATGATTTTCTCACAGTCTGGCCATAGTTGAATGAGAAAATATTTCGTACCTCAATAAAATGTTGACCAATGCGAATAAAGCATAGTTGGAAAATGAACTTTGACACAACCTTTCAATACCCAATTGCAGTTTACGAAATATTTTTGTTAATTGATGATGTCAGTTGTTGATTTAAATTGCGATGTAAACAAATACAGTGTATTGTCCTTGGCTGAACATGACATCACAGCATACAGGTGTAAATATTACAATCTAATTAAAATTAGATGTTACATCCATGCACTCATATACTCACTACACTAACATCTAACAGCATCCCATAGAGGGTCACGTCAGATGTCAAATTCCATCAACCAATCAAATTGTTGCCTGTAAAGTCATCATATATATATATATTTGTTGAAACCAATAAGTCTAGAGCTGTTCCGAATTTGACCTCTGACATGACCCTCTATGGGATGTTGTCAGATGTTAGTGTAGTAAGTATGTGAGTGAATCTAACATCTAATTTTAAATAGATTGTAAATATTAAAGATTATGACACTTTATGTGATCAAGCAGCCTGTGTTGGAGATAGCTATAAGCAGACTCTGAACCGTGGCTTGAGACAATGATGTCAATGAAACTCATATTATTTTTTGGGGTCAAAAGCAATAGTGAGTTTGGGATCACCAAAATTGAAATTAAATGACAAATTTATGCACAGAATTATGTTGGGGAGAACTTTTTGTATGTTTTATTTGTAAATGGTAAAATTCGTGTTATCTAAGATATATTTGTGAAAAACTGCATTTGTTACACTTGGATGATTACTTAAAGAAAAAAAAGGTATCATTTTTTGAAGTTTAAAAAAAATCTGATCCACCCTTTTGTGTGCAAAATTTTGGCAGTTTCTGTAGGATATGTAGTGGATTTGGGACACTTGTACATGTTGATAGACGCAAAAACCTTCCCTAGAACTGTTTGAACTGATTTCAGATTTAATTTTACATCATTATTATGATGCATTTCCTATTGAGATGAAAACTGGCACTTAAATGAAACTGAAGTGAAAAATTTGAGGTTTGCAACTTTGACTGAGGATTTTGACATCAGTGTTTAGAAATCTGTTGAAAATTTTAATGACAGCTATTTACTGATTGTTAATAACATCATGAGATAATCTATTCTGAAATAAGCCACTGTCCTATGCATAGTGCACACCTCAAAAACACCCCCACATAATCAAAACGTTTTTAATTAAAATAAGGTGTAGTGAAGAAGGTTGTAATTTATTTTCGATCAATGAGATCAAAAATTACATTTATTAGATTACATTTGAAAGAAAATCTTCACGAAGAATATCACTATCATTTAGAAACTAACACACTCAAAAAATTACGATGAAATTAAAAAACAATCAGGAATTCAAAGAAGATTCCTGAAAATTAAACTTAATGAAATAAATTTATTTTGTGCAGATGAAATGTTTAATTATTCCTGTATGGATTTCATATGTACAGCATCTAAATCTGGGGAGTGTGGATAAATAAGTGCTAAAAGCAAATATGTCATTGTGTATTATGAAAATTATTTTCACAGCTCTTTATCACATTAATTTCAGAAATTCAAAATGTAATGCTTTTTATTTATTTTTTTTTTTAATGTTTAACTCTAGTTCTCATTTATATTTGTGACTATACCAGTAGTTAAAAATGAGTATATAGTCAAAAGGAAGGTTTTGTAATGGGAAAAAATCTTTTTGATGTGTCAATGAATGAAAATGATTCAAAACATGGAACAATTTTGAGTTAAATTACTTATCAAGTCAGAAGTTATAGCTTGTACCTAAATTTTAAAGAACTGTTAAATAAAGTATGGATTGTTTAAGCAAAATTTCTGAGACAAAAAAAATTTGTCCTATACAACATGATAACAGATAATTGATTTGTGGAAAAACATTTCAATAAAAAAGTCACTGAAATTGGCTAATAAAAATTAAAGCCATGATTGCAACATTTAAAATGGCAAAACTATAGGTAATTGTGTATTTAGATTTTTACTGTTAATGCCAATTTACAGGACAAATATATCATTATATTATTCTATTTTCTTTCAGGTTAAAATTCTGGCATGAGCCAGACTCAGGAAAGTGCCTATGGCAGACCAACCTGAGGAAGCAAGTGGGGGGTCAGAACATCACCACATCCCAGGGGCAGCAGTGCACCACTCAAAGTACACACAGTAAGTAGACTTCTTGTGGAGTGGAGGGAGGGGGGGGGGGTAGGCCAGGGGCAACAGTGCACCACTCGAAGTACACACAGTAAATAGACTTCTTGTGGAGTGGAGGGGGGAGGCCAGGGGCAACAGTGTACCACTCAAAGTACACACAGTAAGTAGACTTCTTAAGGGGGGGGTTAGGGCATTGCAGCAGTGCACCACTCAAAGTACATACAGTAAGTGGACTTCTTGGGGTGTTAGGACATGGCAACAGTGCATCATTCAAAGTACATATAGTAAGTAGACTTCTTGGGGGGGGGGGGGGGGGTAGGCCAGGGGCAACAGTGCACCACTCAAAGTACATACAGTAAGTAGACTTGTTGGGGGGGGTGTTAGGGCATGGCAGAGGTGCACCATTCAAAGTTCGTAAGTAGACTTCTTGGGGGGAGGGGGGGTAGAGCATAGCAACAGTGTTCATACTGTAAGTAGACTTCTTGGGGGGAGGGGGGAGGTTAGGCCAGGGACAACAATGCACCACTCAAAATACATACAGAAAGTAGACCTCTTGGGGGGAGTTAGGTCACGGCAACAGTCCACCACTCAAAGTACATACAGTAAGTAGACTTCTTGGGGGGATGGGAAATTCTAGTAGGGCGTGGAGCTAGGCCAGGAAAATAAGATCTAGGACATCTGCAATTTATGCATGATTTGTTGCTTGTTCATTTCTTTTTTTCCATTTAAGGGGGATGTACAAGCCATATTGGATCTAGTCTGGTGTAAAATAAGAAATACCAAGAATGCGCTTAATACTCTACTAAACTAGCCCAAAGTTACTCAAAGTGCTAATGCACTAATTACCTACTGTTAGAGACCAAAATCAGTTAATAATTAAGTTTATTTTGCTTTAATTAGGAGGAAATTAATCATGTTAGAACTGCGCAGCTACAGCATTCATGAGATGAAAAATGCATTGAATATAGTGTTAGTTTGATTCATTGGTAATATGGCTACAACCATTTGTTTCGCTTTTTTCTGGTCATTATCCATAATTCTTGAAAATTTGATTTTTCATATGGGTGTCTTCCTGAGACCATGTGTTTATTTCGTCCGCCATTCCTCTATCACACAGAGTTCGAATAGCATTTGTTTTAGAATAAATGCGACCATAATAACATCAAGACAAGAAATTACTAAGTAATAATCATTAGGTTATATTACTCACTACTTTTATTTGTTGCATTGCATCGTCTGATTAATGAAAAAAAGCGATTTTAACCCCACTCCAGCAAATCGGGAAAATCTGTTCTGTTTACAGCTCGAGTTTCCTAGATAATATCATTCCACTGAGCACGTAGTTGGCATGTGCATTTATCTGCTATGGATAGATGCGTTTATTACCATAATTATATTTAATTTTTCATGGAACAAGTCTTGATGATTTGTTGGTTTCTTTAAAACTCAAGAAAAAAGATAAAACATGTCCTAAACATATGTGATTACGGCGGGTCTTTTTTCTGTGGCGATAGAAGTTATTTTCAAATGGGGCACTGCAAGGAGGATGCTCAGCATTTAATTTGAAAATGTTAAACAATATGCGGTGCATGAAAAACAAATTGTAATTACATGTCTTACATTCGAAAAGTTGGTACATGTGTCTATTTTGTTTAGCAGTTAGATAGAAAAAATAGGCAGTTATAGGATTTCCTTCAGGCACCTCACATAAATAGCTAGATTGTTTGCAATGAACCACACATTGTATGGAGTAATGTTTGGACATAAAAACGCATCATGTCTCATTATGTTGACAACATTGTAAGCTCTCGCTCATTGAACATACGAAGCTTGATAAAATATATTGAGTTGTTTCTTTGAAATTTAGAAGCAAGCACAATGTTTGCAAAGAAAAGTCCATTGCATATGCTATGTCTATCACGCAAGAAAAATGAGAGGCTACCCCCACCCCCCACCCCCCCCAAAAAAAAATCACATGTTTGTTTTTCAAAATAGTGCCAAAGATTCAAAAAGAACCTGGTTCATTTGTCGCAAAATTCGGCCCCGTGTCAGATTTAATAATATTCCTCTAAGTTCTTCTAAAGAGTGTATATTTTTATGAAATTATCAATATATACCTGTACAGAGCTTTATTTATGTTTTACATAGCTGTAAAGGTAGCATTGTTTACGTTAACGTTGCGATATTTTGACGTTGATTTATGCGACGTCATAAACAAGAATGGGATACAGGATATTTCAAAATAAGTCGATCTAGCATGCATTTTTCATTTTGAACGTTTAATGAATTTCATTCACAAACGTAACGCGATATTTTTTGTTCAACATTGATATAGCATACGATACTTACTAGATTCATTTTCCATAATTAATAGTAAGTCTTTGAATCAATTGGTATGTTTGGATTTGATTTTGTAAAATAAAAATCGTATTTAGAGAAAATTATAATTAAGTTGTGCATTTGGAGAGTTTTCATGTGTTCGCGGACTGATGCCATGAGATTCATACCGCTACAATATTTTAAAGAACTTTAAATATTAAAAAAACTGTACTTGTAAATGTTGAAAAAATCAACTTGATTCTTTAAACATTTTACTATTTCATCGTTAATGGATGACCCTGCTCTATATGTCGCCCTTTAAATTGCTTAATGGCAACGTCATTGCTTCTCTATCTTTTCTCCTTCTGCCTCAATACCCTTTTCTTAAAATAACGAGATATCATCGTATTGATAAATTTTTATTGAAACTGATCTTGTTAATATGAGTTTAAAATTTTATAAACAACTGATTTCAAAACACAACATTGAAGAATGAGCAACGATGAAGAAGAATGATCCAAAGTCAATTATTTTGCTCGTTGAATTTCAATTTTTACCGTTGCGAGTAATTTTACTTTTCAACAACGTATACCTGACTTTTGACACTCGCACAGCGATTCAGCACAAAATTATCTCTACTCTACCTTAACCATTTGTTGTTTTGATTAAAAAAAAAATAAATAAAAATCGTCATCTGGACTAATTTTGTCTTGCTCCTTTCGGCGAATTTCGACAAATTTTGATATTTCTAAAGGATATGTAATTTTTTGACCAAAAAAAACCCCACACCGTCCTTTTTTCCAGGGTAATATTTTCCAGTAAGATTATATTAGTTTACGGTCAGAAGAACAGAAAAAAATGTGAATATGTCAATAAATGACATTGATTATTAGATGACAAATGATCACATTTAAAAATGTGTTTCCCCTACCATAATAAAAATAAGTCGTTATTTGTATTGCTTGGTTATACCAATGTTTATTAAAACATTTTTATAAGATTTATTCAAAAATATAAGCCGTATATCGTATAGTTAAAAAGTTGAAAGAAAAGAATTATGTTGTTATACCTTTATATTTGTAAGAATTTGTTCCAGTACAAATCTATTTGAAAAAAATCTAACATATCTAATGTTTTACTGAGTGTGAATAAAAAAAATCGATGTTTGACTGCAGAGTGAGATGTTGGACCTGTCGATGAAATGTTAGACCGCTTACGTCACATAATAGGCGGATCTTTATGTCGCATTCATTGGTGATAAACTATGACGGAATGAAGTTTACATCACGGAAGGCAGTACAAGATGCATGCATGTAAATATATAATAAAAGGTATAAGAAAAATTTATTGACAGTATTCTCGGGCAAAATGCGTTCCGTATGCAGTAGTTTATCGCTGCGATTCAGCGCTAAAGTTCTAAAGACAGTTGTTAATAACCAACAGCACGTAGCAACAGGGGGGGGGGCACTTTTTCCCCAACATTACCTTTACTATAGAAAATGTTCATTAAAAGGATGGTTGTCCCCCCCCCCCCCACACTTTGTAACATAGTATAGTGATATCAAGGAAGTGTAGGAAAAAAAGGAAGTGAAAGTAATTTTGCTTTGAAAAAGTTGGCCACTACCCCCACCCCCCACGGAATAGGATTTTCGAGTTTGGGCAACTTTTAATTTTCGGTTTTTTTTTTTTTTTTTTTTTTTTTTTTGCTTGTCAAATTTTTCAGGTAAGTAAAATATATTTTTTTCTCTGGTCCCCCCCCCCCCACACTTTCAAAGACGATGCTACGTGCCTGGCCAAATTTGTAAACGACTAAAATGATTATAATTGCCGTTGTTATAGAAAATGATTTAGTGTGTATGTAGCTGAAGACCTATGCTCACTACTCTGGGGAAAAAATGGAATGGACCACCGTCACCATAAAACTACATTCAATTCTGCAGTTAGTGTGCATGTCGGTGTGGCTCGCCGGCTTCTGGCCTTTTTGTCTTTCTTATTTTATTTTTAAAAACAATATTCCCACAGCGAATTCGACGTAAATTCATGTTATCATACTTATGTCAGGTTTTCTGAAAAAAAATGTAAAGTTTTGTTCTAATACATGCAGATATGTTACTATTATCTACGTGATACGCGTATTGAACAGACCGAATTTCCAACGATGATTTACACGTGTTACATATAACCTTCACATTTTCACAATGTCAAGGTTTTGTGATATCGTTCTTCTTCATGACGTTGTATACGAGAGGTGAAATTTCACAAAAAAAAATTGAGATGTGTAGGTATATCGGTTGGTACATAGATGAGCTAAATATTTGTACATTAATTCACCCTGTAGTAAAGAAGGAGAGAAAGGTACATGTACCACACGGTTTATTTAAGGAATCGTATGCGATTATGCATAAAATTATCACGCAAGCAAATCGATTGATCATTGTCATAAATTGAAAAAATCTGACAGTTATTCATTATTTTGTAAAATGTGCAACAGCAACTTCCATGGAGCAGATTAAAAACATAAAACAAAACAAACTTTGAACCTATTTCCTTCCTATATATCTTTTACACAGTGTATTTTACAAGGTATTCTTGAACGTTGCATCCCCCCCCCCCCCCTGCGCCCTCATCATTTTTGGTTGTATGCTTTATCAGTTTGGCGCGTTTGAAAATTAATTCAAAAGAATTGAACAAGATGCAGCCCCCTCGGAAGACAGATCACTAAAATGTATTTTTAAGGGGAGGGGGGGGATCATATCAGATATATAATAAAATTGATATAGTTTACATGTTCTATGGCGGACATATATAATGAGGTGAGAACAATAACACTATTTGAAATATTTAAGTCACTTTGTCATAAAAACACGTGTTTAAGTCCGAAGCACTAATAATCATTGATAAGCAAAATATAGCCGAACATTCAGTTCAGTGATAATTATGCGTATTTTTTTTTACATAACAAAAAAGTTAAGAGAGAGAGAGAGAGAGAGAGAGAGAGAGAGAGAGAAGTAAAAAGTTGAGGTTGGAAGAGTATCATTATGTTTATCGTTAAAATAAAACATCAAGTAAAACTTCACCATTTATTTAGAAGGTAGAGGGTAGAATGAATGAATTAAAAAAATTTTGACATGAAAGAATATATAACTAATGTAACTGAGAATATAATACAAGTTAAGGACATATACGAGCCCTTTCGAAACTTTACACTTTTAAACATATATCTCATTACAAGTACATGTACCTATAGAGACAATCGATTGATTGATTGATTGGTTGATTGATTGTAAACTTGTAGTTTAATGTCCTTTTGGAGAATATTTCACTCATATGGAGACACCACTACTAGCCGGTGGAGAGCTGCAAATTTTGTCTTATGCTCGGCACTTAGTCAGGGTCATTGAGCAATCGGATCACACTCGCCCTTTTCCGTATCTGATAAAAAGTTATTTGTGGTTACGGAAATGGCAGAGTAGTTACGATTGGGTCATTGAGCAGTGAGGTATTTTTTTTTTCGTGCCAGCATCTCGGTTTATACGATCTCGTTCGAGCTGAAGAACCTGTCTCCACGACCCACAATGGATTCGAACCCGCGACGTAAGGATCAATTCCTTACTTCGCAACTCTAGAGCATAATGCTCTAACCACTGCAATTCGCTGGTAATTTTCGATAAATACATGTAATTTCTTAGCAAATATTGAAAAAGCGTGTCAAAATATGGATTTAAGTTTTGCAGATGCACGCCAAATAGGCAATGCTTTCTTGGAACACATGCAAACTTTGTGATTCTTGACAATTAAAAGTATCTTAAAATTGTCTATCCTATTATGTTTTGTTATCACGATAAGTATATACGTTGTATTTCTTATGCTTAGGATTATATTGCACAAAGGACTAACGTTATAGATCTATATTTTATCAAAAGTATTACACCCCATTGTGACGTCATTATTTTTAAAAATGACGTATATGTATTTCTTTTCTTATTTTATCAATAAGACTTTATAGACAAAAGCATTGCAACTAAATATATAAAATAACATTACTTGATGTTCATAATATTGATGTGAAGACTTCATCCTATAAAATTACGATTTTTCAGCGATACTTTGCGAGTTATAAAACGTGTTATAGCAACATTCTGTCTCATTCATGGGTTTTGGTGGTGTAAAAATGAACACATTTTTAAAAAATAAACATAGTCCGCAAAATAACACCATCGTAATTTTTTGCATAAAGAATGCTTTTAAATCAATGTTTCAACTGAGAAAATTTGAAAGTGGTGTTATGATGCGGACCTATTGAAAATTGCTTTTAAGTAGTTGATTTTTAACGATTTTTCCGGAAATACGCATTCCATGCATGTTTTGACCGCCATAAAATAGTAAAACGGGACACATTCTAAAAAGTTTGGTCTATATTTTAAGAAAGCACATACCCAACATTTATTTCCACTATAAAGTTTTGATTCAGTTGAAACTTAAATTTGGGGAAATTTTCAGGGCCCAATATAATAAGAAGTGAATTTTGTTCTTTTGCATTACTAAGTATGTGATGGAACATGTACTAGCCTTATAAGACAATTTGTTATAAAAATATTTGGTTGCCCTCTCTCCCGATCTACTGCCTAGAAATGGCCCGACTCAATTTTTTTTTTTACATCCTATTACATGTTGTTTTTTTTCTTCCGTCAACGAATATGTTTAAAATTTTAGGAATTTTTTTTCTCACCTACAAATACGGACCCAATAATTTTTCCCTGAGTTGGGAGGACCACCAAACATCATTTTAAAGATGGTATAAAATGTTTATTAATGTTGATTTTTTTCCTTTACTCTGTAAAATTGTAATTTTGACAAAAAGGGCAAATAGAAAAAGTTTTTGTATTCATTAAATCTCCTAACCCACTCTGAATGATTTCATTCCTTTTCAAATGTTGCTCCGCTAAAATCAAAATTGTAAATGTTTATTTGACAGAGTATACGAGGGTAGATCAAAAAGTAAACGATATATCTTAGGTATTTGATAGTTATATTATTGTTGAAATATTCAAGTATTTTTCAAAGTGTAAATTGGAGGTCTTTGATAGCATATTGCTTAATTAAAAACACATCCCTTTTCAAACTTGCTAATATATCACTGGGCAATATAACAAGTATCATATTTAACCATCTGCCTTCCTTCACTAAAACGATCTATCCAATCATTGATTGAATTTGTAGGAAGTCATTTGTCTTAATAAACTATGAACAAATTCTTATATGCTACTTCAAAGGCATTTTGAAGATATACCATAAATATTTTAGTCGTTTGTTAAACGAGTTCCACTGAAGCAACCATTTTTCGTCACAAGAACCTGCATAATGACGTCATTATGAGCAAAACTTTATTCAGCATGTGCTATTTTATAGAACTTGTGTTTGGCTATGTGTGCACCAAATTTGTTTCTAATCTGAATTGTGGTTTTGTAGATATAGAGATAGTTCGCGAACTTTTTGATCACCCCTCGTACTAGTAGGTCATTCATATCGATTTTATGTGTTTAATTTCTTTGTGTTTCATTAGTGATAATTAAAATTTTGATATATATTATAAGTTATCTGTGGCAAACTTACAAACTCTTAATTCTTAACTTTGATGGTGCTCATTTTTCCTTACCTGGAATCAAAGAGTTTAAGATTTTTTTTCTTTGATATCAATAAGTACATTATTTAACAACTGTTCGATAATAATTATATAATAGTGTTGTGTTTTGCGTGCACTCTGCATAAATAGTAGTCTGGTTTTGACACATCGTGCACTAGCCTCGGGCTCTTGCACCTTGTTTAAAACCCTGACTACTATTTAGGCATAGTGCACGCAAAACACAACACTATTGTTATTATTATGCTGACTGTTGTTACTGTATAAAAACGACAATATTTTATTCATTCCCAATGTTTCATCACATGTTACATTCGTCTACTCTATTATGACGTCACCTTATGCAACATGTACGTCATAATCTTTTTCTTTAATTTTGAACGTTCTTTTTAAATATAATCTACAGATAGTTTTAGAGAATATTATTTGAGTGAAGGAAGGGGGGTTGCAAGAAACTATTTTAGAAGAATTATTTTGTTTATTTTTAATTTTAATCATAAAATATTTGAAACTAAGTTTATATATATTATAGTACAGTACTATAGATAACGGCGTCTTCGGCGTAATCGGTAGCACGTTGGACTGACAATCTCGGGGTCGTGAGTTCGCTCCCCGGTATGGGCGTTGTCGGATTTCCCCAAAAATGGAAGCCGTGCTCTATTTCGGCATAGTATGCTTACGCTATATAAATCCTTAGACCACTATGCGAGAATAGTAGGGTATGGGTTATATAGAGACAAACTGACAGGAAGCATAATAATACTAAATAAATTACTTCAAGCCATACTATAACACATTTCCTCTTTTAAAAGTGTTCATATTATTTGAAATATTTTGCAACTGTAATTCTCTTCTACATTTAAAGATTGTTATGTCCCTCCATATTAAGAAGAGGTCTGGAAAACAAAATTCTGTGCTAAAAATAAACCACGTGCTGCTATCCATGAACTACTTTCATGGTTCTTTACACTCTTTTTGAAGACAACGATACCTTGTTTTGAACTTGAAATTATCATTTAAAAGTGCAAAATTTAGACATTTTCTCAACAAATGGTTGTAGAGAGAACATTGATGCACAGTTTGCATATTTTTTTGGATTTTTTAAGGCTCTGCTGAATTCTGTAGCTGCGCAGTTCTAAGGAGCATATCAAAAGCATTTTTCTGCAAAAGTATAGATTATATATGCACAACATGCATTCAGTTATGAATATTTATTGTATCTTTATCATAAGGACTTAAAATTTGATCAAAATATGATGTATTTTAGCCATTTGAAGAAAAGTTTACATTTTGTTCTCACAGCACTAAAGGTGGCCGTACATCCCCCTTAACCTTGTATTTATGCTTTCATAGATAGAAAATAAAAATTTTATTGAGAGTTGCTTGTAATGAAGCTATTGGAATTATAAAATAATTATATAAGGATGCAATAAGGAAGAAAGAAAGGAGGTTCTATATGATACACAAGTAACAATTTAACTTCCCTTTTTTATTTGAGTGCAAAATCATTACATTACATTATAAGCATGGGTAAAAAAGCATCTGTTTATCATGTTTATTGCAGACAATTTCCTGAAGAAAAAAAATCTCGCTCCAAGCGAGGAAACAAAAGAGGATCCTCATTTCCTATAGAAAGTCACTCTGCAAGTAAAAGCAGTAAACTCACGAACGATCCCACTGAGTCAACTCGACCTCGGAGAAATTCACTTGACTCAGTTGGCAGTAGCTCAGCAAGTTCATCAACTCGACTGTCATACCGGCGTCAGTCAGTGGATCTGCCTATTGAACCATACGCAATATCTCAGAATTTACGTTCCAATTCTAACGCATCTGTGATAGAAGGAATACCTTACTATAAAACAAAAGAAAAACCAAAAGAGACGAAACGAAGTGCCCAACGAACAGTCGACCACACCACCAAGAAACAAAAAACCAAGCAGAGAGAGGATAAAAATAAACATCCAGAAACAAAATCTCTGATCACTGACTCAAATAAATTAACCAAGACTGCATCTAAATCTCTGACTCCAGGGAAAAAATCTCATTTGTCAGGTGAAACAAGCACAGGGGGTAGTCGAAGAAAATCTCTCCAAGCTAAGTCGCCTGAGCTTGACAGCTTACGGCGAACACGTCAAAGCAAGAAAACGGGATCCTGTGCAAGTAGCAGGTAAAATAACAATATTTAGGCTTCCAAAGTGTTTTGAGATTTGAATTTCTGGATTTTTTGTGGTAGAAAAAAGAAAGTGAGGAGTTATAATTTTTTATGATGAATATTAGTGTAGGATTTCTGTTATATACCTATTTTAGCTTCCAAGTTATGATGCAGACTGAGTACTTATTTTTTTTTGAAAAAATCAGAGTTGGTTTGAATTTTCTACTGTCACAATTTTGCTTCCTTGTAGCCTGTTTCAGATAATTATGCAAGGAAAGAGTAACAGCTTAGTTTATCTTCAAGATAAATAACTTATTCCTAATTAAATTAAAATATGGCAAAAATATATTTTATCCTTGATTTCATATTTTTTTGAACAAATGCAATACATTGTATTTCTAAACTGGTTGATATTTGCAGCAGTAGTAGGCAATCGTCTTCCCTCTCGAAACGCCAGGGACCCAGCAGGGGCCGGGGTGAGAGCAACGAGGGAACCAGCAGTGGCAAATCTACGACCGCGTCCAGTCGTGGCAGAACGACCGAGACCGAGGCCAACAGCAGCAGCAGTGTGATGGCGTCAGAAGAGGCAGAGGGAGGGAGAATGGGGGGTAGTGAAGAGACCCCCAATCTGGCAGCCGGTAAGGGGCTAATTCTATCATGGAAAGATAAATATGTTACATACTGTCAATATATACATGTGTTAATGAATTTTGGACAATATAGCAGAAAAATATGAATATCACAAATAAGCAGCTTAGCTTTCCAACAAAATTTAGAAATCCATGTGCCATGGACCAAAAGTTCAGACCCCAGGGTGGTGAGGACTAAAAGTGTGAATTAGGTGATCATGTGGGTACAATCCACTAATTGTTTTCCCAATGTTACAATGTTAACGTTTCTTCTCATAGTGATGTCCCTAATTTTCGTTCAGCAGGGAGTGACCCTTCAAATTAAAGCACATCAAGTTGTCTTTCCATGGTTAAAATCTCGAGGTGGCATGTCAGATTCGTTTTCCGGCAAAATGCGTCTGTCTGCGGGAACCTCTAAAAATGAAAGTGAAAGTAGGGGAAATTCACAGTTCTCACTGGCGTTACAATACACAAAATTATTCGGCTGATCTTCTTGATAAATTACATTTGCCAGGCTTTTTTGGTAGGAAAGATACTCCTTATCAACAAGTGTGAGGCTCAGTTCAGTACATCTGCACAATTTTTTTATGCAAGTCTGCAAATTAAGGAACTTGTAATTTTTTCTGCACTACTTTCTTCTACTACCGATTCTAAAAATAATTAGTGGGATGTACCCATGTATTTGAAATCCATGCATAAATATTTGAGAAAAAATTATATGCTTGATCATCTAGGCAAACTTCATGCAATTTGATAAATTCGTATTGCATGAATCAAAAGTTTCAATCCCAGGATGGCTGAATTGAGCATAGCTGAAAAAATCCATGATACCTGTGTGATTTTCAAGGTTTGTGTTTCACTAGTTTTACTATAATAACTCTAGATAACATTTGCTGATTGTTTTTATTTATGATTTTTTAGCCACAAGTTCGGGTGGAGCTACAGCCAGTCTGACCTCTGAGAGTGAGTCAGAGGAGGCTGATATGGGGAGACTACAGGCCCTCTTAGAGGCCCGGGGACTGCCCTCCCAGCTGTTTGGGGCCCTCGGCCCTCGAATGCACCAACTTCTTCACCGCACCATGGGGGGAGGCTCTAGTAAGTAAAGCAGAACACAGACCAATGTTATTGTTTTCAGTTGTAGACAAACTTTTTTCAGATGTAGAAATACCAAAATTTATCATTGTTGTCAGAGAATTTTAAATGTGCTTTTCTATTTTTAGTGAACAAAGCTCAGCAACTCCTTCAGGGTTTACAGTCAACTGGAAATGAGGACCAGCAACTGACTGCAGCCATTGAGATGTGTCAGGTACAACAATATAACATATATTTACTTATGTGTACTTGTTCCTTTCTGCATTTTGATTGTTCCATGTTTACAGTGTTAAAACATTCTCCTTTACTTTGATTCTTATGTTCACAGTTGCTTGTTATGGGAAATGAGGACACTTTAGCAGGGTTCCCAGTTAAGCAGGTGGTTCCAGCTTTGGTGACCCTACTACAGATGGAGCATAACTTTGACATGATGAACCATGCCTGCCGGGCCCTGACCTACATGATGGAGGCTCTCCCTCGATCCTCAGCCATTGTGGTGGACGCTGTACCAGTATTTATAGAAAAAGTACGAAAAATATAGGAAAAACAGTTGTACCTTTTTAACCTGTGATGTTAATAAATTCTGATTCTGATAATTTCAAGCTTTTGTTAATTATTGAATTACACATATGATTAAGTTATTGAAGTTAGAATGAAGTACAATGTATTATCTGTATTGATTTCAGCTGAGAGCTATACATTGTATGGATGTGGCAGAGCAATCACTCACTGCATTAGAAATGTTATCCAGAAGACATGGCAAAGCCATCTTACAGGCAGTAAGTTGTCTATCAGTGTTTTACAAACTATATATTATTTTCAGAATGCCTTTTAATGGGAGCAAAAGTAAATGGGAGAAAGAAGAAAACTTGTTGATATGAAGTTGTTTATTGTATTTTAGGGAGGAATAGCAGCCTCTTTGATGTTCCTGGACTTCTTCAGTATCACGGCTCAGAGAAGTGCCCTGGCCATCACCGCTAACTGTGTACAGAACATGACCTACGAGGAGTTCCACCTCATCCGAGACTCTCTACAGTTACTAAGCAATAAACTTACTCACCAGGTAAGGGATTAAATTGAATGTACATGTGTATGTGAGGAACACACAGAAATCTCTGTTCAACAAGTGGTTACTCAAATACACCAAAATTTGGCTGAAAAAAAAAATGTCAACTTAATTGAGTGTTTAAAGTATATATCATCATTACAGTAATTGTTTTCAGTAAAGAAGTGTGTGGTACTTCTGAATTCAAAGTTATTACCATAACTGACCTTACCTTGTGTATTCAGCATTCATGCATAGAAACATTTATTGGTAAAAATGCAATTCAAAGATATCAATTATATACATGTAATTCAAAAGAACCATTTTCTTTATGACTTTGGACATTATTATTGCCAGTACGAGGGTTGTTCAAAAAGTTTGTGGACTCCTGTCATATTTTTTTTATTTAACGTCATATGCTATCCAAAATTGGTAGAAATATTTTAATATTAAGTTCAACTGATTTGTTTTAAACATTTTAGAATTATTTTGATTTATTTTGAACCTATTCAGAATTTTAAAAACTTCAAAAATTGGACCGCGGAGCAGGTAAAAATTTAGTTATTCACACAAACAACACACTAAATGAACATGATAATGTATGTATTCAAATTCTCTGTAAAATTGAACAAAAATGAAAATAAATCCTACAATTTTATATTCAGATCTGATACATTGATTCACATTCCAAATTATTGCTTAATATGTTGCTCTGTTTAAAAGAAATCAATTTGAGAAGATAGGTAGTCCTCATTGAAAGCAACAAAAATGATGACATTGTTTAATGTCATAGAGCAGCAGATATCGATGCAATTTTGTGTTATACTAGGGGAGACTCCTAAATAAGCTCTAAAAATGTTGAAAGAATTACCGTAAAAAAAAATATATGTCACATGTGTTAATAAATGGCACAGGTGTTATTTGAGTGACATAGACTCTATATCAGATGAGGATAATCAGTGAAGAAACGGTTTATCTGGTGAAATCTGAACAAAAACTCTAGAAAGTTCAGTGTCAAGGAAAGACACATGAGGGTTATCAAAAAATTCGTGGACTGAAGCTATAAAGTAAGTACTATATAGTTTGTGTCTTCAAAATTTATAAGGAACATAAAACAACAAAAAATAAAGAAATGTTGAAAATTTTAGCTTGATACATTCATTATTTGTCAAATTATAATAAAATAAGAACCACATTATATGATCACCTGGCGCAGTCGCTGTTTAGTTTCATGATGTTCGACAACGTCATTGTTTTTCAATGTCTGCTTCTATGTCAGACACTTATTTTGATGAGATTCCTTGGGCTGAGTAAGGGATTAAACCCGTCTGTTTATATAATTTTACAATGTCATGAACAGCGGCTTTCAAATTCATATAATATTGCAAATGGATTTATATGTTGGGAAGGGATCCTCGCTTGATTGTGCTAGCATATTTTGCTTATTGGAGTTCAATTTCTACAACATATAATTGTCATTTTTGACGCAATTTATTTTTCACACCTTTACTACAAATACAAATGAACATTAATTATACCCCACGCAACTAGTTGCGGGAGGTATAATGTTTTTGTGTGAACATTTTCTTTCTGAATCTACTGTGATATTAAAAACAAGTACTCCGGATGCATATAATTTCTCTATAGCCATTTTAAACATTTCCTGGGTCTATCAGTTTTTTCACTGGCAAAACCTTATAGTATGTTGAAAAAGGAAACCCCACCCCCTTTTGACGTCATTTTCAAGGCTTAATTTATTCGTTTGGAAACTCCATGTACAATTTACAATAAATTTCATAGAACTTCCCGAATGAGGTAAAAATTACAAATTTTATCGAACAATAGTGTCCCAACTCAGTGTGCGCGAAAAACTTTTTTCAGCACTAGCCCAATCGGGCTAGTAATGAAGAACAATTACTAGCCCGAATCAGATTTTGCTAGCCCACATCGATGGATGTCAGTTGTGAATTTGTTTTTGTTTTTCACGTGTATGCAGTAAAAGTCATGGTCTTTTTCACCTCGTTGTATTACAGCCAAGGCCGCCCCTCCTTCCACTTGTTTAGAAATTCTCTTGTCCTTTTTACTTCATATTTCTTTTTAACATAACGCAACCATAACCAGAAGTAAATGCTGATGTGTATTTTATAAACCCAAACTGTACAGAGAAGACCGATTGCCGAAAGTTCTCGACACGCTTAAACAAAAGAAACCCACGCACATGTAAAAAGACATAAAAATTCTTATACTTATTTTATTACTTTTAAAGATTTATCAACAAATAAATGTAAAATGCATGCAACTTTTCACTAATCGGGCTAGTACATTACTAAATTTTTACTAGTGTTCGGGCAAATGGCGCACACTGCCAACTCCCAACACATACCTGAATTAAGGGGATTTTTGGATGTCAAATGTTCATGTAAAACGAGTTTTTCTCAGTTACTCTTACGTAGAAAAAAACGTTGTTTTTGAGGTTACGCCGCCTGGACATACCATTGCTTACAAAAACGTTGCTAATTTATTAAAAAATAAAATTGATGATTTGTGGTTTATTCTATAGATAGAAAACATGATGCTTACTAGTTATTTTAAAATTCACTGATGTACCTAATGGGGTTTTAATTTTATGGCACTAGTCCATGAACTTTTTAATACCCCCTCTTAGGTGGCTCAGAGTTACTTATCTTGTGAAAGCAGAGTTAAGTAATAAAATAAATTAAAACATTAACAAAGGAAATTATACAATGAGAATAAATGTTAAAAAATAAATGTCAAGTGATTGAAAGGGGATTTAATGAGTGGGTATTGGATTAAACCGTGTGAAATGTAGAGGGATAATATTGTTGAGAAATTCTTGATTCTATGTTTTGACATAACATTGCCGTTAAGTGTGCTCCGCAGGTACGATATATGTTGATTTTAAATGAAGTAAACTGATTTCCGTTAGATGGAATGGAATAAAACTTAACACATCAACAAAACAAATATTTTTACATGCTTATTTTAAATTTCTTGAAAGTAGTATAACGAGGATTGACATCGTCCACGAACTTTTCGAACAACCCTCGTACAGCAAATATGTTTGACAGTTTACTTGTTCCTACAATAATTATTAGTCAAAGGCATCATACATATCTATTGTTCCAGGACAAAAAGTCGGTAGAGAATTGCTGCATCTGTTTCTGTCGGCTAGTGGACAATTTCCAGACTGACCAGAGGACGCTGAAGGAGATAGCCGTCCACGGTCTCTTGACCAACATTCAGCAGCTGTTGGTGGTCAGTCCCCCGGTCATCAGTACCAGCACCTTCGTCATGGTCATCCGAATGCTGGCCATTATGTGTGCCAGCTGTCCAGATTTGGCCGTGGTCTTACTCAAACAAAGTAAGATGTCTCAATCAAGTAGTACTTTGATAGTGTAAATGACTTTCTGAATCACATATCTGCGTAAATGTTGTGACATTTAGGACGAATCATTGTAATGGAGTAATTAGGTTGCCCGAACTTAACTGCTTAATAAAGGAAAATGTGGTTTCAAAACATTCAATTCAGTATTTTTTTAAAGATTTTCAAGTACAGTAGAGGATCTATAGCTTTGATTTTTTGTAATACACATGTATCTAAATTGTTAATGGTAATGTTTTTTTCCTTAGAAATAGCAGATACTCTGTGTTATCTCCTTGTTGGAACTTCTGAGGAAGAAATGACTGGAGTAGAGGTAAATTTGGTCCTTAACTTTTGTCTGCATTGCTCATGTGTCCAGAACTAGGAACAAATCAAGATTTGTTAATGATAAATTCTTCTGGTTTTATTTTCTGCACACAAGGAAATAGTAGAATTTTGATTGCTAAACACAACAAAAATATATTTATTTTTCTTGCAGTTGATCTCAAGAACCCCCCAAGAGTTATATGAAATTGTTTGTCTAATTGGGTAAGTCTTCTTTTATTTTGTACGTGCGGTTTAGGAAATTTATTACACATATTTTCAGAATATACAAATATAAATGATATTTTGATTGCATAGGAAAATCATAAATAATTCAGTCATGTTTCTTTTATTTTATACCCTCATTTAAGGATATTAAAGATATAGTTTACCAATTATTTTCAATTAACACTTATTTTCAAAATATATAGGTAGGGTATTAATTATATTTTTATTGTGTAGGAAAATCTTGTTATAAATAATCAAATGCAAACATTTTAATGAATTGATGAAAACAATGTAATGGTTTCCTCAAGGGGTTTGTTTTGCTATTTTACTATTTGAAATTTTAATGATGATAAAAATTTCATACTTGGTTCTGCACAGCCTTGGTACTTTGTAGTGAGCTTATGCCTGCCTTTATATTTTATACTTGGCTCAGCACAGTTTTTGTTACTTTGTAGTGTGTTGATGCTTGCCTTACCCACGGATGGGATGTTTCCTATAGATAACATGTTGCTTTGTTACTTTGTAGGGAGTTGATGCCTGCCTTACCCACGGACGGGATGTTTGCTATAGATAACATGTTGTGTAAGGCCCATGGGAGTATAGTGGACCTGGTCAGCTGGCAGTGGAGGGATGACAGGGGGGTGTGGCACCCCTATACCTCCATAGATGGAAAAATTATTGAAGTAAGGATTCGGCTTGAATTCCAGACTTAATTAAAAATATGTATTGAGCATGAGGAATGCAGTGTGTGCCCATGATATAAATAATGAAATAAATAAGTTTTACAGTATAATACAGTGTACAGATTTGAAGTAAGTTTTTTCAAGATATGTAAAAGTTGAAAAAGAAAATAAAAATATAACATTTATAGGACATTGTCATCTTAATATATTCTTTTTGTTTAAGTTTAAGTAGCATCAAATTTTGATAACTTGCATGTATATTGTAAACAGGGATTTGGTTATCATTTCTTTTTTCACCTTTCTATAGGCAGCCTATCAGTCTGGTGAGGATGAAGTAAGTTTGAACACAATGGGTAGAACTTACACCATTGACTTTAATACCTTACAACAAATTAACGAGGACACAGGAACAGCCCGGGCTGTCCAGAGAAAAGTCAACACTACTGCTGGAGGGGCACAGAACACAGGTGGGGGATCCAAAAGTTTGAAAAAGTCTGGAAATGCCTCAGATTTTTCTTGTTGATCTGTTATCATTATATTAAAATCTTAGAAATAGTGATGCATGCAAAACTATTTTTAGTGTTTGAAAGAGAGTCTTTTGTTAAATCTGATTTTTCACATGCAACTTAACTTTGGTATCTTGTTATCATTTAAGATAATTCAAAATATCATGTATATATATGTGTATGGGGTAAATATTGCTATTGTGACCACATGAATGAGAATATACAGGTAGCTGATGGTGTTGAGACCAATATGAATATTTATTACCCATTAATAAGAAGTAAATACTTTTTGGTCAACAGCTTCCAGTTCCTCATCAACAGGGTCGGAGATTAACTTGGAGCAGTGTGACTCGAGGGCAGAGGTCCTCAAAGAGGACATGGAGCTAGCCTCAGCCTTCATCAAAACTCTCTTTGCTGTACTTTACGAGGTCTACAGCTCCTCTGTGAGTCAGTTTTACAGTTTCTTAATTGTGGACAGGAATTTATATTTACATGTAAATGCATATAGATACATCATTGCAATGATAGAAGTTTATATGTAAAGTATGTCTTTTCCCTATGAAGGCTGGGCCTACAGTACGACACAAATGTCTTCAGACGTTGCTGAGGATGATTTACTATGCTGAGCCTAAATTATTAAAAGAAATTCTACAATCTCAACCAGTTTCAAGGTAACAACAGAAATAAGTCCTCATTAATTGCTCAATTTGTATATTGAATTTTAAATAAAAAGGAATAAACAAATAATTTTCCTTCATTGTAGCCATATTGCTGCTATGATGGCATCCAGTGATGTAAAAGTAGTCGTTGGTGCCATACAGATGGCAGAAATTCTCATGCAGAAGTTGGCAGATATTTTTAGTGTGTACTTCAGGAGGGAAGGTAAGCATATTTGTTGGTTCAGATTTTTCTTTTTACTGGTAGAGACATCAAGAGTTTCCAAAAAATAATTTTGCAAGGAAACATTTCTATCTTGAAAATTCAATTCGGTAATTTTTTTTAAGTTTTATGTACTTCTGACACAAAAACATTTTACATGTGTGACACTTGTTACAGGTGTGATGCACCAGATTAAACGGTTAGCTGACTCGGATGTCAAGGCGAAGTCGCCCGCGAAGCCCACCTCTGTGACTGCCTCCTCCTCCAGTCTCAGTAGTTCCTCGTCTGGGTCCGTGACCTCAGAGACCGCCACGGTGGAGAAAGAGGGAGCCACTCCTCCCGCTGCCGAGGAAAGCCCCAGCTCAAGTCAAATGTAAGTGCCTAGTGAATTATTGATCTCATTGAGAAGACAAGTTATCTGCTTGCTTGTTGTAACCTGTTTGTTTGGGGGGATATTTGTGCACTTCCTTACTTTTCAGTGCTAACATTAAAATTACACAGTAAACTGTACATGTATATTGGTTGTAATTACACTTTCGAAAAATTTAAAAGTTTTAAATTTTTTTTTGTTTTACAGGAAACTAAGTGATGTGTTGAAAAGAAAGAAAGCTCCGAAGCGTTCACTGGGAAGGAAGAACAAAGAGGAAGCCGCAAGTTCTGAGACAAAATCATCCTCCAGAAGCTCAAGTCGATCAAAATCTGCCTCCAGTAAAGACGGCAAGACCACCTCCTCTAAAATCTCCTTCCTCCCCAGTCTCAACCCCCGCAGCTGGGCCAAGTTCTCGTCCAGTGACAGAGTGCCAAAAGCATCCTCATCAAAGGTTAGCATAGGATCTCCAACAAAAACAAGGGTGGGGGGGGTTAAAGCTCTCAATATTTCTAAAGGAAATAATCAGGGAAAAAAAAGGAATTTTCATAGTGACAACTTGATATTAAGACCTGTTGACATTGCTTTGAATGCATTTGTATGTGCCCTGGAAATGCACATAAAAAGTCATATTTAATCGAGCCCATCTTCTAATTTTTTTAACTCTATTTTGAATTTTTAGGATGCAGTTATGTCCAAAAATTTACAAATATCAGCTCACAGAGAGAAAATTAAAACATGGATCAAAGAGCAAGGTCAGTACCTAAACTCATTATGAATTTAAAGCTGGAGAAGTTTTTTTTTAAATCTAGGAATGAATTTGATTGTGTATGGAAACAGTGTACAGTGTCTTATAACCTTGTTTTGCAGCTGATCGATTTCTCCAGCAGTACTTTGGTCCTGATCCAGAAGGTACGAGTCACCCAGCGTTGACAGTACTTAACCAGTTGTGTTCAGCTGCTGAGCAGATTCAAACCGAGGTATTTGTACTTGTGATCTTATTAGGAAGAAGGTTTAATTGTTGATGAATGCATGATATAGACTTAGATTTGAGGGCTATTTAAGTATATAACTTTTGTTGTTGTGTTTGTCAAAATTTCAATGAAATGTACAGTGTATGAATCTTCAGTTAGGTTGATTCTGATGATTAAGATAAGATAAGATTTATTAATACCAATTTGGGGCCCATCAGGGCATACAAGTAAAGAGAAAAATATACAAGAAGAAATTCAAAATTGATAGTAGCAACTAACAAAAGATTAATGATGATACAGCAGTTGGGAATTACAACATATATAATCGACATACTGTACATATAAGGCTTTTTTTCCTAGCGTATAAACATTATTACTTTTCTGCATTTATTTGTTTCTTTTTTTAACATTGCATAATTCGCTATTTCTTATTTTAAAGATATTGATTAAAAAATTAAGGCACATTGTAATTTGAAGTTGTTAGATATTTGGTTAAATTCATTTCTTTCATCAATTTTTTTCACCTTTGTGATTTTAAATATTGGATTGTCTCTTCATCCTTCGTCAGAAGAATCCATACGATGTTCACTTTAAGTAACCACTGTGTTTGTTTTTTTTTTTTTCCAGTTTGACAGTGGTTTGGAGGGAATGAAAAGCATAGCTGTGATCATGAGAGACAGTGACGTCTCGCCTTTTGAAATCATCCACAGCGGCCTTGTCCAGAAGCTGCTGGCTTATCTCACTTCCTCATCGTGTGTCGTCCCCCGCGACGTCAGGATACGGCGATTCCTGCACATCTTCCTTAACTGTCCGGTCAGTCCTCGTTATAATCAGAGTCACCATTCACTGTGTGAAGTCAAACCATTCTGATTTGTTTCTTATGTATTCTCATAATTAATTTTGGGCGGAGGGGGGAATGAATTTTGAATAATGGACTCTTACAGATCAAATCTGACTTATCAATTACACCCCTACTAATGTGTTCGGAACCTTTTATTTTTCGGTGTTCTGCAAATTATAAAACCCGATGAGCTCAGAGTAGCTCTGACAGTGGCTCTAGCGAGAGTTAGCGAGACTTTAGCAAGATAGGGTAAATTATCCATGGAAATGTGGCTAGGAAGTGACTAGCATGTGGAGACATGGTAAACAGAAAAGTTATGTTGCGTTTTAGTTTTCACAACCCTATAATATCATTCTGTAGAAATGTACTTCAATCGATCTCTCTTGAATTCATTCAAGTTTAAATTATAAGCATTCTCTATGATACAATTTTCTGCTGTCATGAATTAAAATTTCTTTTTGGACAAATATTTTGCATGGGAACCGGACCTATATTTTTTGGCGTCAGAATAGCAAATGAGGCACCAATGTGACTTTAACTGACAAATCAGCTGAGTGAGAATTGCATTATGGGTTACTACGAATACTACAGGAATTTTACGCTTGACAAGTTCCTTTATTGTACTATCGGTGAATACAATTATCAGATGGATTCCCTGGCCAACACACGTGATCACGGGTATAGCTATGTAAAAAATGTTTTGTCCATTTAAATGCATACAAGAAGCTGCTCGTTTTCCTTACCCTTGAAGTGCTGGTGCTCTGAACTTGACACTAACTACGTATATATTTTATTAAACATAGTTTTTCTAATTAACAACAAATTAAAAACTCCCATGATATCGTTCACATATAGTTTCTAATGTTTGCATTTTGTTCATAAGAACATTTCTTTTTCATATTGCAATCCATTGACATGATCATAGATTGACCTGAACCATGTGTTCGAAGAAACATGTAAACATGTATTTGGGGTATTTACTTATTCAGTCAATAATTGATCAGTTGCTCGTGGTAAGATCCTCTGTGCGCATTAATAGCAATAGCCATATAAGGCAAACAAAGGTTTGTCAGTGTAGATGATATTACACATTTTTTTTTACCAGCGTATCGTCGCTAGTGAGCTGTTATTTTTGCAGTAAACTATGATAAGATTTATTAATTGTTATTTACCCCCCCCCCTTTCAGCCACCAGTTTCTGTTGAAAACCATGAAAGTCTTTCAGAAAGGTCTGGAAACACATTTTTCACAGGACATGTTTTCAGAAGAAACAGACTATAGCAATTTCCTGTTTACTGCCAATTTTATTTATAAAACTGGTTCTACCCTATAACCTTTGAATAGGTAAACCTAAACCACGTGTCTTGAATTTAAATCACAATAACAATAGTAGTGGTGAATTAGGGTAATATTTTATTGTAGTTCAAAGACAATCATCTACCTTACAGTTAAATTAAGAGACATTATTTAGAGTTGATATATTTATTTTAGGCTCCTGATGTATTACATGTTAAGAGGTTAGAGATTGAGGGAAATCCTGCAATGTCTTATCTAGTCAACAAACTTATTGGATGTCTTCATCAATTAGAACAGGTATGACAGTAAAGTGAAGCAATTTAGTATCATAATTTTAAAGAAAGGACAAAAAAGATGAGAAGCTTTATAGCTTGTCTTAAACGTTATAATACATTGTATAAAAAGAAATTAAAGCTAATATGTTATTATGTAAATCAGTTTCAGGTCAAAGTTCATGACCTTCCTGGAGGCAGTACCTCGAGTGGGAGAGGATCTAATGCTCTCCGCTTCTTTAATACCCATCAATTAAAGGTATATTCTTAAGAAGAGTACTTTCCATTGCTTCATTTCTAGCAAAAAAATAAAATCTTGTGTACTGTTGCTGAGTGTATGACTGTTTTCTTGAATTAAACAATGCTTAAATTGTATAATTTTTATTCTCCAATTGATTTATTCTATTAGTTAATATCAGACTTGTTATTTGAAAATGCCATAACTTTTTTCCCTGCCTTTCAGTGCAATCTCCAGAGACACCCAGAATGCACGACCCTGAGGCAGTGGAAGGGAGGGCCTGTAAAGATAGACCCCCTGGCCCTGGTACAGGCCATCGAGCGGTACCTGGTGATCAGAGGGTACGGCAGGACGAAGCCTGATGGGGACGATGATATCAGTGATGAGGAAAATTCTGATGACGATGTTGATGACACAATGGTAGGTCTGGAGAGAGATGGTCAATCTTCTATCTATCCATCACTGCCAAGTACAGTATACAGGGAAATTTTCGCCTCCATTTTATTTTTGCCCCTTTCGCCCAACCCTCAAGTGGGCAAATTTAAAACGGGCTAATTCAAAGAATACGCTATAATTTCTTAAACAAAATTATGACTTGGTGAAATTAGAAGGGGCAAAATTGTTTGCAAGTGTGAAATGGCGTAAATAACATAGGGCGAAAAATAACCCTGTATACAGTAATCAGTTTAGTGTGTGGAAATAATATTAATGAACGTTGAACAGTCTTACAGCTATTATAATAAGTGTGATACAGTAAAACTCGTTTAGTATGAACTCAGATGTAGCGAATTAACGGATATAGCGAAGTTTCTCTGGGTCCCCAGCAAAATTTATAACAAATCTTTGTAAAATTTTATGGTTATAAAGAACGAATAATGAATTCTCGGATAAAGCGAACTTTTTTTGAGTTCTTGAAGGAAAAGATGCATATTGCAAATTCGCGGTATATGCATATATGAATTTGTTACACGGATATAACGAATTACGGATATAATAAATTAAATTCACATTTCCGCAAGACTTCGCTATAACCGGGTTTTACTGTATCTACAAAAAAATCAGTTAATCATTTTAGTGTGTGGAAAAATATTAATTGAATGTCTATCAGTCTGACAACTTTTATAAAATCTGTGATATCTACCACCTTACTTTGTGGCTCTATGACTTGATTTCTTTTTGTAGGCTGCAGTGTTCATCAGTCAGGGGACAGCTCGACACAAGTTAGAGTTTTTCATGGGTGACCGATTCCTGCCATACAACATGACAGTGTACCAGGCTGTCAAGAATTTCAGTAATCCTGGTGAAACCAGTGAAACAGAAACCGAGGCCGAAAGTCCACTGGGTCACGCCAACATCTGGGTCCAAACTCACACCATATGGTATAACAATTCATTAACTATTCATTAATTTTCTTTAAGAAACACAGATTTTTATCAACATAAAGGATTTAGGATTTATTTTTTTTCTTCCTGTTCATATTCATATGTTCCCATTTTTGCATGACACAAGAACATTTTCAATTTCAAGCTAAAACGTGTCACTGTTAATATTTGTTTCATAATTAGGGCCCCTCAAGGATTTGCGGGTGCCCTATAGAAATCACTCTGTCTGTCCGTCTGTCTCTGTTCCGTCCACAAATTTTCTGTTTTTTTCTAATAACTTTTTTTATGGTTGCCCAATCAAGTTCAAATTTGGTATGGCAGTTCAGTAGGCAGAAATACATATTTTTATGCTAAGTTTGGTTCTCTGTGTCTTCTGGTTTGGAGCTGGGGTGGTGGGGTAGATTCCTTAACTATGCATAAGAATAAATGGGCAACTTTTTTTTATGGTTGCCCAATCAAGTTCAAATTTGGTATGGTAGTTCAGTAGGCAGAAATACATATTTTGATGCTAAGTTTGGTTCTCTATGTCCCCTGGTTTGGAGCTGGGGTGGTGGGGTAGATTCCTTAACTTTAGAATGCATTGGCAAAGAGAGATAACTGCTGAAGATGTTCCCATTGTAAAATGAATGCTGGCTAGGAGTCCCTTGGTATTAATTAGGTTTCCTCCTGAAGAAAATCCAGAGCATTATCTTTATCTGTCACATTGAGATGAATTACCACCTCTGTTTGCAAATGAAGTTTGTTTTGAAGTTAAGTCAATTTGGAATGCTATGAACACTGTGAAATGTGGATTTAGATATAAATTTTTATAATTTATTTTTGTTTAATAGTTATGATTTCATTGAATTCTAAAAACAAGAAATAGATTAAAGAAGATTTTTTGAATTACTTTTTTCACTTTATGTTAATTAATTTTTAAGGTAGTTTTATAAAAACCCCATTCTATCATTAATACTGAAAAAGTTCTTATTGTAACTTTAGAAGAAAATGATGAGAGAGGTACAATTAATCCTTTGGGATCAATTATCTAGCCTGCTGCAGAAAATTTAGTAGGCTTTTCTTTATCTTTAAGATTAATGAAAACCTTTGTCTGCAACTGCTGTTTGTTTGAGGTTAAGGTCAAGCCTTCATGATACATGTATTTGCATTCATTGAAGGCTGGCATTCTATATAACACAAGCTTCATAACTGTTTAATACATTCAATGTTAAATTGTTCTTTACTGCCTTATGTAAATACAAGGATATTATTTTCAGGTTTTTGAATATTCAGGAATTATCTTGAAATTTTAAGAATACAGTTGCTGTTGCTTATTCTTCGTACATTTTTTAATCATTCCGTGAGCTGCACCCTTTTAATTCTACCCCATGGCGGGGCCCTTGCTGACTGGTCAGTTTTCTAGTTCTGTTGTAAACTGCATTGTATGAATTCAGCTTTGCAGTCCTTGTAAATTTATAATGGAAAGGAAACAGGTGCTTGAATGCATATAAACCCATCTCCATGTATAAGTTGGTATGAAACTTGAACTTGACAGGTACCGTCCTGCAACTGAAAGCGATGAAGCTTCAGCCACAAGTCCAAAGAAAACCAAGGGAGACAACAAATCTCAGAAAACAGTCAGGAGGAAGATGGATGAATTGTGGAATGGTGAGTTTAAAAAAAATCATGTTAGGAATATAACTCAAGTCTTGTGCTTTTGCAAGACACTAAAAAATTACAATCAAAAGGATACAGCAAAACTCGGTTATAACGAAGTCACTGGGATGAATGTAATTACATCGCTATACCCGTAATTCGTTATAACCGTATAGGAAATTCATTAAATTGATATAACTGGGGAACTGTACATTCGCAATATCCGTGTTCGTACTAAACAAGTTTTGCTGTATAAAATTATTGAAGGTTCTTCAATTCTTATGTATGAAGGTTTGAAGTTAAATTCTGGACAACAATTTTTTTTTAAAAATGTAGTTTGACGTAAATCTGTATTTATGGTTTTAATTTTTGATAGATGGTCACTGCCCTGTGATGGTTCCTGCCCTCAATGCCTACCTGACAGACAAACTTCCTGCTTTTGTCACTGTTCAGGATGCCTCACTGGACATTATAGCTCTACTGAGGATCCTTCATGCCTTCAATAGATACTGGTCAACCATGTATGAGGTTTGTACAAGTTGAGATGCATGATAAACATTAGAACTTACACAGAAGCAGATTTTCAAACTTAGATTTGAGACAGATTTACGAGTTTAAGTTTGTGTTCAAGTACAGCCTGAGGCACACTTGGAGCACCTTTGACTTCATAGAGGTTAAATTTCAGGAATAATGTTTTTAAATCCCTACTAACTTTCTATGATATCAGAAGTCTTTGTAATGAAAAGAGTCTTATTCCAGTGCAATTTTCCGACAGAATCCCTGTTCATCATATTGATTAACAATAATGTGCCAATGTATTTCCCTAGGTGCCTTGTCCAGTGAATCCTATACTGCCATACACAGAATTTCTCAGTTCCAAATTAACAGCTAAAGCCAATCGTCAGCTGCAGGACCCACTAGTTATAATGACAGGGAACCTCCCCAGCTGGCTGGCAGAAATCTCCACAGCGGGGTAAGTGTTCTGATTGATAATTTATTCTGTAACAATTTGCTGGCATGAATTTGGTTAAGAAAATCATTGCCTGTTTTTGGCTATCAGAGAGGAACATCAATGCTTGTTTTGGAGTTTTCCATGATTTACTCTTTTAAGGTTCCATAATAATAAATCAAAGCCTCAGAATTTACTTATATTTCTTTATCTTTAATAAAAGTTACAGTATCTGAATAGGTCAAAATGCACAAAGTAAAATAAAATATTGTAGATCGAAGATTAACTCTTCTTTTTCTTTTCAGACCATTTTTGTTTCCATTTGACACACGACAGCTTCTGTTTTATGCCACCACCTTTGATAGAGACCGAGCTTTGATGAGACTACAGGACAACACGGGGGATAACGGTCCAGCAGACAGCACAGACAGGGTGGCACCGAGGCTGGACAGGAGAAGGGTCAGTTAACACAGTATTGCAACTTCTATTTACAACAAATCTTACTCAGTCAGTTAATTCAGTATTACAATGTATAATCCCTACATACAGCAAATCTAACATAAAATTTTTTTGGTGAAATTGATTGGCAGTGATTGATTCGAAGAATTGATTCCATATCAGCTGTACAAAAATAAATTGAGTTGTACATGGATATGGTTACCATTTCTTGGTGTAAACTTCAGATATCTGGTGATCTTTTGTAAATCCTAACCATTTTTCATGGGAAATATAAGAAATGAGATATGTCTTGAATTTGCTTTAGATTTGACAGAGTGCAGTTGAATTTAACAATTTAATTACAAAGATTTCAGTTTTTCTTGATGCCTAATGTTTGATTGTTGACTTATTTTAGAAACAAGTCAGTAGGATAGATCTGTTAAAGCAAGCAGAGAAGGTGATGGAGGACATAGGAAACTCACGGGCTCTCCTGGAAATCCAGTATGAAAATGAGGTAAGTCTGTCATATATAGTCAGCTCTACTTGTAATCACTTGCATAACCTTTTTTATGGTGTCTTTGAATCATTAAAAATCTTCATATGATTACTTTTCAAACTTGTAACTGATTTTAGGTTGGTACTGGGTTGGGTCCCACACTGGAGTTTTATGCATTAGTTTCTAAAGAGGCACAGAAAAGTGACCTTGACCTTTGGAGAGGGGAGGCCATCAAGGAGAAAAGTGCATCGGGTTTGTAGAAACAGAATTCTTAATGATACTAGGCTACACATACATACACATAACTTCAATGATTTTATATGATTTCATTGACTCTGAATTTTAGGGACAGATGAAGAAATTCTGTACTGTTACTCCCCATGTGGCTTGTTCCCATCCCCACTACCTCGAAATGCGAAAGCCGCTGTCATCAACAGGGTCAAGGCCAAATTCAAGTTCTTAGGAAAGTTCATGGCCAAGGCCCTGATGGACTCCAGGATGGTATGTATTGTATCATTTATACTTGATGATTTTGAGTCTGTAGTATATCAATTGCTGCAATATTGGCATTTGTAAAGGTACTGCTACTTTTGTGTTTCTTTAAAGAAAATTATGTGATGTGCATATAAAGTGTACATGTACTGTTTCTAAAATTTTGGTATTTTTTTTCTGCAGCTGGATATTCCCCTTAGTTTGGTCTTCTACAAGTGGCTGTTGGGACAGGAACACAGTCTGACCTCAAGTGACCTTCAGCATCTTGACCCAGTGATTGCCAAGTCATTCCAACAGCTTGAGGATGTATTACATCAAAAGCAGAGAATTTTCACTGATAAGTCTCATGTAAGTCTGCATTACTCTTTTAAAAAATAGTGACCGTAACTACCAATTGATATTCAAGAAATTTTGGGGTCCCATGATTTTGATTTGGTTTTCCTTGAGAAAGAAAAGTTTTCAATTCATATTTTTATCTAGAATAAACAGTTAAGATATCAATGATATATTATGGAAAATTTAATTCCAGTTGTTCTCTCTGCTTCATATTTTACTGGTAACTTTGTAGACGGATGAGAGTCGTCAGTTGGCATTAGAGAGTTTGACCATGGATGGTTGTAGTATAGAGGATCTAGACATCACCTTTACCCTGCCTGGCTATCCCAGCATAGAGCTGAAGAAAGGAGGGCATGATATCACTGTTAGTCTGGATAACCTGGAGGAATACTTACAGGTAATACAAGAATATAATGTCTTCATGTAAAGCATACAGGATACATAATTCTGTAAATGTTCAATAAATGTTAAGTCTGGATGCAATGCTATGTAGAACAAACCAGAAAAGATGCAGTCTCGTCAGAGATTTCTCATAAAATTGGACTGTCTGAAATTGTCATGTACGACTGTGCTAAGTTTGGTTGAAATTTTTTTACATGCCTCTCTGTTTAGAGAATTGTCATCATTCCTAAAAAAAAATCTGTTTTAGTTAACTTAATGGTCATTATCCAGTAAAAGTTAATATTTGTAAACATTTATGTGAGAGATTAACAGCATTTACTTATATGCTTTTAGTTGGTGGTCCATTGGAGCCTGGTGGAGGGGGTATCTCGTCAGTTTGAGGCCTTCAGGGAGGGGTTCGAGGAAATCTTCCCTCTCTCCACTTTACAGAGCTTCTACCCAGAGGAGGTAAGTCTGGCATATATAAATCTCTCAGCATCTGATGATTATCTTCATAATTAATTAATCTAGAATTGATGGTTTGACTTGTTTCAATTACGCTATGATTCAGTAATGCAGATCATGTATTTTACAAAATGGGTAATTTCTTTGTTTTTCCCCTTATTATGCTTTTGGAGGCTAGGAATATTTTTTGACTTATATACATGTAGTTGGAGCAGCTGTTTTGTGGCAGTAAGAAGGAGGTGTGGGACGTGAAGATGTTGATGGAGTGTTGTCGTCCTGATCATGGTTACACACACGACAGTCGAGCCGTCAAGTTCCTGTTTGAGATTCTCAGTTTTTACGATGATACAGAACAGAGGCAGTTCCTACAGTTTGTAACAGGGTCCCCACGATTGCCAGTGGGTGGTACGTTCTTTTGCAAACTATGGCAGAGTTTCTCTCCTTCAGTTTGATGAAATATGATATAATTGTTTGATGCAATACGTATTTTATGAAATAATTTTTCTGAACATAAGTCTAGGAGTTCTTTTCTGTAGAACACAAGAATATTATTTGCTGAAAAGTTCATATTAAAAGAACACAAAGCAATATGTTAATATTAAACATAGGAAATAAATTTACTTGACAGGCTTCAGAAGTTTAAACCCACCTTTGACCATTGTAAGGAAAACATTTGAAGGCTCCGAGAATGCAGACAATTTCTTACCCTCTGTGATGACGTGTGTAAACTATCTCAAATTACCCGACTACACCTCCGTGGACATTATGAGAGAAAAGTTGGGCATAGCAGCCAAGGAAGGACAACTCTCTTTCCACTTGTCCTAAGATTCTGATTGGCTGATGGCTCTGAGTTTGACAGAGTGGGAGGGAGATAAAAAGTGTAGTTAGATTGTGCTTATTCACTCTGGATGTACATGTGATTCAGCTGGTAGTAGATACATAATGCCAGGATTTGAATTTCATTGGATTGTACGAATTTCAGCCCTGCAAAACTGAAAGTGAATAAACTTCCCAAGATACTGCTATTCTGGTTGTGTTTTCTTTTTTCTTTTGTTTCATGGATGATATAAAAAGAGAATTTGTATCTGTGACTTGATTTTGATTGAATTTTTTTGTTTATTTCTGTTAATGAGGCAAGCAGGGCAAGTCCTTCACTTTAAATGAATTATCTGTCATTGATAATGTATTTTTTTTTATGTTTATTGAAATAAATCTTGGCGTTATATTCAGAAAACTCTTACTCTTAAATTTTCACACTGTGTCATTAAGTGGCACGGAACTGTAGCATCCGTAACTGGCATTTCTACATTTTAACTTATCAATCCTAGTAGAAAGTCAAGCAGTCATTGTTGTCATATTTCAACTACCGTGGTAACCCAAATCTTCAATACAAGGGGTTTCTTGGTATTTGTCCTCAAGATAATTCTTTTGATAAATTTAAATATTTTTTATGTAAATCTTTTGACCACTTTAGGCTAGCTCTATTAAAGGGAATTAGTTACTACCTTGAGGAGACAGTTCTATAGGATTCTGATTTAATTTTTATTAGGGATTACATGTACCAATATTGCACTGCTTTTGTGTGCTGGACATTTGATAAACTTTTGAACAATTTTGGTATATAGCATGTATGGAAAAGGGGGAATCAAAACCATCAAAAATCTTCACTCTTGTTCATCAAGCTGTCAATATCATGATTCTTTACACATAGTATTATCATGTGACTGTTACTACCCTTGGGTCTTTTATTAAATTTAGAAACTAGCACGCATAAAGTTTTCTTAGCTCCATTTTGTACTCATCATAGCCTTATTTAACATAGCATAAACCAATACACAAACACCCATTAAGTATAGTAGATTTATTAACTTGAAATGTGGTGTATACAAAACCACATGACAAAATGTCACCAATAACAATGGTTTTATGGAGTGGTACATTGAGACCACTTACATTTAGCAATAACAAGTAGACTTGGTTGCAAAAAAACAAGACAGACAAAAAATGTACACCTGATTGCTGATACATACATGTACAAACCTTCATTAACGTCATGTACAACCTACAGAAAATACGGTTTTTGAAAATAAAATTTCATTATTGCGGACTTTCAATGCCCGAACAGGTAAAATTTTATTAAAAAATCAGTGAATACAACAGCCCCATAGAGTTCAATAGGTGATGTTTACAAAATGCCTTTGATAACATTGATTATTGCAAGTTTACCAACACTCTTCACAAACACATGAAATTAAATACCAGATGAACAGACTAAACACGTTTTTTACCAAACATACTGGCTCAAGATCCCAAAAATTACGAAATTGACTTCTTATTCACGATTTTAGCCAGGTGCTCCTGCCTGGTCTTATTCAATTGGACAAAAATTCACACGACATGCTGGGTCTTTTGCGCTTAAAACATTTGGGATGAAGATAAAAAGTTCAATTCATGATGAAATGTAAAATGATAATGGGGAAAAAAGTGATGGATGGTAAAAAAGATTGATTTGATGAGAGTTCATATTCACAACCTAAAAAAACTTTCTCAGATATACATGTTTAAAAATATACACTGAATCTATATATATACACAGCTAAGTTTCATTTTTACATAGACTTAGTATTGATATCTTAGAATGTGAAATTTTTCAATATCTTAACAACCATAATAATAAGTGCAGGGTAACAGGTCTAAATTGTAAAAATTAAACTATTAGTTTTAAGTGTTACTTGTAATTATTAATGACAACTATCTAAACATACATTAAAATTTGAAAATTCAACTTGATGGAATATGCTATTTAAAATATAGATTTTTTTGGATACATTATTGTTGAGATGAGATTTCTGTTAAATGCATTCTTTCATTCTGTCTTGTATGAATATCATATTTATATATATATATACACATATTTACAAAAATTTCATAGCAAAATATACATTTATAATGTGTGGGACAAACATATCTAAATCTTATTACAGTACTTTATTGTGACACAATTTTGTCACCAGTTGCAGGTATTCATTTAAAAAAATACCATATTTTTTCTACTGAAGTAAATAAACCATTATTAAAACTACATGTATATGCACCAAATGGAATTAATAAACAACCTCAAAATCATCTCGCAAAGAAAAACATTTAGAAACTCAACTTATTGCTTGTACATTTCAGATTAAGATATTAGAAGTGAACACAGGTTTTCTAGAAAGACTTTTTCATACATTCATCCTTGATCATGACATTTTTAACGGCATGTTCAATGAGTTGCATTAGGTAATAACAATTATGCTGTGTGAACTATCAAACAGACTTTCCATTTAAAAAAAAGACCCCTACCTCACAACCCCCCTCAAAAAAAATTAAGTACATGAATTCCAATGATTTTTCAAATTACCGTTAAAAATAAGTATGGAGGAAAAAGGACAAGGAAATCTTCATTGATGTATGTTGTAATTGTTATTTGGCAAGGAAAAGATCACGTGTGCAGCAGTTAACAGTAGAGATTAGAAAGTTAAGGAAAGAGAATTGTTATGTATTCAAGATATTGAGGCAAGAATATGACCTAAAGTATGTGTCTGATAAACAGAAAATAGAAAATCATAGGCAAAGCTGATATCTGGTTGTTGTGCAATAATTATGAAGTCATAACGGGTTTGACACTACTGGCCTGAAAATTTGAGACAGAAAAATGTTTGATATATATCATATGTATTTGTCATAAAGGAAAAAAAAGCTCAAGACTTCCTTGCTCTACATTAAGGTTTCTCAACTATTTATAATTGATTAATTTAACAGTGCATTTCTCGTCCAAATTTAATCCAAAAACAAATATTTTGGTACCCAATGCATAAGCACGTAAACAAGTTGCTTTACATTTTTTCTTTACATTTTCAGACTTCGAAAAGAATGTTATTTATGAATATACTGTGGTGAATACTATACTTATTTTACATATGTCACTTGTATATGCTAACTTTAAAATGTAGAACTTGCAAATGCAAGACACAGAGTCAAGGCAATCAGTAAATATACCTGTACAGCCAGCTGTCATGATTGACAAATTGTACCAAAAAGTAGACAAATCATGCCAAAAAGTAGACATATTGTGCCAAAAGAATAGACAAGTTGTGCCAAAAGAATACACAAATTGTACCAAAAAGTAGATAAACTGTACCCAAAAAATAGACAAATTGAAATTTGCAAGAAGAACTATAAACAAATTTTGAAATTTTCAAGAAAAATATAAACTATCAAAGTTGCTAAAAATATTTTGCTTTTCCATAACTACAAAAAAAAAAAAAAAAAAATTATAAAAAAAAATTTCAATAAAACGTTTATAGCAAATTTGTGTACAGAATGACATTCAAAATACACTGTATGTTTGAAGTCAAATGTATGTGATATCTAAATAATAAAAATATTATGTCATGTATGGAGTAAAGCAGTTTTCCATCTTAAAATGTTTACCATCAAAAATGAAGTAATGTTTATCATCAAAAACAAAGTTTCCTGTATGGAAAAACAATTGTATAGTTTTGTGTCATTTGGTTTTTGGCCCTTTGGGGATTTAACAGGATTGTAGATTCATGAATGTTTTCCAAAAAAAATTGCAAAAATTCAGTACGAACAAAATATACATATATGAATTACCTTAAATAAATCTGATATTTGTAGTAAATAATTGTATAATAAAGATATTCTCTATATACAGAATTCTTGTGTCAGGTAAAATTTACAGTCAAACAAAACAAAAAGCAATCATGTAAAAAAAAACAAAGAAAAATAATTCATTAACAGATAATTGGATTCCTAACCACCATAATCATCGACAGAAAACTGGTGGAGTTGCTTGCCCTTGGTACAATTCGAGTTACATGCCCTTTAAAAGTTCTGTGGTGAACACAATATGGCATTGTCATGAACTCTGATAGTCATGTAAGAAAGTGTTTAAGAAGTCAAAGGAGGGGCGGGAGGGTGGATTTGAATTCCAGCAGGTCAATATAACTTCATAAACTTCCTGGGGACAAATGTCAGGTTTGGGCATCCTGTAGCCCTGTTGCACATGTTCAAAGGCTTCTTTTGATCCCATTCCTGAAATTCAGAAGTTCATCCACCTCAATTAAAATACATGTATCTCACTGAACCTATTGGGAATTCTTACAATAATTCAACATTATCTAGACATCATCTTTTTGAAAATACTTTTTTTTTCATGGTGGAAGCATTTTTGCATCAGAATCTTCCTTCACCATTTCATTTTTTTTTATTATGATGCTAGAAACTACTTGTAGCTAATCTAAAACATAAAGTGAACTACTGTATATCATTTTTTATTCACAAGAAAATTTTTTTGGTAAGGATTATATACAATAATCACAACAGCTTGCAAAAATTTCATCTAGCTTATAATTACCAGAAAAAATATCTCGCAAAAATAAAGTGTCACGAATATATAGTGATCTACAGTATTGAAAAAAATTTCAAGTATACCTATAAAAATTATTAACATACCTTCATAAGGTTCTTTCCCATACGTAAAGATCTCTATCAACACAATGCCAAACGTCCACACGTCCCCTTTGGTACCGTACTTATTACACAGTAGCACTTCTGGTGACATCCATTTAATGGCCATCTTCAACCCTAGAAAATAGGAAAGGGGTTAAGAACACTTCCTGACCTATATTTAATTTACATTATACATCATTTTTTTTAAAACAATCTCTTCCAATTTCCTTTAGTTAAAGTAATTTTCTTCATAATTTTTTTTTTGAGCTGATGGAAAAAAATCTGAAATGGTGTACAAACATAAACTCTTGAAACACAAAGAATACAATAAAATCACTCCCATCCCATTTTCTACAGTATATTTTTTTCAATAATTTCAGTTATCATCACTTAACAAAATATCAAAATAGTGAATTCTGGATTTTTTTTTCTTTACCTCTTCTGAAGTTAAAGTCTGGGTCGTCTTGCACCTTTGCCATTCCAAATCCAGCAATTTTGACTACATTCCGTTCTCCCACCAAAATGTTACGAGCTCCTAAATTCCGGTGGACAAAATGCTCCTTTTCTAGGAATGCCATACCTTCAGCAATCTGAAAAATGTGTAAACAAATGTAAATAAACAGTATACATAATAATGTCAGCCTAAATCTGACAGCAATGTCTTATAAGCAAATGTGTGTCTAATGTCTATACAAAGTACTTGGTATTTAACCCTTAAAACTTATCTACCTTTTCAATATTTTTTATAAGTAAAAAAGATTATGATCAACTACCGAAAATAAGAAAACCCATCAAACATTTACATTTCATATTTTCTAATTTCTCATTTTATTTTAAGTATATTTTTTTTATATTTTTTAATATTTTTTAATTTCTTATTCTTATTTTATAGGAAAAAATATTTAATAAGAGCAAACATTATTTTTTCCCCTAACCTGTGCTGCAATCCAGAGGAGCTGTGAGAGGCCGAGTTCTTGACCTTTGCCCTCCCTCAGGTAGTTGGAGAGGCGGCCGTTAATCATGTATTCTAAGAGGAGGTAGATGGGTGTTGTTTCGCTGGATACGCCCAGCAGTTTGATTATATTTGGGTGCTGTAACTGCTTCAGGAGCTGAGCCTCGTCTAGGAAGGCGGCTGAGCTAACAGCGTCTTTCTTCTGAATCTTCACAGCTATGTCTCTTGAACTGTGCCACCGGGCTAAAAGAATTTTTTTTGTAATATGGTGTAACTCAAAAGGATTTTTAAAATAACTTTATAGCAATTAGGAAATCTAATACATTTGAAGGACTGATATATAAAGAAAAATTAGGTCTGACTACATGTACACTTTTGAAATTTAATACATAATTTTCTTGATACTTATGTGTGTTCATCATTTCATACCAAGCTCATATACAGAATATGTTAAGATATGTCAGCAAGAAATTTTGCATGTAGTTGTATGATTAAATGTACATATAATTTTCTTTACTCAGTATGTTTTTGTACATAATTTAATAGAATATCAGTCACATATATTATTAAAATATTTTTGCATAGTTTTAATCTTTTTACCATTTATCTGATAAATAAAACTTTGACCCTACCTAGCCACACTTCTGCAAACTGCCCGCTCCCTAACTTTCTAACTCGTAAGACTGTGTCTCTAGTAGTGGCGTACTCGTCTGGTTTTCCGCGATCAAAAGCCCAGATCAGAGACCGGGGCTTCATACAAATTTGTTGAAGTTTGCAACACAGACCATCAGCATTGTCTGGAAAAAAAAAAACAACAAATATTAATACAATGTAGTAGGCCTGAGTATCGCAAGCTACCTAACGATACAAAAAACATAAAATGATATGGTCATGCGATCAACAATTATCAACAGTTAAATTAGGTGATATCCTTATATATGTCAATATAGAAAATTGTATTACATAACCAAAGTTATTTATATTAATTTAACATGCATTTTTTAAATGTATTGTTTTCAAATTTTTAGCTTTAAAATTTCTCAGTTTGCATGTAGAATTTTCAAATAAGACAATAAAAATTAACTTGTACTGTATCATGATACATACGACGATACGATATACGCATCGTGAGGCCTTGCAATCAATACAATCGATGTATCGCTGTATTGTTACACCTCTACAATGTAGATTTCTTTGTGTATTTATCAAAATGTATTCTAAATGTCAAATCTGTAACAAACCTTGTAGTAATTTAACCCTACATGTACAGTTGAATTTTTTTGTACAATGTCTATCTATAAAATTGATTTTTTAAAAAGTCATAGTTATACTTATACTGTCAACAAGCTTTTACCAAATGTGCTTATAATCATATAAGGACCTGACATTAACAGCAAAGTGATTTTGTATTCCTTATGGTGTAAAAGTACATTTTAAACTTAATAAATAAAACAGATTGAAGTACATTTATTATGAATTATAATTGTATGTCTCTGGCACTTGCTATAAGCATGTTTTACTGTATTTAGCCTAGAAATAGTAGATGCATGTTTTTCTTCAAAAACTTCAGAGAGATTTGTCTAATGCTAGAAAACAATATTCAATGAGATTTTATTTTTTGTCTTCATATATCTGTATATGCATGTCATTTTACTGACAAAACATTTTTGCATTGGATAAACTTAAACAATGTTAAAGAGGAAAGAAGATGCTGACAAACCTGTGTAGTGGTTAACCAGTTCACTCAGAGTTTTGAATCGTTTCCGTGGCGTGATGAAGTAACTCTGAAACGCGATGTGGGGGTCTCTCTGAGTGTGGATCTTGTAATGTTTGACGATGTACCCCCTCAGCTCGTCGCAGTCCCTCACAGACAGGGTGTAGGTGTCGGGGGCAGCCTCTCCTTGTCTAACTAGGTAGGTCCCCTTGGGGTACCCCGGGCTCAACAACCAGTCCTCCGAAGCTTGGCGAGATACCTTACCAAAGTACCAACTGAAATATTGAAAAGAAATTATTACAATTTTTTTAACAACTTCAGAAATATATGCCATCGACTAATGCATTCAACCAGTTGTCTTATCTAATGTGAAGTAAAAATAAAAATTGAAGTGCCTTTAATTTTTTGTGTCCTGTAAGTGCAATTTTAACTTTATTTATAAAAATCATTTTCATAGCTGAATACACATGTAATTCTTCATTTCATTCAAATATATTTTGAACACTGGTATCATAATAAAAAAAAATTGTTCATTCAAAATCAGTAGCTGAAAATATACTGCTGTGGAAGTTTAGTGTTAAAAGGTTAATCAATATTTTTTAAAAAACTATTTCAAGAAGAGCAAAGAAAAAAATCTTCCAGTTATACAAACACTCAATTCAGAAAAGTTCACAAAAACTGGAAACTAATTTCCCCAACACCTGCCACATACTGAAGATATCACACAAACCGAAAAATCTGCAAAAATTAGCTTCTCCAGAATTATTTTCTGGCAATTTTAGTTAAAAACACTCAAGGCTTTCAATTTTTACACAGTTCTCAAATTTGTTGCCTTTTTTCACCTTTTTTTAATTTAATTAAAACTACTTTATAAAAAAACACGAAGTTGTTTGAGTTATATTTAACTTTTATCTTCTTTCATGAAAATCTACCTATTGTACTTTATTACTGCAGGTGTTCTTACTAACAATATCCTCATAAATTTTAAATAAATTTTCAATGCGTTCAAGGTGCCTGCATTTTTATAAAAAAAATTAACAAAATCAATCTTTCTTCACACAAATTTTCTTCAAAATTAATTATCACACTACATCCGCATTAAAAATCAAAATCCACAGCAACCCCATGTAAAGATTTCATCAATCAAAACCCCGTCTACGTTTTATTAATTTTTTACAAGTATTGCTTTTACTTTCTCCTACTGCGCCTTTTATCCCATGACCTAAAAAAAGAACAAGCAAGCAAAAAAGTACAAAGATATGTCAATTAATTAATGGAATGAACTTGCAAGAAATTTCTTGAGAAAAAAACTTGTCTTATCATCCTCCAAACGTACATAGAGTCCAACCATTAATCAATTTCCGAACCGAATGCCCCCCGCAAGTCTTTTATCTATTAAGTTTTGGTTGTACATCTTTTTCAATGCTGGCCCAGGTATATTGGCAGGCAGTAAACATCTTATATTTTACAAGCTCTTTGAGTTGCAGGTGTTTTCCAGAAGCTATGTAAAGTATTCTCGTGCCAAAACGCACATCTAGCTTACATAAGCTTTCAAGAGGAAGATCTCTTGTATGAAATACTGTATGGAATGTTAAGAGTAAAATCTTTGAAACCTGATGATTTTTATAAAGAAAAAAAAATGAAATAGTGTATTTTGGCAGGGTTAGATCTATATATTTTATCATGATATCCAACTGCCCCAGTAAAATATTCAGGTCAGGAATTGATGTAGTTTATCATGTTCATATCACAAAAAATTTAAAAAATCAGGTTACTGAAACTTTTTTTTTCTATTTTGCTGATGTTGTTTACAGTTTCTAACATTGTAACTTGCAGTAACTATTCAGTTCTTTACGGGATTAATCCCCCAAATTTTATTAATCTTTTTGTCGTAACAACAGGATCATAAAATGCTACACCAACCATCACAGAACAATATGACAGCTTTGTAACCAAGATGGGGAGAGGATTTTGTGAGATATGGGGAGATAATTAGCATAATGATCAAGATGAAACAAAACAACATATGGCACATGCCATCAACTTTTTTTATAATAGTTTTTTTCCTGAGCCCTTGTACATATATTCAGATATTATGAATGGGCTTAGATTGATGATGTGGTTAGAATGGGTAGAAGCCATCTGAATAAATATTGTTGTAAGTAAGTCATCTCCCTCTCAGATCTTACAATTTATAATAATAAATTCTAACACCAGAAAAAAATCATAATCAGGTAATGACTCCATGACACCCATCATATTCAAATGATTAATGGAATATTTTTCCACATAAATTCCCATAACTGTTTTATGTATAGACTAATACATAATTTTTAACAGTTTCTGATGCATCTCTCTCTAGGAACACACATTCTTATCTTTTTAATACTGCTAAAAATTTAAAACTTCTGCAAGTTTGATGTATCGGTACTGATTCCTGTTGAATTTTAAGACTTCAAGCTGAGTCTCGATATCTTGTATAAATACAAACTGAAAAACAAATAAGAAATTTTCCATCCAGAATTTGATAAGATGAGGGATACAAAATATGTAGACCATTGATCATTTTTCCGTGACTCATCTAAGTAAACTTTGAAATCCTTAAAAACGAGATCCGATAAATTCTTTCAAATTGTCCGCATTTCATGCCAGAATCAAATCACAGATAAATTATATTTCCCACATTCTTTGAAATTATTTCATGAAATTTATATCCATTTTGCAAATTGAATTCCTTATCAGATGACTGAATAGTGTCAGAATAAATGAAAAATATTCTTTGACGCATCAGATGATCAGTGGAACAGATAACTACATCAATTCTATATATGCATCCCGTTCTTTACATGAAAACAAGAACACCACTGATTTTTATGATAACCCTTAACCTTATGTCTTTTATCTAAAAATTTAACACCTTTGTCAACTCTTGAAAAATTATCAAATTGTTCAAATAATTAAAATGAAGTAGTTAAGCAATTAAAAGTGATGGATTCAGATCCTTTTCACTCCAACTAAAGATTTATGCAAAACCTTTTAAATGAACTGTGTACAATTTTCTCATATAACCTATATAAAACTAGTTAAAATTCTTATTTGAAGTTTTTCAAAAACTTTTTTTTTTCTATGACCTTTCAAAGGCTAATTAGAACAAACCACATGTTATACATACTCAAAAGTTCTGAGATGCTGCTCCTGTGGTGTGGGTGGTGCGAATGTCCGGGGTGGGGACACCAGGGTGTTACTGGTCTGCTGCTTCCCGGGGGAGGGGCTGAACCGCCACGGCTCCTCATCCTCCTCTAAAGTGTCCGACAGGGACAGGAGCAAGAAATTATCCTGGAAATCCCCGATCCCCCTCTCCGGAATTTTCACATCCTTTCTGCACATGGGGCAGGGAAAGTGTCCTGGTTTTTCCCCAGGGTGCCTCCGAACGTAGTCCCGCAAACAATGTTCACAAAAGCTGTGAAGGCATGGTAAAGCTTTAGGTTTGATAAAAGATTCCAAACAAATCTTGCAACTTAGAAATTCTTCCTGTAATTTTTCACGTAAACTTGATCGACTGGATGGCGTTTTGGCCATTGTTAGCCATTCTGGAAAAAGAAGAAGAAATCACATTTACTTAAGTGGGTTTTTTTTTGTTTTTCTGCAATATCTAATATCTCTACATATTTAATATAACTGATGGGTGTGGAAAACACTGAAATATCACATCAATCTGTGTCGTTCTCCAGACCCAGGATAAGGCTAAAATATATCTGTTGTATCAAACAGTTGTCTGGGCCAAGAGGGGTTAAAAGTCATAAGTGCAAGAATGAAGTAATAATTATTGATTTTCTGTAAAAATAATTAACAAACTTTTTAATATTTTTAATATAAAAACTTGAATTATATACAAAATATTGGGGTCTAAATAGCAGAGTAAAGCAGAAATAAATTTTTGGTTTGGCCTCAATTGTTATATCATTGATGATCATCAAATCCATTTTGGTTCTAATGAACTCTCAAGTTGCTCTTTAAAACCGACCCATTCTTTCATGTTCCTGGCATTTTTTAGCCCCACATTGAAGCATGTGATCAGTAAAATGCAGCTGATGATAGGGGTGATCCTGTGAACATCCTGCCCATTATCTTAATTAAAGTTCAACCACAATGCTGTGAATTTCATGGGGGAAAATTCCAGCATTTTGATTGTTTCTGCAATTATCACTTGTGTTGCTAACTCCTTGTTACATTTTTAGCAGATTATTTGACAACCCTTGTATCATTACAAAGCTGATGGAATGCATTTCACTGAATAGAGACCTAAACAAGTTTTGCTACCCAAATGTATGTCTTTAAAGTCTTTTGATAACATAATAGCAATTCCTGTGCTTAGAAGCTACGAATTTCTGATATATTATCATAGATTGTTGAATACAATGTATCATAATTTTTATTAATTAAAATGTTCATCAGTGGTCATCATAATGAATTTTGTTTGTGATTTCATGTATCCTACAATAATTTTCTGTACATGACATACCCTTTAAACTTTTAAAGATTTAATGAATGGTTTATTCTTGGCACAAAGTTCCTTTTGTTATTTCAATGAATCTATGGGTCACTTTCTATTTGAGGATTACGTGAGTAATGTTCTTTCTTTATGAACCCATGCAGAGCTATAAATATTTAAAATATAGATCTTGGCATAAAGTTAGGACTAATTCCAGTTTCAAAAGTATCACCATCTGATAGTAAGCTTTATTATTCTAGCGTAATCAAGCAAGATGATTTTGATTACCCCCAGAAAGACATGGATTTCATAAGCCATTTCCTGCAAAGGGGAAAACATATGGCAAGTGTAATTTCTAACCACATGCAAAAACTGCATCAATTAAACATTAAGTTATGGGACTGAAAAAATCCGTATCTATTTTGTATTGGTAATATCTGGTAATATGAAATTAATTTCTAATCAAATGCAAGATCGACATTAAGGTGCAAACACAGACTACCTGGGATGAATGTCTTTTTCTTCCTGCGTAGTTTTGGCATAGTAGAAAATCGTTCCAATTTATCACAAGGTAAACTTATCATAGACTTTTCAGTCTCTGATGATATCACATCATTATTTGACCACCTTCTGATCTCATTGTCTGACCCCCTGACCCCTTCTGATGACCAATCATCACTGGTCTTTCGACCCGACAGACGAATAACACACTTATCAGAAAAGTCCTCTTCCTTCTCCACAAAGTTCCAGCGAACAGAGTCCACCGATTCCTGGAAACACAGACTTTTCACTATTGTATCACAAGGACTGTTCCTGGAATCTCGATTGGTAAATCCATCTTCTGACTCGGACAAACTCAGAGGAGCCTCTTGAAGTAGATTCACTTTGTCCCCCTCTAAAGACTTTCCCCCCAAGCCCATTAAAATTCTGCCCTTCTCTCCAGCTTTCCTTACAACATTGCTCAACTTGGCTTTACATTCTCTTTTCTTTCCCTCCATGTGATTAGAACAAGCAATTAGGAGAAAAAAAGAAGAAGTCTTAAAACAGCGTGGCTTAATCCCTTAAAGCCTATTAAACAGATTAACGCACAAATCTTTGCTGTTCCATGGGTATATCCTACCCATTCTGGAAGCTGTGGTTAATCCTCATATCCTAATCACCTGAACGAACCACGTTTTGGGATTGGGTCATAATAGAGACAGGACACAACATAGGCACAAACACACACAGATGCTGAGGAGCCCAGAAAATTTAGAAAGCAGGAGAACTTCCGGAGTTTTTCAGCACACTGATGTTCAAGAGAGTTTTTGTCAGTGGAAGAGGATGCTCGCCTATCTGTCTATTCTGCTAACTCTTGTTTCCTGTTCATAATTACAGTGGGGCTCACCACAGGGTAAACACCTGTTAACAATCACCTCCAAAACCCAAACATCTCACACCTCCTCCTTGGGTAACAGATGGTGGGCAGACCTACTGTGTACAATCTACAGGGAATATCATCCCCTCCCTCTCTTAAGCTGGAGTCCTGGGGGTAATGCTGTTAACAACTCCCATAAAAATTCTGGGAGTGAAAACACTTCACATACCTTCCTCCCCCTTTCCCCCCATTCCCTTTCATTTCCCCCTCTCTTCTCATCAATGAAGCTTCAGTAGAGTGTAGAGCTTTTATGAATTAAGTACAAATGCCAGCTGGGGTAATTATGCCCTAGTTTTTTTTCCTCTCTCCTCTAATTACAATTACAGGTATAAGGCATTTTAATACTTTGAGGTACTACAAATTCTTTTCTCTGATCTAAGACTATTGCATCATCTGATTGTACAGCAGTTAAAGGAAATCCCCACTGTCTAATTAAATGTTTAAGATCGCTGGAATTCAGTCCCTGGAGCGGGGAGGGGGTATAAACAGAAGCCAATCCCTCTGGCTGCATGCATTGCATAACTTCAACAAAACATCCAATAAAGCTGCCTCTGCCAATGACAGGTGTGCAAATGCAAACTTTCCTATCAAATTTCTACACATTGTAAAAACCAGGGATCAATACAAACTCATTCCTTCAAGTTCTGTGCAAAATTTCAACTAAAACATCCAAAAAAAAAAATTTGATGTTTTTTATAATTAGGGTAAAGAAAAAAAATGATGAATTTATAGTAATTAATTTTCCTTCAATCTGTTTTACAAAAAAAATAAAATATACACCAGCAGAAATGATTATATTATGTTAAATTGAAATACCATTATACTTAAGAGTAAGATGCATGCCATACCACACTTCAACTTGTTGAAGTCATTATAGCGCTTTAGTCTTGATACGAATACTGTAATCTTAATGATACAGTAGTTAAAATATGAAGAGTCCTCAAGTACTATTTAGGAAGTTGTTTACAAAGTATGCAGTTTTCACAAAATGAAACAAAGAGAGAATTGTTAAAAAAAACTGAAGAAATTTCATGAATTCTGATGCATTGTATGGGCACATCCCTTGACCATGCAGGAAGTCACGATTTAATGAAAACAATGCGACTTCTATTTCTTAAATCTTGAGTGATATAAAATCATGTGATTGTCCAATATTTTTCTTTATTTTCATGATATTATTTTGCTCCTTGAAACTCAATTCATTAATTAATAAATGATTATTAAAAAGTATTTTACATTCTAATTTAATTAAAAAAAAAAAACTTTGAATACAACACAAAGTACCAAATTTCAATTAATTGATATGGAGTATTTGAGAAAACAAGTGATATATATGGAGACAGGCAGAGGGAAATTAAACCTATTGTCTTCACTGGTTTCACAAGTGGATTGCCAAATCTGAATATCTAGGCACTATCTCAACCTAATACCCCAAAATGTAGAAAAAGGTTTAGCTTTTATGACAGTTCAATCCATTTATTTTTAATTTTTGGTAACTAAAAACAAAACCATCTAAAGTTTGATACACATCAAGAGCTTTGGGGTATTTCACCCTAATACCTAATATTTAGAGTTATGGCCCGTAATTGTAAGTTAACTGATCAAAATGCAGTTTCACTGAAATCACCCACAGATTTAGTGGGCCCTAGCCCTTTGTCCCCCAATTCCCTTCCCTTTGGGACTCCATGCAAAATTTAGTTAAGGGCACCCCTTTTCAAGAATCCTGGAACTGCAGCTGTTTTAAGCTGCAAAGTTACAGAACAAAATTGCAACTGCAACACTGCAACAAAAAAATTGCAACTGCAACACAACTTTACAAATAAAGGAAAATCCAAAACTACTACAGCCATTAAAGCTGCCATTTGAGAATGGTTCATAATATGCATACATGATATAGTCAAACTTAAGTATCTTAATCTTGATGGGAATGAGAAAAATCTTTTGAGATATATCCAAGAATGGTTGGAACTTTTTAACTCACTTCAATACATGTATATATATACATAATGGTATTCAATATATCAAAGTTTGAGATAATGAAGTCCCACTGTACCTGTAGTACTGTATATAACAACTAGAACAATGTATATCAAGTATTCTCAGATTAATAGTATCTAAGACTAAAGTTTATGAATGTATGCTTGTTAATATTGTCGGGGTTGGTGAACGGTGAGGGAAATGTTTTAAATATGAAATTCATAGTCACTTATTCTTATGAAATATGTGTTTAACTGTTTTTGAAAGTTTCAATTATAATACAATACATCCGCAGAGAGAAATAATATATAGCATGTATAGGCAGTATTATTTCAACGTATGGGAGCAGTTAACAAAAACTGTAGATTTGAAGACTTTTTTAAAAAAAAGAAATTTTGTGTTTTAATATCAGATATAATACTATGTATCCCTAATCAAGTCAGTTAAATTCTTCAATGAATTTAGCATATCGACTCAAACTATGAAAAGACTACTGATCCTTCCAAATGCATCAGTATCATTTGTGATATATATTTGTATGACCCATTAGCTAGGGGGTGTCCACACTGTGGCTCAAACTTACAACCCTCAGATTTAAAATCCAACACTCTACCGACTGAGCTAAAGGGTTAACCCACTAGCTAGTGCTAGTAGGAGCGTGGCCTCACTATATACAACACATAGTCACTATTCAACTTTGTTACATTTGATATATTTATATAGTTCTGTATAGCTGATTCTGTGAATATTTCCTTGCCCACACCTACCAACATACAAGCATGAATAACATTTCAATGTGACAAAAGTACCTTGATTTACAAAAACTTTTTTTAACTTCAAAATTGTAATTGCGCATGCTGTAAACTCCATGACACATAAATGTATGTTGAGAGTATAACCATTCATCAAAAAATAAAACTTTACTATACTGCAGGAAAGATTGGCATGCCCCAGAAAAACCAATACGATGAGATTAGTGAAACACTGACATGTGTTCATTCACTTTTTTTTTTCTCGAGAAAAAAGGTGCAGCTTCTAGGATTGTCCCTATAACTTATTAACTATATAAATATAACTATGCATGCTCTATCAACTAGCAAATGTACTTAATATAGATTTCATCATACAAACACAAAAATTTCCCACAATTATCAATTATTAAAAAATCAAATGTATACCATATGTATTTATAAATATGATCTGACTTAAATCTATAAATCAACTATGCTTAGTGTTGTTGATACCCAAGTGATGGAACTTTAAATACAAAATGGTTATTTCTTTATTAAATCTTTAAATATTCTTAGTTTTTGATATGATAGAATGGTATTTAATCTATTATAGTCAAAGAAAAAAAGAATTATCTCTAACAACTACAAAGTATCTAACCAAAAAAAAAAATTACGCAGTAACTATGTTGTAGTTAGAACAAAAAGAAGCTGCACCATAATTAAATCAACAATCTTAATGCATTTACTGGACAATCGTGTAGAAGTAAATGTAAGTATAGCCTCAACTAAGAATACAAGTAGCGAAAAGATAGGGAAAAAAATTTCCAACAAGTGTAGATCACCAAATCTTTGCAACACCTTATATTTGCCAGACAGGTAATTTTTGTTTTTATAAGTGAAGCAAAATTTTCATTCATTTTAGTAATTGCATATTAAACCAGAAGTCTCTGTCGAGACTGTAGCTCTACTGGTTTATACTTAAAACAGAGGAAGAGAAAAGTAGCAGTTGCGACTTGAAACTTTAAAAACAGCAATTCATAGAAAAATGATCCTTGCCAATCATCAAAGCAAAAACCGATGCAGAGAGTTATGTATCTTAGTGTAGTCTACTTGTGTGCCAAGATATATTGAAATCAAACCAAAACTGTAGAAGGAGAAGCATTTTGAAAGAATTTCAAAGAAATTTCTATTTTTATTAACCATGGCAACACCGTTCATTGAAATCAAAAACCGATGCACAGAATTATGTATCTTAGTGAAGTCTACTTGTGTGCCAAGTTACACTGAAATCAGACCAAAACTGGAGGAGTAGCATTTTGAAAGAATTTCAAAAAAATTTCTATTTTTAGTAACCATGGCAACACCGTTCATCGAAATCAAAAACCGATGCACAGAATTATGTATCTTAGTGTAGTCTACTTGTGTGCCAAGTTATATTGAAATTGGACCAAATCTATAGGAGGAGTAGCATTTTGAAAGAATTTCAAAGAAATTTCTATTTTTAGTAACCATGGCAACACCGTTCATTGAAATCAAAAACCGATGCACAGAATTATGTATCATAGTGTAGTCTACTTGTGTGCCAAGTTATATTCAAATAGAACTAAAACTGTAGGAGGAGTAGCATTTTGAAAGAATTTCAAAGAAATTTCTATTTTTAGTAACCATGGCAACACCGTTCATTGAAATCAAAAACTGATGCACAGAATTATGTATCTTAGTGTAGTCTACTTGTGTGCCAAGTTATATTGAAATTGGACCAAATCTGTAGGAGGAGTAGCATTTTGAAAAATTGTTTACAGACAGACGGACGGACGCCGGACGCATTACTATCGCATAAGCTCTTCTGGTCTCTGACCAGTAGAGCTAATAAAAATTAACATGATCAAGAATGAAACATCTGTCGATGTGTACAGAATGTCAAGAGTAATAGAGCTAAAATAAAGTTCTCCTAAATGAAATATTTTGAAATATAGAACAGAAAATATAAACAAAAGAAATTTTACCTCAAAGAAATAGGTTGTTACTGCACCTTTCATGATTTCAAAGAAAATGCCAAATTATCATTAAGAGGGAAATGGTTTTGAAAGACTATTTCAAAATTACTGTTTTACTATCTGAATTTCAAAAAACATTTTCTAATTCTTTTATAGATTGGGTCAAAAACATTTGCTGATCATTGAGATTTCAATCCTACAAATACAATCAAACTGATTTTCCCCCCCTTTTCGTTTTTCGTATTTTAACAGCTTGGTTTAAATACGAGGGGTGATTATTTTCTTTATCAGTTTGAAGTAGTTCTTTCATTGATTGTCACACAGCTATATAATTTTTCATGAAAAGTTTTAACACACCATTTGTAACAAGTGCACAACAGTGGCAGCATGTTAATTCTCATGCACATTAATTAGCTTATTATTAGGGCTGAAACGATACGCCCCCTCCACGATACGATACGTATTGCAATACTTGCGTCACAATTCAATTTTTTCAATACGATACAATTTAAGAACGAAACTATTCCTAAGATTAAAGAAAACGTTTTCAGATTTAAAAAACAAAGAGTAAAAGGTGGTGATACAATAGAAATATACTACCAGGGGTATGCAATTTAAAAACTCAAGTGCTAGCCCGCGGGCTAGTGGCAGCAATAAAGTTACTAGCCCCAAGTAAAAAGTTATTAGCCCAAATACAGGGACAAAAATTAAAATAAAACAAATGTTGAAAAAATTAATCATTGAAAAAGTCAGGGTACTAAGGTCAATCTTTTGAAAATTAAAATTTTATTCTTACAATTAAAATTAAATCATATAAAATTAATGATTATGACAGAAAATAAAAATGAATTTAAAATAAATATCTGAAGATCTTTCCTTTTCTGATTATTTTGCACTAGCTCATTTAGAATGAAAATAAATTCATTTTGTTTTCATATAAAATCCTTATATACACTAGAAATATATTTCATGTGAATCACACTGATCTTTCAGTTGATTGAGTGATCGTAAATAATTTAATGAGATATATCTGCATGTATATTTACAATAAACGGAGGAAATTCGGATTAGGAAAAAAAAGATCGTTTTTGGAAGTAAATAAGTCAGGAAGTACTGCAAAATGGAGAAAATTATGGAGATTTATTGACAGTAAGAGCATGTTGCCTGGAAAATATTCACTGGTTGGGAATTTGATAGCAAAAAATGAGTAAAATACCGTTTGTACTTTATGTATTAACTTACATGCGTAGTTAATTTTTACTAGCCCGAATTTACTAATTTGTTAATTGCACATCTCTGATACTTGTGGTTCTGTTGATTAAGAACACTTTATTTGTATAGATAATAGCAGAGGCAGCCTACTCTGAAACTTTACCGTCCCAATTTGTGTCAAACTGTTAAAATAAGGTCGAACCCGATCTATTTCAAAGAGTTCACCAAACCCGATTATAAAAAAAACGTATCGAACCGAAAATCGAGATGGTGAATTGAATATTGAATCGAGCAATTATATCGAACAATATCGATATTTCGGTGAATCGTTTCAGCCCTACTTATTATTAATAATGTTTAGAATTTGAAGATTAAGATGAATTCAAAAATTAACAATTAACAAAAGCAAACGATATTGGTGCTAGCTGCCAAACATTTACAACTACGACTCATTACTTGTATTTACACTGGTCTCCCAATGCTACTCCTTTGAATCAATGTTTCAATATTTTTTTAGTCATCATGCTCGTTATTAGCTACAGGATAAATCAAAATTTATGACAGCTTGGGGAAATAATAATCCTTACTCTGGGTTGTCCCCAAGACCCGAGGACCAGGGTAATTCCATGTCTATATATACATAATTCAATGACATTATTCCCAGGCTTTTTTTGCTTTTCCAGGCTCTCAACCCCGTTAGGGAAGGAGTCCTAAACCCCCTTCTAACTTTTTCATTATCCCCTGCTAATTTGATGATTGGGGAAATTTTCTGGTTGAGGATTTTGTACATTTTACAACAAAACTATACCTCAATTACCAAAATTTTATATCAACACAAGAGCCATCTATCAAAAATATTGTGTAATTTTGCAACTTACATGAAAATACCCGAGATTTCATAACTTGTTCTTCATTCTTTGATGAATTACTCTTACAGACATGCTATGCACTTATTAATAGTACATGGACATTTGTAACAACCAGAGAATAAAATGCATCCATGAAACCTGTAATTGTACAAGCAATGATATACTAGTGTAAATAATTGGCTCTTGTGCATAAAAAATTCCTCAGTTTATGCTATTAAAATAAAAAAGTAATAGTTTAGCCAGTCTGCATGTTAAGAATGTTACAATGTTCATTCATTCTTCACAATGTGCCTGTACGTGTTACTACATCTTTTGGGTTTTCCACAGCAAATTTTGCGTAATTTCTCTTTCCAATCTCTTTAATTTTATTCAAACTGAAGGAAAACACGCGCGTAATTATTTATTGTTCTCAACAGGTGCTAGTTTCTGGTAAAATGCCAGTACCACTACGAGCACAGGAAGTGAGCGGCGCCATTTTTAATAGTTGACATTATTCGTGGAATTCCTTTAAAATTGACCTGGTTTCAGGGTTGTTTGGGGGATCATGGTTATTTAAGATACTTACATTCATATAGGTCTCTGTTTTGTATCTCTCCATCAGGCTATAATCACTTTGAGAGATCGTTCAGGTAGATTTATTATTACAGGAAGTGCACCTATCCCATTTTGTACCATGTGCGCATGTTTTCACCCGAATTTTTTTAAACCGGAAATGGGAAAACAAAGGAGCGGCGGATCCAATCACAAGTCAAACCCACCCTTAACTTTAGGAGATAAAATTGAATAAAGAATAAGATGAAATTGTTTCACTTTGATCTTGTTAGGTAATTTTAAAAGAGGGATTATTGCCTTCTCTCGACCTGTTGGCCAAGAACAATGCAACTTAACCTTGAAAAAAAAGAAAATGATTTACTTTTAGAGATTTTCTAATCCCATTAACAACTATTTTATTTTGAAAATTCTGCATTAATGTTGAAAATTTCTGCTAATTCAATTTTCAAATCCAGAATCGGAGAGGGCAATTTCTTGAAAGTTAATTAAATTAAACAATGACCCTTTTGATATATACCTATAGGGCCCTGGGCCTTTTCAATTAGAATTTTTAAATTGAAAAAAAAAATGGTAAAAATTTAGGAAATATTGGTGTCTTATATTCATTTAGTTTGAATTGAACACTTATTCCCTAAGTAAATCTAGCTTTATGAATAGATAAAATCTCAAGATTTTAAATGTTTTGAAATAAATGTAAAAATCACAGAAAGATTCAATCTGCATGTCTTTGAGATACTTTACCTTGATTTTTTTTTTTAAAAAGGAAATTTTCAACCGGTGCAGGGTCCTTTTCCTGGATCCACACGCAAAAGTTAAGCCATGAGGGCTAATATCCAAGTGTGCTGAAGATTATACATGTTAATTTAATACATGTTAACATGTCATGGTTACACCAATTATACTTCATATTTTTGAAATCCTGCATTCTTAAATTTATTTACCTTAACTGATGAGGCTTCATTGTACATATAAAATATGCTGTTTCTGCTTCTTTGTTTTACTATCTTAAGTTTAAAAAAATGCATTTAAAAGTATCATAAGTAAACTGTTTATCATTTATCATAAAAAGAAAAATTGAAGTTATGATATTCTATTAAAAAAATACTTTCAAATTTTAGTGTGAAATAGAGAATGAGCCCATCTACATCAAAGTCTTGTTATGTGTCTGTCTGTATACTTTTTTTTCTGGACATTTGTCTGCCTGTCCATGTGTAATTCACTGTTTGCTATTTAACAATGAAATTATAATACTGAAGGAACTTAGTTTTTAATTTGTGTTAATAAAAAAAAAGATAGAGAAACAAGGTTATTTTTATGAGAAAGAAGTCCTTGTACATGTATGTATGTAAAAATTTTGAGTCAGATGTATTTCTTATTAGTAAGTTGTTAAGTAGTAACAAAGAAAACTTTTAAAGGTCCAATAAATGCAATACATACTGTCAATATAAATTTTTGAAAATTATGATTTATTATTTAAGTATTTTCTTAACATAACATTGCATGAATATAATTTTCAAAGTCATCTCATTTATAACATTAATATTATTTTGCCCCTAATAATCAACAGATTCATCAATAATCATGATATATGACTATTTGATTGTGTCTCAGATTTCTCTAAACGTTCACTGTTCCCACTGACTGAAATACTTTCATAAATATGTTCATCATCCTGCTCTGAACCATTACAATTACTTGTCTCTACACCATTAATGCACGTCCGTCTACGACTGTCCCATGACGAATGAAAATTTACTCCGTCTTGCGCACCACCGTTAATTTCACTGTCGAAAACCGCCAATCGTTCCGACACAGGATTGGAAATTTTGAAAAAATTATCATCACTACTTGGGTTAAATATGTCCTCCTCAGATTTTTTGCTGCTGCTGAAAGTCGGTGGAGATTGCCTCAAAGTTTCTTCTGCCATTGGCACACTGAAGTCTCTTCTGAGATCAACCATTCTTCCATATGATGCAAGAGAGCTCTGAGTGTCTGTTTTATCAAATTCACTGTTTTGCCTCTCACCCATTGGTCGCAAGAGAGCAGTCTGGCTTTCCCTGTAAACAATACAAATTGATGTTTTAATTCAGATCAATGAATATTAAATAAAGCTGGCAATTAAGAATAGATGAATAATCAAAATTATGCAATGATCTTTATCACATTTTCTTATTATGCAGATATGCTATTATCAGGAAGTAAACCAAGTACAATGAGTATGGCTTGAAGAGGCTGGAAGTCTTAATCAAAGGAAGATAACTCTTTCCGTGTTCTTTTTCTCCCTAGGTTAATTTAGGGCTTTAATTCTAGCCTTTTCTATTTTCTAGAGTAATATATCTTAAACATAGGTAATCAAAGATTACGAACCTCACCTCGACGAATGTTATCAGTTTAAGTAATGCAAATCTCACATCATATTTTCTTAATATTCAGTATTCATCCCAACAACAATACTCTTGCAAGTTGTGTTTAACCCCTTACACGGCATGTACACATTTCTACGCGTGTAGCGTGAAAAACATGTATAGTGTAAACAAATATTCATAACTGTTAATGCTGCAGATATCAAGGACTTCAAGTTCATTCGGATTGATCTGTTCCCAAAACTTTCAGCTGGTCTCTTGTATAGAAAATTTAGGTCAGATCCAGCATCCCAAGCAAGTCTGGTAGTGTCCATACTTAGATGCATCATCCATGCAAGTTTGGTTTAGCTAGGGCTTATAGTTACTTGGGAATGAAAATATAGGTCAGATCCAGCATCCCAAGCAAGTCTGGTAGTGTCCATCCCTAGATACATCATCCATGCAAGTTTGGTTCAGGTAGGGTTTATAGTTACTTGGGAATGAAAATATAGGTCAGATCCAGCATCCGAAGCAAGTCTGGTAGTGTCCATCCTTCGATGCATCATCCATGCAAGTTTGGTTTAGCTAGGGCTTATAGTTACTTGGGAATGAAAATGCAGGCCAGATCCAGCATCCGAAGCAAGTCTGGTAGTGTCCATCCCTAGATACATCATCAATGCAAGTTTGGTTCAGGTAGAGGCTTATAGTTACTTGGAAATGAAAATGTAGATCAGATCCAGCATCCGAAGCAAGTCTGGTAGTGTCCATCCCTAGATGCATCATCCATGCAAATTTGGTCCAAATAGGGCTTATAGTTACAGTGTACTTGGGAATGAAAATGTAGGTCAGATCCAGCATCGGAAACAAGTCTGGTAGTGTCCATCCCCAGATGCATCATCCATGCAAGTTTGGTCCAAATAAGGCTTATAGTTCCTGTGGAATGGACCTGCTCCAAAAACTTTAACCTGGTCACTCATCTGGAAAATGTAGGTCAGATCCAGCATCTGAAGCAAGTTTTGTAGTGTCCTTTCCTTGATGCATCATCCATGCAAGTTTGGTCCAGGTAGGGCTTATAGTTCACTGGGAATAGACCTGCTCTAAAAACTTTAACCTGGTCACTCATCTGAAAAATGTAGGTCAGATCCAGCATCCGAAGCAAGTCTGGTAGTGTACATCCCTAGATGCATCATCCATGCAAGTTTGGTCCGGGTAGGGCTTATAATTCCTTGGGAATGGACCTGCTCCAAAAACTTGAACCTGCTCCAAAAACTTTAACCTGGTCACTCATCTAGAAAATGTAGGTCAGATCCAGCATCCGAAGCAAGTCTGGAAGTGTACATTCCTAGATGCATCATCCATGCAAATTTGGTCCCGGTAGGGCTTATAGTTCCTTGGGAATGGACCTGCTCCAAAAACTTTAACCTGGTCACTCATCTAGAAAATGTAGGTCATATCCAGCATCCGAAGCAGGTCTGGTAGTGTACATCCCTAGATGCATCATCCATGCAAGTTTGGTTCAGGTAGGGCTTATAGTTACTTGGGAATGGACTTGCTCCTAAAACTTTAACCTGGGACGCCGACGCCAACGCTGGGGGTATAGCATAAGCTCATCTCGACTTCGTCGAGGTGAGCTAAAAAATGATGTATTCAATCTTATTTTTCATTTCGTAAGAAACAATTGTAAAGAATACATGGTCCAGTATTACACTAAATATGGTACATGCACCAAGCATTCCCTCTTAAACATGGTTTTCATATTATACATAAACATTTATATTTATGGTTTCAATCCTAGCTTGTTAGTTTTGATTATTTTGCCTAACTTACAGTTTTGATCCTTACTTTTTTTTCCAGCATGGTTTTGATATTCTACATAAACATTACCCGTACTTTAATCCTTGCCTATTCTCTGGCATGGTTTTGATATTCATGTGCATCGATCAACATTACTTAACAATTTAATTTTAATCCTAGTCTGTTCACTTAGACTCTAACACGGTTTTGATATTGTGCATCAACAATTACATTACTTACGGTTTTAATCCTAGCCTGTTCTCTAACATGGTTTTGATATTTTGCAGTGTAGTTCTGAGATCAGGAGTCCCTAGTCCCAAGTAGAATCTCATCTGAAAATCAGAAATAATTAACTGAATATGCATAGTTTTACACAGAATAAAAATAAATTTCTACAAGAACAACATGATTAAAATGGGTACTTCAGTTCAATGTCTAATTTCACATTTATAATTAAAATTAAGATATATGGTAGTTTACTTAATGGTTATATACATATTTGCCAAAAAATCATTTGACTCAGTTGAACACTTATATGGCTCATATCCTAAAACTGTACTTTCAAATACAGGTACATGTAGGAATAGAACTGTTGGATTCATGTTTTTCTTATTTTCACTCCACAATATATTTTAATTTTTTTAAAATGTGTAACATTTAAAGAAAGAAGGCGTACAAGGCGATGTCAATCCCCCGCTCTAAGAGAAGACATTTCTCATTTTTAAAAGTTCATGAAAGCGATATTTAAAAATCATATAGTTTGTTTCATCTTTTACACATTTAATTCAGAATTTCATTGTTTTATTATTTTATGAATAATTTATTTTTTAACCCATGTTTTTAAGATGTGATAACAAAAAGCAAAAGCTTCACCCATGATTCGAACTCACTCCATAGAGCAGGGTTTGTCAAAAGACCAACCGCCTTAACCACTACGCTACGAAGTATATGCGTTATCAATGTCTGTCAGTATTATTTAAATGAACGGGTTTGTTGAAGCATACATTTTTTTCAGAAAATTTCGACTTTCATATAGAATGGATTCAGATTCTATTTTTTGGACAAATGGAATAGATTTCACATTCACGTTTCTATCATTAAAGCGTTAACAAAAAATGGAGACTTGACCCATTCATGTTCAAAATTCATTTTTTTATGGCTCTTGTAAACCCATTTACCACTAAATATGCTAAACTGTCAACTTTGAAAAAAGATTTGTCAAATGATAAGTCGTTCAGTAAAAAAAAAATCATAAATATTTTGAAGATGTCATTACTGAGAACATGTTTTTAGAAAAATATAACTTTTCCGTTAATTTTGAAAATTGAGAAACATATTGTCTCAAGCGGGGGATTGTCCATGCCTTTAATATGCCCTCTTTCTTTTTCAGCATTTTTTTGGAGTATCCATTAAAATGATTAAATTGGCTACTCAAAAGAATTTCATGAAAATAAAAGAAAGTTACACAAATTTAGTCATCATTTAATAGTTTAAGAAACAATTTATACCTGGCTTATATTTTTGTTTAAAGTAAACACACCATACTTAAACAAGGTTTGTTCTTTGCCCTTTGAATAAAGAGGAAACCTAAAAAAAATTAAAACAGTGGATTAGTGGGGAAATACCTCATGTAAAGTTTCACATGTGAGCAAAATGGAAGAAGGCTTTCTTTTATGCAAAACTTTAACTACTAATTTCAGTTGAAAGAAATAAAGATAAATGCCTAGTGTGAAAATGTATGATTATTTCTAACCAATAACCCAAGAAATCATACTCTTTGAGATATTAACAAGATAGAAGTAGGTTATATGTCACTATGAAACATGATTTCAAATACTTGTGTATATACTTTAACCCCTAACAATATTTTAGAATGAATATTTTTTAGTTCAAAACACAAAAATAAAAATGTAATTTTTATTTCTTTCCTTAATTATACTATTATGTAATTTACTTAAAAATAATTTGAGAGCTGGAGAAAAATTTAGTTTTGCATAAATTAACAAACTGTGTATTTTTTGAAAAGAGAATTTCAAAATTTCTCGAGAATAAGGTAAGACTTAATTCCTTTGAGAATAAGGTAAGACTTACACTCTCTCTTTATCCTCTAATTTTGTGTGGATGTGATCATGGATGGTTGACCTTGACACTTGATGGTCCATGCCATATCTCAATGGAATGTCAAGGACACTAGAGATCATCAGCAGTAGGTGACAAGTATAACCAAGGGAGACAGCTATCATATTGTCATCTTTACCTTTAAATAAGCAAAAACGATATATGTATCTCGGTGTGAATAAAAAAATAAACCCATCTTTAAAAATTGGCAAAAATTATCATTCACAAATTATGTTAATTCTAAAATTTTGCATCTTAGTCCAGAGTGAAAACTAAACAATCAACTCTTTTACTGTATTTGGTTCAAGTTTTCTTTAAATTCTTTTGTATTTTTAAATGCAAAATACACACTTTCATATACTGTATACAGGGTTATTTTCGCCCCGTGTTATTTTCGCCCTTTTGCACTTGCGAACAATTTTGCCCCATTTTAAATTCGCCCATTCATAGTTCTGCTTAAGAATTTATGCTGTGTAATTTGAATTTCTTTTAAATTCGCCTCAGAGGGTGAAAATACACACTTTATACAGTAGTCGTGGGTGTGTTGTATTCATGTTTACATTTCTACCTTGAAAATCTTCTGAATTAGGCAAGCAAACATCAGCAATGAAATACTGCCCTTTCTTCTGTAATAAACCAAATAGGTAAAAATTAATATACAGTTAGATTTGAAAATATACAGGAATCCTCCTTATCCTTGATAATATAAAGTTAGGCTAAGTTAGTAAAAAAAATTGTTCTTTTGATCTGTAAAAATATCAGTCTCAATCTATTTTGAAAAAAAAAATTATATCTGTTTCACAAAACCTTCTCTAATGCACTTTGTATATATAAATTTCAGCTTATCGATAAACATTACAATGAAATAAGAAAGACACAATGTAAGTGTATGTACATGAATATGTATACCTCAGTGATAGGGTAAATATAGGCAGCTAATTCCCTGATTAGTTGTTTTCTTCTGATAAACAGTTGTGCATTTTCTTTTATCAGTTTCTCCCTAAAAAAGAAATTAATATGTTCATGCAATCCAGCTCAAGTAACATAAGAATATATTTAAAAAATCTACTTTTAACTTCTATTCACACATACACCATTACATTTTAGTTTGAAAACTTTTTTAATTATTTTAAAAAAAATCTGCAAGTAAAAAATCCAATGCTTTCTGAGTAAGAGAAGTCAATAATTATAGTTGAGGAGTAAGAGAAGTCAATGATTTAAGTTGAGGAATAAGTTGAGGAGCATTAGAAGTTAATGATTTTATTTGAGGAGTAAGTTGAGGAGTAGAGACATCAATGATTTAAGTTGAGGAGTAAGTTGAGGAGTAGAGACGTCAATGATTTAAGTTGAGGAGTAATAGAAGTCAATGATTTACGTTGAGGAGAAAGAGAAGTCAATAATCAAATTTGAGGAGAAAGGTGAGGAGTAGAGAAGTCAAATATTTATGTTGAGGAGCTAGAGAAGTCAATGATTTAAGTTGAGGAGTAGAGAAGTCAAATTTAAGTTGAGGAGTAAGAGAAGTCAATAATTATAATTTAAGTTAAGGAGTAATAGAAGTCAATGATTTAAGTTGAGGAGTAAGAGAAGTCAATGATTTAAGTTGAGGAGCTAGAGAAGTCAATGATTTAAGTTGAGGAGTAGAGAAATCCAATAATTTAAGTTGAGGAGTAATATAAGTCAATGATTTAAGTTGAGGAGTAAGTTGAGGAGTATTAGAAGTTAATGATTTAAGTTGAAGAGTAGAGACATCAATGATTTAAGTTGAGGAGTACGTTGAGGAGTAGAGATGTCAATGATTTAAGTTGAGGAGTAAGTTGAGGAGTAGAGACATCAATGATTTAAGTTGAGGAGTAAGTTGAGGAGTAGAGATGTCAATGATTGAAGTTGAGGAGTAAATTGAGAATTAGAGATGTCAATGATTCAAGTTGAGGAGTAAGTTGAGGAGCTATAGAAGTCAATGATTTAAGTTGAGGAGTAGAGAATTCAATAATTTAAGGTGAGGAGTAATAGAAGTCAATGATTTAGTTGAGGAGTATTAGAAGTTAATGATTTAAGTTGAGGAGTAGAGACATCAATGATTTAAGTTGAGGAGTAAGTTGAGGAGTAGAGATGTCAATGATTGAAGTTTAGGAGTAAATTGAGAATTAGAGATGTCAATGATTCAAGTTGAGGAGTAAGTTGATGAGCTAGAGAAGTCAATGATTTAAGTTGAGGATTAGAGACATCAATGATTTAAGGTGAGGAGTAATAGAAGTCAATGACTTAAGTTGAGGAATAAGTTTAGGAGTAGAGAAGTCAAATATTTAAGTTGACAAGCTAGAGAAGTCAATGATTTAAGTTGAGGAGTAGAGAAGTCAATGATTTAATTTGAGGAGTAATATAATTCAATGATTTAAGTTGAGGAATAAGTTGAGGAGTAATAGAAGTTAATGATTTTAGTTGAGAAGTAAGTTGATGGGTTAGAGAATTTCCTTGGAGGACCTTGTCTGGTCGTAATCCTTCTTCTTTTCTCCATGTTCCTTCCACTTCTCTCTCAACTTCTCCCAATTCTTTTTCATTGCTGTGTCTGTGGAAGAATGTACACAAAAATAATAATCTAAAGACATTTTTTTTTTTACAATAACCTTATCCTGTAATAAGAAAATGAATACATTTATTTTCATAATTATACAGTGAAGGTCAAAATTCCATATGAATCAATTACTGATATCATTTTGTTCCATATTAATATCTATACAAAACTAAACGGTTTCATAATCAATGTTAATGTGCACATTTCTTAGATAAAAATAGCTGGATAAAAGATAATGATATAGAAGAGAACTCTTTAATTATGCAAGCACATATCAATTTAGGTCAATATATTAATGTCCAGATTACAATAACACCAGAGTCACCTTTCAAACAATGTAGGTGAACACTGTGTGAACAGTACCTTGTTCTTGGTTGGAGCTGTGACACTGGTCTGCTTGGTCCTTCATTTTATTGACAGAGGCTGTCCTCCAGGTGACCTCAGAACAGAGTTGTTCCCTCTTGAGGATCAGGTCCTCACACTGTGCCTTCTTTCTTGTAGTCTCTTGTGAAGACAGTAGCTTGTCCTCAATTGACCTTCGCACTTTATGCACTGACGCTTGAGTTTGTTTAATTGCTCGTAATACTGTGTAAATTCTGAATAAAATGATAATAAAGATAAGAATGGAAATGAAGTGCATATATTTTTCCTATGTCAATTTTCACAAATTTTACAGATAATGAATAAACTTTTTGGATGGATAAAATCACAAGTGAAAAATTTATATCTTTGTCAAAGGTATCAGACTGGGTAATTAATGTATATAAATTTCTATGTTCATTAAAGTTTGAGCCTTGATTAAGCACTTGTACTAAATTTACCTTGATAGAGAGCTTGTTGTGTAGGACTTTTTGACACTGGCTATTTCCACTTTTAGGAAACATTGATTGGTCACTGACAGTGGTTTAGCAGCTGTCTCCTCGCCAGGCTTATTTTGATCAGTTCCAGCACTAACATCCTTTCAAGTAAAATTCTATTAATTACTCTGAATCGTTTTAATTCCACAGTGTAAAAATTTCATGATTTCTCATATAGTATCAATCATGATGGTTTTAATTTCACACTACAAGAAAATAAATTTTTAAGTTCGAATAAGCATTGAAACGTTTTAAAGACTAATGTTAGCATTCACGGTTGTTATAATTTCGCGGAAAAATGATAAATCGCGAACATAGTGATATTAAAACCATCATGATTATTTGTCAATCTACAGTATTTGTTTGCAGGTTTTAGATTATATATGTACTAGTATTTAAAGATTAATGGTTTCCTTGAAATCTTTGATCACATATATTATAAAGACATTTCACAGCACACTATTAAGTCTTTTATATGGGTAAAGAGAGCAATGTCAACTATTCAGTGTATTCACACTTTTCAGATTGTTGATATATATATAAGGGTAAATTTTATTCCCAAACCATTCCCCAGTAATTTTAAGATAAATTTAAACTTCAGTATCTTCAACTCCATGAAACTGAGAAAATAAACTGAAGATATCGTAGTATTTGAATTGAGATGTCGATAGTAAAATCTCAAAGTACAAGTTGTTGGGAATTCCCATTCATTTCGATATATTCTTAGTAATCAAGATATCAGTATTTTGTCTAGTATTCAAGATACCAAAGTTCAACTGTACATTTATTAAATTGTTTTTTTTTAATTTAACCATTTACAATATAATAACATAGAACTTCATTTAAATATTTTATTAAGCTTCAGTTTAATTGATTTACTTCAATGACCTGGAGCAAAAGTCATTGAAAAATGAATTTTCCCCTGTCTTCATCAAATGTACACATTGTCATAACAATCTTACCACTGTTTTTATGTCTGGGGCACAGAAGAAATGATCAAACATTCCAAAAATCACTGTGTTTGGTGCATACTTCACGCCTTTGTCTTGTTGGAGCTGAAAAAGCAACTTCAATATTAATTTTATTTGAAAAGACAGGTCAATGTTTACCAGTATCCATTTTGTGCAATCATGAATGACAGCAATAATACCATATAAGTGGAAATTTTAGCGATGCGCAAATTTAGCGATTTCTACCTAAAATCTGGTATTCTATTTTTAGCGAGGATTGATTTTAGCGATTTTTAAATGCTAGCTAAAGAAGCTATAACATATAGTACGCAATTAATTTTTTACGCGATATTTATTTTTAGCGATGTCACCACCCTCACTAATAATTCAATTTGTTCTCACTGAAGGCAAGCATACAGCTAAATTTACAGTTTAGTTAAAAATGTCTTTTACCTTGTCAGCAAAATATTCCAGTGCATTAAGGTCAACCATCCAGTCCAAAAGGAGGCGCTTGCTAGATTTGTGTTTCACCCACACTCGAACAAGAAGAGCTGGTGTTACTAAGGAAACATATTTATTTCCAATGCAATATATATTACATGTATTAGAATCTACCAATTGGGAAGGCATAATTTTTTTCAGATGAGGAAAAAAGTACCAAGTATTAAGATGGACATTCTTAATATTTTATCAAACATCTGATAATTAATGTACAAGTTTTACTCACATTAATAATATTCAGTAACAAGAAATAACAGCATTTTTTATTGAGGAAATTTTTCCTACAATAAATTTTGAGTACTAAAATGATCATGCATTCCTCATTATTGTGAAAAGGATACATTGACTTGTGGTGTTAATTTTATCTTCATATCTGCTAATGTCAAAGCTCTGCCAGGAAGGATTCTGCAACAACAAAATAAATGTCAGTGATATATTTAAAGAATAATTAATATAAGGGAAAATACCTGATTGCTGTATAAATTATGGAGTCATATACCATCAAGTAATGTAAAACAGACATTATAGCCACATCAGACTGATTTCAGATTCTCACAATCCTCTTTAAGTTGAACAGCATAGAACTGGCAATTACATGTGTATATCAAGAAATTACGATATCATAACATAATAATAATGTAATAATATAAGAAAGGGAAGCCTATTGATGATTTTAACCTGACTTTAACCTGATTATCTATATATACATGTAGTCATATAGCACATTTTATGCCATGTTTCAGTGTTTAAAGTTTGTGAATATATGTTTCTCTTTCAAATCATCTGGTTTAAAATAATTATGCCTCCATATTTGAAAATTTGTGGGTTTAAAGTTTTTGCTCAATTTGTTTGTCTGCAAAATCTTTAACCTTGCCCATAACTTTTGATTGGTTGCAGCTGTGGATTTCACATGTGTATTACTTGTGACAAGACCTTTCTTTGGGTACCAACATTTTTGACTTCTTGGCCTTGACCTTTGAGTTCGATCCACTTTTGACTTTTTGACATTGACCTTAGAGTTTGCAAAACTGTAGGATTATGGTTTTATATATTTATCTTTGACCATATAGTATTACAGATTCCCTAATGCTAATATTATGAAGTTTACAGATAAAAGATTTTCTGTGCACTGTTGGGGAAAATATCTGCACTTTCCAGCATTGGTCAATCAACTACCGGTACCTTTTACTCCCTGCCATCTGACAAGAAAAAAATCAAAACAGAAACTAGCAACTTTTAAACAGTTGACGCTAGAATTTTTATATTTCACAGGTGTATTTCTTATGACAAGGCGTAACCCAAGTAGCATTGATTTTGAGCTTGAACTTGGAATTTGAGCCACTTTTAAAAAAAACTGAACTTGGCCATAACTTTTGAATAGTTGGTGCTTTGGCTTTCATATTTCACATGTATATTCATTCAATCTTTTCATTGGGTAACAACATTTTTGATATCTTGTCCTTGACCTTGGAGTTTGATCTGCATTAGAGAAATTTAACCTTTGCCATAAATTGTCATATGAGGGCATCAAGTGTTTTACACACACATCTTGTTTTTTCCTGGGGCCCCGAGAGTTCAAAGACCTGGCTGAGGATGAAGACCAGGATAAAAATTAGTTTTATAAATCCCTAACTGAAAACAATTACAGGCATAAACTGCTCAAAATTTTAACTGTCCAGGTGTACTCAGGGGTCATGTTTTACTTCATATGCATGTTTCTTTAATTACACTAGAATTATATTTTTAGAACTTTGTACTTGAAACTTATCTAACTTCCTTGATATACTATTTCTATTTTTTTTTAATGTAAATTATAGCATTCTATTTTAAGAATCATGTGAATTATATATTTATCTATTTGTCAGATGCTTACCAGTGATGCAGTGATGGTCTCACTTTGATAGAACTCTAAAAATAAAGCCAAACATTTCAATCAACTGAATGTACAATGCATCATCAGTGCATCACAAAAAGATGTGTATTTTGTGAGTTCTACACCAGATTAACAGTCTCACTCAAAAAAGAAAAAACTATCATGTCTAAGCATCAACCTATCACATAAGAATGAACCAATTGCATTAAATCAATTCACTGTATTACAATATTCAATTAACCTTTTGTTTGCACTATATTATATTAATGGTTTAATTAATATAAAAAAAAAATCTTTAAGAAATTCATACCTTTGCTATCCCTATCCTTGTGTAGACTGAAAAATGTCTCCAGTTCTCGGAGTTCCTTCCCAAACTGAAACTGGCATTTCAAATTTCTCACAGCGACTAGTTTCAAATGTCTTAATCTTCTCTAAAAAAGGTGATAAAACAAATAGTTGAAGCCATTCCTAATGGTTCATGTGAAATCAGACATATAGAAAAGAGTCATTTATCAGACTTTTTATGCATCAATTTTTCTGACTTATTAACGGAAGAGAAAAGTGGGAGCACTTGAAGATTTGGAGGAAAAATATATTCAAATCTTTTTGTAAATAAAATAAGAGAAATAAAATAACAGATATTGGCAACTCTTCCACCCTGGTATGATACAATGTAGTATGATAAGGCCATTCCAAGTTTTTTCAATGTTTAGAGCAAGGCGCAAGCGGACGCTAAACATAGAAAAAACTTGGAATGGCCTAAGGAAACTGCAATTTACTCTTAAAATATTGGCTCTACATTTTGACTTAAAGTTTAAATATTATTTTTTTTATAAATAGGTGCATGGTTTTTTGGTGAAAGAGGCAATCCCTCCGTCATGTTTTCAACCCAAGACCAAATATCGCTTATATTTCAAGACAATGACTGTGTAACCATGTATTGTAAGTATTATATTTAGCGTGTACGATATTTGGCAGAAATTGATTTTTGAACAAGTTAGCATAGATTTGATTTAGCGGATATCTTAATGTTCTTATTTAAGTGTATATTTGCAAAACATTTAGTGTTGTACTTGAATTAGCGAAAGTTTCTTTCCGCCAAAAGTGCTAAAAAGAATACAAAGCCAAATGTAATACGTTTACAGTATTTTGTTTATCCTGCAAAATATATTTACATTTGACCTCCAAAGTGAATTTAATTTTCAACATGATTTAGACACAGAGGAAACTAAGACGCTATTGCATAAACATTGCAATATATGTGACGTCACAATGCTTTTAGAATGTTGGAATACAAGCACGAGGCTTTGACTGAATAAAGCTTTTAAATTAGTTATTACTTTATTAATTAGGTTAATAGTACCTTTATTAAATCAATGCAAGGGGTAGTTGCAGGATAAAGTTTTAGAGCATGCAGGCTGCTGCTGCTAGTATTGACAGTTTGTGCTCTCTTAATCAAGAGAAGTATACCATGCTCTTTATTGTATCACTAAGTTACCTTTCACTTGCCTTTTTAAATCTGGAAATGTTTTCTTTAACCTCATGATTCTTTTAATGTATTGTATTGAAAAAAAAAAATAAATAAACTGTGACACAAGTATTACGATACGTGTTGTACAAATGTGAGAGGCCCGGTGTATGGTTTCAGTCCTAGAGTGTTTTTACTCTTTCTTTAATGTGTACTGATGGAATGGTTAGCTGCGATTAACTAATTTCTGCATGATAGCACATCAAGTGTAGACTTAGGATATATATATTTGGTCTTGCACTCACACGTGTGTGCACTGTCTACTAGTGATGCAAGCCTGGTGACAGTTTTTGCTACGGACTGAAGAACTTGTTTCATAACAATTGCATTTGTTTTAGATATCAGTTGAACACAGTGAAAGTTGAGTAAATTTACTAAATTGAAAGTCGAATATCTTGGATATGAGGTAACCCATATCTATTCTTGTTTTAAAAAATGAAAATAAAAACGTCTTCAATAAATAACCATCAAACTGGGAATGGTGATAAAGAAATATTGAATTCCGAGTTCAACGCTCTTGTAAGAGTAAACTCGTATGGGAAGAAGAAGAAGATTTCATCAAATAATTTTTTTTCTACTAGACTACTTTCAATTATTCTAACCTGGTTGCTTGGCAGCTCAAATAAGTTTGATGTGTTGATAAAGTCAACCATTTCTAGGTAAACATCGTATGCACATGAGATTCGATGTCATTTGTTCAAATCTGAAGCCATGGTTATAAATATATTGATCGGTCACAAGGAGGTGTCAGCTTAGTTCATCCACCATTTTTAACATCTCGCACATATCACGTGATGCTCATCCAATATCTTTGGCATTTGGATCTATTTCCTTCAAGTCTTTATTTCTGGGTTTTCTAATCTTCCCAATGAATGGAAAGGAAGTTCTATTCATCATAAGTTTATTTGTACCACATATGGTTCATTCCTGTACAAGGTTTCCCTACATCTATATTTAACGAGATTTCATGTCACATGATTAAATATTGAACTTCCGGTTGTCTGCTTAAACGTGAGTAAAATCAGAGAAACACAGATTCTGTTATTGATATCTTCAGGAAGTAATTCACATTTTTATTTAAATCCTTTTAATGCAAACGGATTACTTGTTTTGATTTTATTATTCTGGAAAATGTCTATGTAATACATTGGGGTGCCGTATTTTTGTCCTGTCAAGAGTCTGAAACTGAAGGGATCTTTCTTGTGTGCCCTTATGTTTAAGCCAAGTATATCAGTTGATTAATAAAATACTATTTAACATTTCATAGTGTATTATATGCTTTTTTGAGAATTACGAGCTGATAAATTTCAAATCAATAAATAAGTTAGTCATGCATTGTCTTGATCAATTTGCCCATGATTCATGATCCTAAAGTTAAACTGCTTTAATTTTCAGTTCAGAAATGGCGAATGTTCAAGGAATTGACAAGATTCAAGATTCCCTAGGATATTTGGTGTTGACTGAAGAAGGAGCAGTTATTAGTGTAAGACTTTGAAGGAAATCGATCGAAACAAATTAGGTGTACAATAATTGAATTTTGGAATAGGATGTTATCTCAGAATTTTTTTGGTGTTCAGTTTATAGAAATTATTTTTTTTTTTAATGCTTTATTTTTGAATATTTTCATACTTACAAAAGAAACAAAATACACACACAAACACACCCTCACACACCACATGCACTCTGTGCACCTTTCCCAAAATACCAGCTTTCATAATTACACCTTAAGTGATAACTGAAATTATGTATGACAAATCAAATCAAACATTGTCCATTTACTAAACATTTTAGTTCTACAATGAAAATTGCTCTCACAATATTTTTCAATTTTCCTGTAATACTTAAAAATGTTAACAGCTTCTGTAAATTTAGGTATCGTCTCGTATCCTATTTTCGACCGTATTGTATTTTCGACCTATTTTTCTCAATCTGTTTCCCGTGCAGATACCGTGCGGTAGAACATTATTTTCGGTTGCTACTCTTGGAAAAATACCTTTCAAGCACAACTGTAGTGAAAATACCCAAAATAATTAATTCAACGGAATTCCCTCCGTGGTTTTAGTCCGATGTCAGAAATTATAGTCTTTTTACTAATGCACATTTTATCTGTTGATTAATCAAAGCCGTAATCGGTTAATTACAAAGATTTTTTGATGACATTTTCCCGAAAGAAAATTAAGATCTCTGTCAAAGAGACGCATGAATATTGAAATGAATGGGTGGATCAAACAATTTTTTTTTCTCCCTTAGAAATGGTCACTTTCTTACAGATTTTTACTGAAAAATGCAACGTAATTTCATTGATTTCTTTTGGAAATGCACAGCTCCTGACAAATGGGTTCAACCAATGAATGTATTTGCAACTGAAATATCGAACTTGTTCAATGTTTTTTTGAAAGACAGACAAACGTATTTTTATTGTTTGGAATATCCAACAGATATTTAAAGCCAATACTGTTTTGTCATTGATACTATATTTAGGTCGAAAACACAAGACGCTAATATTTTTGTAGGTAAAAATGGACCCTCTCCAAATTATGGCATATAAATAAAATAAACAAAAAACTGCAATTTGGGTTGTATAATTTTATTCATAGACACATATGCTAACATTTTAAGCCCATAGTTTTTCAGCTTCTAAAAAGTTTGCAATAAATTAATACATTACATCTAAATAGGTCGAAAATACAATACGCCAGGATATAGTACATTGAGTTCTTGAGTAATACAAATACTTTTTTCCTAACAAGATGAGAAAATTTTCTAAACAACTTCCTTCAATATTACCCAGCATCACCTTTTGTTTTGAAATTACATAATCATTTTCAAATGCTTGATACCAATTTTCAAAACCTTTCCAAAAAATAGTTACATGTTTACAATCATAAAAAAGATGAATCAATGTTTCTGGATCTGTTTCAGTGCCTGGGAAGGACAAGTAAGTGATAGGGCCAATGGCCCCCCTCTTCTTAAAATGATGGGGCCATTTTAAAAGTTATGGGGCCGAATGAGAATACAATGGGCCATTTTCAAAAATTGTCATATTATGAACTTATTCTGTTAATGCTATGATTATGCACATCTCTGTTTCTCAGAGAATAAAATTAATGCAAATAAAATAAAACAAAAAAATTATTGGATTGCTTTATTGACATATCATAACAATATGATACTACTGAGCAGAGATGATACGCTTTTTTAAAGAATTCCATCTTTTCAAAACATCTTCATAATTGATAGTTTCTTGCTTGTTTAATCGAACTCTTAGGAGTCGGTCGGAAATTTTGGGTGCCAAGGAATTTCTCTGCTTGGTAAGAATAATGTTTTGCTGGGAGAACACTCGTTCACAACTTGCAGTGTGCAGGGGTAAAGTGAGTGCAATCTGTGCTAGCTTGATCAGTTCATTCAATTCTTCTTTATGGTGTTTTGTGAGTAGTTCCCATAATTCTTGCATCTGGTCTGTTGGGTATCTTGCAGACTTGACAATCTGCTTGGCCAACATCCACTGATTTCTAACTTTCTCTGCACATAATACCGGCTGTGAGATGGCAGATTTGTGACACTGCAATTTAAATAGAGGTAAGTATATTTATATGAACATATTTTTTTTTTTCCACTGATTTGAAATTATCTTTTTATTGACAAATAAAATTATTTTGAAGAATGAAATAGTTACTTTTGAAGTTCCGTAGTAGTCAAGAAGTTCATTTATTTCTTCAATACCATATGTCTCCACATCACTGAAATTAATGGCTCGCATGGACAGGACATAGAAGGCATCCATCAGGGACTTCTGTGGAAATCTGAAGTCAAAGATATTTTTTTCAAATAATTTGTATTGTTTAATAACAATAACATTAATCAATTAATGTAGGTTCTCTTAAAACTAACTTATCTGTCTAGTCTATTGTTGATGTACAGAATGAAGAAAAAAATATTTCTATTACAGTAGTGTGTACCAGTATGTAATTGTCTATGACTGGAGTGGAATAACCAAATAAATTACCTTTTCCTAATATTTGAGACCAAACTATTTATAAATTGGCTCTTAAGTGACTGGAAATTCGCACCAGGAACTTTGTGAATTCTGTGTCCTTTGAATTCAGGATGGTCATCAACTTCTGTAATATCTGAAGCAAACTGCTCAACAAATGTAGTGTGGAAAGTTTTTCCTTCTTTGAAAGCCTCCAGCTCACTCAGACAGGAGTCAACTGAAATCTAATTTTAAAACGTCTTGTAAAAAAGTGGATTTATAAATAAAATTATACAGAATTACAATTTGTGCTTTTTTGTAATATGTATTGTAAATTAAAATGCACAATATTTTATTATGTACCTTAGCACGAGCAATATCTAAGTCATCCTTTTGAAAGGTTAGACACAATCTCATTACAATTGGAAGAACATCCATCATTAGATAGGTGATATAGATGAATTGCGTTGTGGCCATTTGCTTTAGGAGTCCTTTGGCTTTAGGGTCTTTCTTGGCTTCTCGGTTGTGCAAGTAAGTTAAAAGAGGATCAAGAGTTTTGTAAATGGTTTCTAATCCATCGTAGAATGAGAGCCAGCGCACAGCATGAATTTCTTTATACTTCAGCATGGGATGATCCAAAAGAGCTTGAACTTTGTGAACTTCCTTCTCCCTATCTGCTGAGACTTTAAAATAATAGAATAATTTTGTCATAAACTCTTGGTATCTTTTCAGAGCAGGGATTCCTTCTGCTGCTTGTGCAGTGCAAAGTGCTAATCTATGTGCCATGCAATGAATGTTTAAAATGTGAGGATTCAATTCTTTCAGTCTTCCACTTACACCTTTATCTAACCCCGTCATGACTGATGCACCATCTGATCCGAAACCAAGGACCTTTGATATCGATATGTGTCGTAAATTCAACTCCTTGATTATCTCTGAAGTCAATCCCTCCCCTGTCCCATTCTCATACTCAATGTCTCTCAGAAATACAGTTTGTGCTCTAGAATTTTCTGGGTTAATTATCCTAGCTGTCATTGTCATTCTTTTCTTGTTACAAATGTCTGTACTTTCATCTGCATATATTGTTACAAATGGTGACTTCTGTAGGTTTTCAGTTGTTTTCTCTTCTATCACATCACTAATTGCATGTAGAAATTCATTAGCTGAATAGTACGACTGATAATCAATTCGATTTCCAACTTGTAAAAAATTCAGATTTGGTGTGCCTATATCTTTAAGAAAATCCATCATACTTTCGAATTTTGACAGTGGTAAATTCTCAATGGCAAGCCAATGTACAGTCTTTATAGCCTTTATTAAAGCTGAATCGTGGTCTGTCATCATTTTAGCTACAGCTACGTTCATCTCTTTACTAAGTGACTGTGCTTGTATACTATCCCTGTGATCTTGAGAATTTTCATGTCTATTTAATGACGAAGTTTTAAATGTACCACAACCCTGCGTAAATATATTGTCTTTACCCCTTTCTTTACATATAGTGCAAAACATTTTTTCCGATTCGTAAATCATCCAGGGCCACAATTTAAGCCACGATGATTGAAATTTTCTTTTTTTATGAGCACTTTTACTGTAACTGGTCTCGTCATTGTTCATTTCTGCATCAGCATTTCTTACATTTGCTGTATCTCCTTCCTCTGGACTCGATTCTATTTCTGAACTTAAGCCGGTTGGAAACTGCATGGAGGTTAGTGTCTTTTGACCACGTGGAAGTGAAAACTTCATTTTCTTTGCCGGCGGCATGTCAGTATTTAAAAATGGCGTTCCGATTCTATCATTCCGTACTCATCGGACAATTCCATCTAACTTTGATGAAGATTACCGATAACGTCGATCTCGATAAAATCACGTGGTAGAAATAATGCGTGTGCGCATTTTACATTATTTTTGGGGATGCGCCGCATGGCGCAGCGCACCATCATTACAATGCGCCATTTTTCGGCAGTATGCGCATATGGCGCGTGGCGCAGCCCCTTCCCAGGCCCTGCTGTTTTACAGAAAGAACAAAAATTGTTTTCTGCAATTTTTATCTTGTGAAGAAAAGAATTTGTGGCAAGGAAGCCCATAAGAATTCTATATTGAAAGTAAATTATTTTGGTGTCCTTTGTACAAATTGAAGCATTCCGAAGGAAAAATTCCCAGTGTTTTTCTGTAATAGGTTCATTTAAATAAATCTCCCATTTTAACTTTTTGGATTCTGGTGCCACAAAATTCTTATCTTTTATAATTTTATACAGAAATTTTATACTTGTCACAGACATCATTTTTTGTATAACACATTTCTCTGGTGCTGCAAATTGATTGCCTCTTTCTGTCATATAAACAGTTATTTCCCTTTTGACTCTTGTTGGTACTCTTGATACAATGTTAAAATAGTTTAAAAAATTATTAGTACCAACTATTTTTTTAACATCATTAAAACACCTAAATTTTCCATCATCCGACAACAAGTCTTTCAATACTTTAAAACCTTTTTCTACCCAAGTCTTGTA